AATAGAATATGAGGATATGAGAATAGGTCCAGACTACTTTATGGGACACATTAGTTTCTGTGTTGCAGGGTTGTGGGGTCCCTTAACCTCTGGAACTCTCTCCTTCTCCATTCTTCTCCCCCCCCCCCCATCAGTCTTTATTCCACCTTGTCTTCAACAAAATTTCTGTTGATCTTCACTGGCCTCCTCTACTCCGACCCTAGCTCTGTGAATTGCTGAGACATGTTAGATTATGTGAAGGGCAGGATATGAATGATATATAAATGATATATTATATATATATGTAGGTTGTTGATTAAATATTATCTGTGAAGGAAGAGAAGCCAGGTTTGAAAAGTGGAAATGTAGCACTGGCTGAATACTGTAGAGTTTGTTTAATTGATCTTGTGATATTTAACCTCAATTTAACTTGCAATATTGGAATTACCATTGGAGAACTAGCTCTGAAAATATACTTAGAATCTCCTTGGAAGATGAAAGCATATGGAGTGAAGTCCATAAGCTTAGATTGTCTAGTTCATCTCTTCTCATTCCATCTTGCTTATGCTCTTATTGTACTTGCGCTTAGCCTCTCATCTTGATTGTGAGTAAAAAAGTTAAGGAATACTGTTTTTTTTTACATACTGTGTAACAACGCAAGTAACCAAGCAGGTCAGTAATGAAAGCCTTCACCAACATTATCAGCTTATCGTCAGCCCCATGACCATTTCAATTTCATATCAGCTTGGTTCAGTGAATAGCACTTTGACCTCATCGTCGGAAGGCTGTGGATTGCCTGATGTTAGGGGCAGTTAGCAGACTGTTGTCGCCAGCAATGGTGATTCAATGGTGTTTGTGCAGTTATTTGTAGTAAAAGTTCTAGTTTTTCTTGACAAAGTCACGGCTATCAAGCATGCTGGGCTTCTACCCTGTGTTACCCTGGGCGCTACATTAATGCAAGTTGGTATTGTTGGCTGATCAGAATTCTTCCACCAAACCACAGTACTTTTTTGTATTGGAGCTTACTGCGCTTGTTCGGGGACTCTGACTTTTTCCCCCCTCCCACCCAGGTGATTGTCATGTCTTCATCTCTCCACTGGAGGCAATAGAACTTGGGACCACAGGATAAACAATCCAACCTGGATGAGGATTGTAGGGGAGACTGGATTGTAGGGGAGCTCTGGAAAATTGTGGGGGGGGGGAGGGGTAGGTAGGCAGGGTCCACTTGGAGCTGAACTGGCTCCAAGGTGACATGCTTGGCAACAGAAATGCCAGAATCAGGCCAGCCCTCTGTGGCAGTCTCGGTAGTCCGTTTCCTGATCCAGATTGGTCCACAGTATTCCAGGGCACTGCTGATGACAGCACAGCCACCCTGGCTCATCGGCAGGACCTAGAAAGGCAGAGCAGTCACTGGGGGCAGAGAATTCTCACACTCAGCTCCTATTAACCCTGCAAGCCAAAGCCTAACTGGTAGGGTGGTCCTAGCTGGACAAGCAGTGGGGAAGCTTGCCAGTCAGTGATATCAATGGCAAGCGATGCAGATTTAGTTAGTTAGTGTCCATCAGCACCCCAATGCACACACTGGGGTCCCCAAGCCTTGGCTCTTGCCAACCTGCACCTAATACTTTCTGGAATTGGGTAAGTAGGATGTGTCCCTCCAGGGAAAGAGTGCGAATTCCATTCCAACAATCTATCTTTGGAATTTCTATGTGCGGGATATATGGAATTCTCAGTTTGGTCTGGATACGCTTAAGCATAGTGATGGGTTTCTGCATGTGGCAGACACCCGGCTGACCCCCCAAAAATACAATGAAGATCATCCCTGGAGATCGGGAAAGATCAATGGCCAGAAAATCAAAGTCAAGAATTGGAAACAACTGTGCATATCCACGTTTGTTGCAGGCACAGCTGTTTCCCTGCTGGTGCCTGTGCTTGGGATTCCACCGATACAATAAAAGCGGAGGGAGCCTCGCTCCGACAGCTCCGACAGCCTCAGCCCAGAGATAACAGCCGAAAACAGCTGACCACATGTACATTAACATTAAAGCAATTTGCTGGAGCCTTCAGTAGTTAAATATCTACCAACTATTATAGGATGAAAGTAAAACACTGTAGGTCGTAAATGCCCAGTATTTTTGCAAACTAGGCACCTCAAACTGTGCATCACTGACAAAAACAAAACAGTCATCTAATTTAAAAACATATTTGATCACCCACTGATACTAACTTGTGGTATTGTGTGGCTTTATATCACACAGGAGCACAAGAGGTTCAGGTGAAGAAAGCCCTTCAGAACATCTGATCCTATTCTTCCCGAACCTTAATCTACCAGCTTTCAATGATTGCATCAAGCTGTTTCTTAAACAAGTCCAGAATCCTGGGCTCTCCAATCTAGCAACCCTTTTGGTCATTAAATAACCTCTGTACAAAATACTTTAGGATGTGTGCCTGAACATTCCCTGTCACAACTCTGCGCTCTTTCACCTTGGCGTATCTGAAAATGTTGTTCTTGGTTTACTTTCTCAATCCAATTTAAAATCTGATATAAACCTTTAATAATAATACTTGCATTTGATATAGTGCCTTATCACATCTTTAAGACCTTTCAAAGCACTTCACAGAATATACTGTAAAGTGAACTGACTATATTTTGTGGGCAAAACGTGACAGCCAATTGCGCACAGCAGTGTCCCACAAACAGGCGTGGATTGGGTGAACAAATTTTTATTATTATTATTTTTTATTAAATTCTTTGTATGGCTATCTCGGAAATAGGAGTTGCCTTATCTAATTGTGTCTGATTGCTCATTCCTGTTACACTAGGGATCATTGACCACTGAGCTCTTTTGCAGTGCCTCTAGTGTCTAGACATATGCACCCATCTAACGTCCTGGCAAATGAAGCTGGAAACAGTTCTACTGCAGGTGCAGCGTGATCTAATTTTTGCGGATCTGAACTCAACTTGTTTGGCAATATAGCCCAGCATCCTATTTATTACTGCCTCACACTGACTTGACATGTTAAGTAAATAAACAACAATCCAAGAAACACAAAGGAATTAATCTAACTGCTGTGTCACTGTGACAATCAGACATCTATTTTCATGCTGCTTCAGTTCTATTGGATGAATTAAATAGATTCTTCATTTAGCTTTCGAGTCACATGGCAGAACACGTTTTCAGTAATTCTAAGCATTCCGTTCTTTTTACCCATTTGGATTCATGACGTATCTGAAGCCTGTCAATGGGAACATTCTTGTGTTTTTAAAAAAAAACCTTGCTACTTTTATTCAAACATTCCTATTTGTCAAACACTGTGTGCAGAATGAATTGGTACCTGACAAACATTCTCTTTAAACTAACTACCCATTAGCAGAATTCTTGGTAACAAGCTTCTACTGTGTTCATCGCTAATTTGGTTTACAAAGGATTTCAAGACGGGAAGAAACAAACCTATACATGGAAAAAAACAGAGCAAGAATAACTTGTTACTCTTACAGGCTATGGTGCTATGAACTGCACACTTTTTAGCTGATTGGCCTTGAACTTAGTCCAGGATTACTGAAATGAACCAGAATTGTTAGAAGAAGGGAAACAGCATCCCTTAGTTCTGTCTTTGTAACCTTCAGCGTGGTATCATCTTGCACTGAAACCCGAATACCCAAATGGGATTAAACATAAAAGAAGGCTGGGAAGAAAGCCCCTGGATTAGAACTTTAACTGATTCCGAACTGTGAGAAAAGGCCACACTGCTGTCTTTGACCTTTTCCTCATGTGCGTGATGCCAGTTGTGCTTAGTCAAGTGTCTAATGAAGCCTCTGTCAATTCACGCTGTATTTATCCTTTTGCTACTGAAACAGGTGTTTGGTTACTGAGAGGACAAGTGCTGAACCTGTTGATCATGGACTAACCAATCCTGCCGGTCTATGTAGTTTTCTCCATGGGGAACGAGTGGCTGAGATCCAGGGACAAGCAAAATAACATCTCAAGTGCTGAGACACTCCATCAGGGGAAGCTTTCATCACTGCCTACCCATTAGTGACTAAGAATGTATATATATATATTAAAAAAAGTAACATGCTTTTTCCAGCCCAAGGCTGCTTCCCCAGACATTGCACAAAGTTTTGTTCACAAAAGTTATTAAATTAACAAATCAATAAAAAAAACTGTACTCCTCCCCAAATCAAACATAAATATTTCCACATGAAATCACTGAAGCTTTAAATGCTTAGTATAATCAATTTTGTATAGAAGGGTCATTATAATTGTATAGAGTGCTGGAATATATGCATTCCCTAATGAAGTTACCAGCGAATTTACATCACCATGACAAAGTCTACTCAGGATACTAGGGAAACATTGCAGGACATTTTTGTGCTTGTATTTATGACCTGAAATCATCCCTTAAAAAAAATGACCAAAATCAACAATAATTAGAGCCCCCAAAAAATATATAGGGAAATATAAAAAGTGTCACACAGTAAACTGTAATTGCTAAACAGTAACATTTTCATTACAGACCTGATTATTTGTAAAACAAAACTGTTATAATAGGAGAATTACAAAAAAATTCCAGATTATGGATCCCTACAATTGAAAATTGAAAGCATGTTTGCAGTCAAAGACAAGTGATGGAATCTATACCCCTACTGGTTATGATTTGACACATTCAGAACGTTCATAAATTAAACACAAGAGGGGAACATTTCACTTGGATCTAAATTTACTCATCTATGTAACATTTTAAAGGGCCCAGAATTAGCAAATTCTTAAATACAGCCTTAATTTTGAAGCCGTTTTTCTTTCAAGAGCTATTTGAAACCCAACTTCAAAGTTAAAACTGTATTCAACAATTTGCTAAACTCTAGAAGCTCTAAAATGTTGCAGAATAAATATTATAAAAAAAATCAGTGATTTCACAACTTTTGTGAAGAATTTCTGAATACTGTTCAAATATTGACTTCTACCCATTGTTAGTTGGTACAAAGGAACTGCCTTAATAAGAACACGTCAGATAGTTACCTGCACAAAACTGCATATCACACTCCCATCAAACACTGGTAGACTGGGCCGGCTGTGGCGGTAAACGTTGATGGTGTAAGTCGTTGTAACAACAGGTTCTGATCGAGACTCATCAATTACCAGAATATTGATTCTGTTGTTTCCCAAGCCAAGAGGATAGTTAGCGATCCTAAGGTGGGGAATAAGATGTAAAAATTTGCTTTTTCTTAAAAAAATATCATATGAGAGCTTCATGATTTGGGCTTGAAAATATTTAGAGGTTCATTCATTATCAACTCCACCAATAATCCTCATGCAGTAGAGGTGCTGCAGATTGGAATTTACACAGAATTTGATAGATCTGCATGAAAATATCTGCAGTCAAACTCTTATTTTTCGATTAACTTTGAAAACTAGGCTGCCCCTCCAATGCAATGCTGGGGTGTGTTGCATTGTTGGAGACGCCATCCTTCAGATAAGACATTAAAGCAAGGTCCTGACTGCCTGTTCAGGTGGACGTTAAAGATCCCATTGCATTATTCAAAAAAGAGAAGGAAGGTTCTCCCAGTGTCCTGGTCAAAAAGCCCCCAGATAAAAATTGCTCATTCACTTCATGGCTGTGTATAGGACATTGCTGTCCACAAGTTGGCTGCCTGCAAATAGACCCTCATTATACAGTAGACTCCTGATAACAACAACTTGCATTTATATAGCGTCCTTCACACAGTGTAGGGTCCCAGAGCGCTGAAACCTGGCACTCCAAGGGAAAAGGGCTCAGTAAAGAGTTATCTGGAAAGACGAGTTAGGCATATGTATAAATACATAAATAAATACAGCAGGGATATTGACAACATGATTACTTAAGTTGTAGTGATAAATTAAGCTAGGGTCGAGTCATCAGGAATTTACTGTACTTTATAGTGAAATCCTATGAAACACTTTGAGACATCTCAACGATGTGGTAAGGTGCTGCATCAAACGCAAGCATTTTTAAACTGATATTTGTGAATAAGTAATTATAATACTTGCTCATATTAATAATTAAGTATTACTAATAATTATTATTAATACATAATAATTATTGCGTTTTAATAATTAAGTATTAATAATAATAGCACTTGGCATAGTGCCTTTCTCCAGAGGACATTTCACAGGATTTACTGTGAAGTGGAATGACTGTGTATTTGTAGGCAAATGCAGTCGACCATCAATGGAAAAAAGTAGCATAATGTGTGGTGTAGATTATTTTCACAAAGGTTGTTTGGTACCTGATGTCATGGTAATAGCATCTGTTTAACAAGCTTATGCTGTCCCTTATCCAGTCGTAAATGCGTTGCTGTTTCTGAAACGATTTTCTTGAGTTTTTTTTATATCCGGCAATAAAGTGAAACAGATTCTAAAACAAATTTATGGCACCTCAAATATCAATTGCAGGTTTGCTGTGTGCAAAACAGGGCAATTGATAGTAAACAGACTCATATAACACCATGGAAAGATGCACCATGTGGATTTTCTCCATTTGACATCAATCTCTTCAGTTTCATTCAGTTGCTAGTTGTTTAAAATTTCAGATTTTTCAGTCAACTAAGGTTAACTCAGGAAACTAATGTTGAATTCTATATACAATTTACGGTGTTTGATTTGTGTTATTATCACTAAATACTTGCACTCAGAAAAGTTAAAGGGTCTGTTGGCTCCATTCTTCAAAACAATTCCAAGTTATTATTTTTCATTTTTTTTAAATGGTTTGCCAAAAAAGGGGCTACATTTTCCTTGCTATTGTTGCAAGTTGGCAGGAACCACTATATATTGACTAATTTTTCAGATTTATCACAAGTGTCAGACTGAATGCCAAAGCTCAGGATCAGGCTATATTCAGTTATTTTGCCTCTAAGCACACACACACAATTCTGTTCCTCCCTACTTCGATCTCTTGCTATTGCTTAACCTTTTGTTGTTTTCCTCTCTTCTCAGTTCCTTTTCCCATTTGCTTCTTCCTTAGGGACTTTGAGACGGAAGGAGATTGAATTGTCAGCCTGCTTTGACAGCCAATGAAGATTTGATAGAACGAAAAACCTTCTTATTGCGCTTTAAATTTCTTTGATTCTGATCTTTCTTGAATACAGACCTGTCTGACAATACTAATCCTTGCATTTTGTATTATCCCTTATCAAATCATCAAAACGTGTCAAAGAACTTCCTGTGAAGTGTAGCGACTGTGTATTTTTATAGGTGAACTTGGCAATCACTTTGTGCACAGCAATGTTCCGCAAACCACCAATAACATAAAAGGGCCAATTTTATCTGGAGGATTGTTGGCTAGAATACTAGGAGAAACTCCCTTCTCTTTTATTGAATAGTGCCATGGGATCTATAACCTCCGCCTGAATAGGCAGACGGGACCGCAGTTTAAAGTTTCATATGAAGGATGGCATGCTCAACAATGAAACATACCCCAACTCTGCATTAGAGTGTCAGCCTAGACTTTGAGATTAAAGTATGTGATGTAACCATTAATAAAAAAAACTCCATGTACAATGAGGAATATCACAGCATTATTACATGTCAGCAATCAATTCAACACATTTTATTGCAGTGTAATTTCTGGAAATCTCTAAGCTATTACAGACCATATCAGTTTTTGAAATTCAATCTTGGATTCATTTTTGCAAAGTAAATCCTTTAAAATATATCAGACTCATTGGAAATGCTTCATTGCCAAGTCTCCCCAAATCAGCAGTAATGCTCACCACATGGATCTGATATCTCCAAATGTGATTTTAATTAAGGCCATAATAACTCCCTTGTTATCTGGCCCCATCATCGACTAAATTTAGATAAATATTCACGTAGTTTTAAGAAACACAGTTCTATTAAAAATAGACAAGCATGCAAAATATCCTCAGGAACAGTGAAAGAAACATCAGGGTGATGTGGCTCTTCTGTACAGTGTAGCCTCTGGTTTCAATGAAGGTAGTTGCTCTACAGCACTCTCAGGGTAGGACTTTACTCTTTTTGAAAGGTTTCTTGCGCTACAGCCAAATAAGATATCCAATACCCCTAACGTGCCCAGATTCAACTATTTGTTCCTTGCATATTTGCAAATAGATGCCCCCAAACCACTGTTAAAACCCAAGTTGCTTGTTGCCTTGTGAAATGAACACACTCAACACCAGCAGCTAAGGAGTCAACAGTTACGGCTGTACACATCCGCTTCTAGATTGGTCATTTGTTTCAATGTTTAAACATTAACTATATTAACCCAGCTCAGCTGAAGCATTAAAATAGTGATGTTATATAAAACCCTCCATTTCCATTGACCTGTACACAGACATTTCAGTTTGTCAAATTCCACATCAGCGAAACAAGTCATTGTTAATACAAAATACGTCTAATTTAGAGACGGGGTTATCAGATTGTAAATTATTGTACTGAACAGAAATCTTTTTAAAAAGCTTAAAACTTTTTTTTACAGGAATTGAGAGAACCATGCACTTTATAAAAAAAATTATATAAGAAGTCAATGAATATTAATTCCAAACTGAGGGAAACAGATATTTGAACATTACATTAAGAAACATGTTTAGTGTAGCATTCCACACAAGTAGGCAACCAAATGTGTTGACAAAACTAATTTAGTGACCATTTAGTGACCACAAAGTGAACTTTCTGTTTGCATTCTTGTATATTCATGAAGTCTTAAACCAAGAATGTGAGATGCTTTAGTCAAGTGAACTTCAGAAGAAGTTTTTTGAATTCTTTCAGTAAACCGGTGAGTAATGTCCCTCACTATGTCTATACAAACACATCTTATGTTATTTAAAACATTGAAACTGGCTGCCAAATTTGTTAATATTAAACTTCTCGATATCTAACACTTTCATGTAAACAACCTCATGTGGTTTGTTAAAATAATAAATTTTGCTGTGCAATTAAATTTCTGCATTATCTTAAAGTTGGTTTAAGTTTAGTTCGTCAAACCTCTGTGTGCATGTTTGTGTATGTCTGTGTGTGTTTACATGGAGGGGTGGAGAGAAAGAGAAAAAGAGGGGGTCTGATCAATAAAATTATTGCAACTATTATTTAATCTTATAATCTCCATTGAATAGAATTATGAAAGATCAGATTATTTTGCACTTGAACACTTCCTGCTAATAATCACTAGTGCTTTTACCTGGGTCCTTTTCTCTCATCCAGGTGCACCTGGCAGTGGCAATTGGCTGCATCTGCTCTGATCTTCACTATCACCACATCAAAAGGCACTTCAGAATAATACACTTTGATCTTTGGCATAAAGGCAGGATTCAAGTTCAACCGTGGGCTAGTGGAGATGCGAGTAATGTAGGCAAGGGTATTCTTCGCTGTTTAAAACAGAAAGAAACATTAAAATAAAAAAGAAAATTAAAACTCACGTAAAAAGTACAGTTTTGTGGCTCGTCACCTGCAATTAGCTTCGAGGAAATTTCACTGGCATACTTGAAAGAAAAAAATGGTTTAACCTTGCAGTGATCAAAAAATACTTGATTCTCTTTAGTGATTGCATTGGTTTATTCATTCCAAGACCTGAACAATGCTCTCCACCTTTTAGGATTGCATTTCAATTATTCCATTATCCTTGAAGTTCCTGCTGATTGGACACACTACAAAACATAGACTGCAGGCATGTGACATGCCAAATGAAATGCGAGTCTTCTCATCCAACGAAAAAAAATACAAGTTCTCCTTGTAAAGGAGAATTCTGCATTTGCCAATTTTGGAACTGATGCTGAGTCCACCTTGTGTGAAAAAGCTGCATTTTCTTATGCAGCTAAGAAAATGTGTGTTATGCAGCAATATTCCACGTGCCATTAAGTGTGGAGACATTGTCTTCCTGCGCCTAAGTGCACAACACCACTTATAAATAAATTTAAATAATCCTTGCAATTGATTTAGGAGCTTACCACGTCGTTGAAACATCTCAAAATGCTTTGCAGGAATTACTGTAAAGTGTCATAACTATATATTTGTAGGCAAACAGCAGCAAGTGGAATAGATCACCCTGTCAATTAAATGGACTAGATGAAGCCACAGTATAATTGAGTATTTTGAGTATGGGGGAGAGGGTTATGATAAATTCTGTGCTCATCAAGGCGATTGTGACAGTTTTCATTTCCCACGCCAGGTCCTCGGCACAGTGTTCCAATTTAGTATAGAAGTAAAGGGCATTTTCTCAGCTGAAAGACAATGTCTGTTGAGAACATTCAGAGAGGGTTCAGACTGCCCTAACTTATAACTTATATCACATGGATCTATAACAGTCAGCATTGTCTTTCATCCCATCAGTCTGGGTTGAATTCAGAGATGGTTCCTGAGATGAAAGTGTTTTTTGAAGAAACTCTTCAAATAAATCTTCTGAATGGCCAATAATCAGGTACTGTACATGATGGGTAAGTGACCAGGTTAATCTTAAGAAGCAGGCATTCTAATGGGAAACTACGTTCCCATTAAGTGTATCAGATAAAAAGAAAGTTATTCTTTGAGCACTCTTATTTTTTTATAACTTTGTAACTACACCATAAGGAATAGTCTATTAAAGGCTGGAGTTGTTTTGTGTGCAGCAATGTAGATCAGGGCTATGGTTAGGAGGGCGTATGTGTGTGACCTGCAGCACCAGTTCATTTCAGGTGCACATCAGGCATAAAAGTGCAAAAGGCACCAAAAGTACCAGTTGCACAGAAGATAAATTATTGATACACGTGAGCAATTCCTCAGTTCCTCCTTGAATTATGCAATCATAGAATTTCCAGCATAGAAGGGAGGGTGTTCATTCCTGTAAGAGGACAGGGAGTTTCTCTTGAAGCGCTTTGAGATGTCTCGAAGACATGATAAGGTTCTATATCAAATGCAAGGATTATGATTGTTGTTATTATCTGTGTCCTGGCCAACAATCTCTCAGGAAACAAAAAGGTAATTCACTTCATGGCTGTTTGTGGGAGATTGCGGTGAGCAAATTGGTTGCTGTGTTTGTTTACAAAATACACAATCACTACACTTTACAGTGAATATTATGAAGTGCTTTGTCCTCCTTATATGAAAGGTGCTGTATCAAAAGCAAGGATTTTTGTAGGACCTGATCGTTTAGTCCCATACACTTTTAGATTTTTCCTTTTCAAATATATATTCCTTTTGCATACCCATTATGGATTCTGCTTCAATGTTTCCTCAGAATGGTAGCAAAACAATGCAACAATAATCTCACTACAAAAACAACTGGGAAGGATCAGTGGAAAATCAGTTATGTTTGACTGATTTAGGTCAACCTGAAGATCTCACTGGGTGTTCACCATAAAGCAGCGTAATTGAGGTTTATTACTGATGTTACCCATAGAAAATCTATTGCTACATGAATGGGGGTCAGTGTGCGTGTGTGTTTTTTTAAAAAAGCAGGAAAGATGTGATGTGTTGTAGGGTTACTGCTCAGAGGCATGACCTTTCGCTGATTTATTAGTGAAGATCAACTTATTACTAAAAAGGAAGATATAATCTAACAATTATAATAATAATAATCCTTGCATTTGATATAGCGCTTTTCACGTCGGGAGGACGTCCCAAAGAGCTTCACAGAACACACTGTAAAGTGAATTGACTGTATATTTGTGGGCGAACGCGGCAGCCAATTGCGCACAGCAATGTCCCACAAACAGTCGTAGATTGAAAATGACCAATTTATTATTGTTTTGTTTTGGAGGGATTATTATTAGGCGTGTGGAGTAAGGAAACTTGCCCAAGGTTTCGCCCTGCCTGGAATTGAACTCAGGTTAGATTAGATTAGATCCTAGTCCAGACAAACAAGTGGTTAGTAACCATTGGTTGAGTGCCAAGAGGATATTATTGTCTTGTAATGACGTTATAATCTGTTATTATACGTTCCAGTTCATGATAGGGTTGCAGCTGCATCTTAGTTTATTTTTCTTTGAACACCAATGTGCTCCAAGTAACAACAACAACAAATTACATTTGTATAGAGCCTTTCACGTCGGGAGGACGTCCCAAGGCGCTGGACAGTTAGAAAAATAAATAACGTTTAAAAAGTTCATGGATGCTAAGGTCTTCAACACTATAGAAGAGTCAGTACAATTACCAGATGAAATGACAATGGAATATAATTTGCCATATTCACAAATGGTATTTAAAGTGCCAATGACAACTTCAGTTCGGCAACATTGAAAAACGTCAAAATTTAGAATATTTGTAAAACAGCTAATTAAAAATTTCAAAAGCCATGGAAAAAAAAGGCCAGAGATCAAGGCAGTTGGATTTCCAGCCTTTTTCCGCATTTTGCACAGCTTCTTCTACTAATAAACAGAAGTTACAATTAGCATTCAGTGTAAATTAGATTCCGGTGCTAAAAATAAACAGTTGTTTGCCAGCTAGCTTTCAGAGTAATTCAAGGAGAGAATATAATGTGGAGCTCTGTGTATGCCAATTTGTCATTCCTTATTGCTCTTGTATCAAACCATCACCTATAGTATAAGTGTCCCATGAATGCAATTAACAATTCAGTGCAAAGTTATGCCTGATTTCATCTGTGGATGTGGTCCCATTAGGAACTGCGTCAACACTTAAGACTCTTACAGCCATCACAAACAGGAGTTTTATCCCATCAGATTGAAGTGTTTTTTAACCTAGTTTCCTGAATTGAAAGCACTATATTCCTGCTCACTGTCATTGCCCAATTTCCTGACAATAGAAAATAAATATCACATAATGTGTACAGTAGTACAACATGATCAAAGGTATTGTAAATAATGAATTTACGTTGTTCCTGACTCACTGAACTAAATGTGTTAATAGGACAAAAACAATCTTACCAGTACTACAGTATGAACGTCCATATTGACCTGCAACAGAATAAAAGATCTATAATAATTGATAAAATACAATATTCAGTTTTCTACAGTTTCCATGAAGTTGGAAAGGCATTACAAGTAGAATAGTTTTAAATAATCATCAATTCAATTTCAAAACTAGAATTCCTAATAAAAAAATCCTATCAGTTTCATCCGAAAGAAAGATTTCAAAATTTTAACTTCATATTTTTTTCACAACAAACATTGAATGTCCCGAGTTTCTAAACGTTTCCTATAATCTCATAGCACTGTGTATTCTTGTAATCCTGCTCAGTAATATTTTTGCATGATGGAAATTTATTTTTGAAAGGATGTTCACTAATGTGAAATATCGACAATAACGGTATGAAAACAAACGAGGAAACCCAACAAAAGGAACAAAGTCTGAAAAATTGCTACCTTTGTTTTTTCTCAGATAAATCAATGAGGTTGTTGGTTCATCATCTTTTAACCTCTATTTCTTTATTGATCATATTTTACAAAAAAAATACTTTCCAGCAGTAAAGTCGTATTGAACACACGTTCATGCCTTACCTGGCTTGCTATTGGTGTTGACCTTTTCAAATATGCTGGAAGGTACTTTTTGAATGGAACCTGGAATTACTAAAGAAGGATCCCTAAAAGAAAAATAGCCATGTTTGACATCAACTGTTTGTTGTTATTTTTACTAAAAAATACAACAATAATACAGGAACAGAAGCAACAATTTTACATTTATACAGTACCTTTCACTTTGGAATGATGTTTCAAAGCGCCTCGTAGAGCTGATTGGGAGCCATGGTGAAGGAGCCTGAGAAGATTGCGGGTTGTGCGAGGATGGGGAAAGGTGACCAAAAGTGCAATTGAAAAGAAAAGTCTTTAAATGGGCTTTAAATGTGGCAGATGAGGTGGGGAGGGAGCGAGGCGACAAGTCAGAGGGACTTGTGGTAGAATAGCTGAAAGAACCCATTACACCCACCTGAGAATGATGATAAAATAAAGCTCCTGAGGTGGAACCATCTTGTACAATGTTCTGTAAGGATTTCAGGGCATTGCAATACATATTTTGATGCACATTTACCCATGTATAGTTTTCCCATTGGTGAATGGATGTGGAGTTACAAGAAATATGTGCGTCGTCTGTGGGCTACATCTCACACATGCAGGAGTTCACCTTGTCTGTAAACCCACTGTGACCCTGCTGTCCCAGGAACTGTGATAAATCACTCACAACAAATTAAAATCTGCTGGTTACTCAGTCATTTTGGAGATTCTTTCTGCTCCTCTGGCTTGTCTGCCTCCTTTCACAGACTTGGAAAGCATCCCATTTCTTCCAGGTTCAGCATCATTACTTAATGGTTTGCAAAGCTTAATTACCCAAAACCTCGCAAGAACCTTATGCCAAAGGAGGCCACTTACAATTCGACTTCCGCAGTTGCGTCACATATGGGACTTTGTCTTATAAGGGACTTGTAGAAGAGATCGGTGAGGGAGTAAAGTCACATAGGACTGATCATGGCTATGATCATGGACGAAGAGAAAAGGAACACAGTGACTAAAAAAAAATAGCTGAGGCTCTCAAACATGAATAGCATTTCAGCCAGCTACTGTATTCTCAGAGCAATAACATATCTACTCTCTTGACCTGAATGTCACCTTTTGAAGGCAATGCAGGCAAACAATAAAAAAAACAAATTCCTGCTGGGTTGCTGGGGAATGAACAAGGCATATTTCTGCCCAGCCAGTTATTTCCTTCATTTCCCCCTTTCCACAGCAGTATTGCCTTTTTGTTAAACAAAACGTTTGAAAGGAATACAAGTGATGTAGTCCTGACTTATCTTTTGATCTGATTTGTCTAAACATGTACTCAATGATATGAATTATTATGCATCTTTAAAATTAGATCACATTAAAGTGATTTGACATACGTTAGCTAAAGTGCTCTGAGACTCCATCCGGCGTGGAGGGCGCTATATAAATCCAAGTTGTTGTTGTTAATGCTGGATATGGCAGCTATGGAAAACACTGACAATCCATTGTTATGAACAAAGTTCCTTTATTTATTCCTGAGCTGAGGACAAATGCTTATTTATTGTGCAACCTGTTAGCATTGGTACCAGAACAATAACATTCAAGCCAATAGTTTTCATTTCAAAATATTTTCATTGCAGGTTGAGTGGTCAGAGCAAATATATATTTTTTTAAATTCACTTACCACACAGTGTAATCCAATTCTCTCTGTAAATTCTGTGCTTGGAACTGTTTGTGGAGCTCTGAAAATAGCAAGTGCATCTCCAGAAGAGATGTTGCTTTGGCTGTGGGATCAGAACTGCGATAAAGGAAATGCAGCAGTCTTTGGTACTCTGGATTACTGGATGGATAAAGCTGCAGAATGAAGGCATTTATATTTACATTATTTTATTTGTTAGGAAAAAAAATCATTATCTTTGACAATTGGGAAGTTAAAAAAAACTGCAGGAAAGTGAAAGGGTCAATTTTACCACTTCATATCCCTTTCTATTCCAATTTTTGTTGTTGCCATTCCCAAATGTTATTATAACCCTTGCATTTGGTTACAATGCCTTTCATTTCGGGAGTACGACCCAAGGTGCCACAGGATTTAATATGAAGTGGAGTGACTGTGCATTTGTAGGGGAAAATGGGCATCAAGAATATTACTCGTGGATGATCATCAGATGAAATAGAAAGATTAATCTTTCCTTCATTATTAGCCCATCAGAACTAAAACATTAAGCAATCTTCCTCTATCAAACACAGTTGTATTTATCCTTGCATTTGTGATATCAATCATCAAGACGTTTCAAAGGGCTTCACTGGATTTACTATGAAGTGTTCAGTGGACTGTGTCTTTTGTAGCATCCACCAATTTGCCCACAGCATTGCCCCACAAACAGCCATGAAGTAATTGGCCAACATTTAACTGGGCAGCTTTTTATCGTCTTATCCTAAGGACTGATTGACTGCGTTCATGTTATTGTTTTGCACTTCCAGCATCTGCACTTTTTTCTTGTCATTCTTCCAGTTGTGCAAATTTAATTTTTAAATTAAAAAATACAAATGATCATGACTGAATGAATGAATGAAAATGCAGTTGAAAAGAGAGAACAAAACTAATATTCTAAGATCAACCTGGAAGAGCTTGGCTTCAAAATATTGAATCAAAAATTGAATCACATAGCTATTCAGAACTATTCAGAAAGAGCATTTCTATACTTATAGGAATTTTTAAACTGAATTCCTTTTTTAAAAAAAAAGAAGTAAAAGCACACACAAGATCAACTGGCCCAATACATCATTTTAGATTGACCTTGGCTATATGTTGTACGCACCAGTTCAAATCTTCCTTGGTTTTTGATTTCCTTGTGAAAAGATGTAATACGAGCAAGGTCTCTTGAAGTCAGACAAAGATATTGCTGGAGGCACTGATGAATCTGTTACATAAAATATATCAAGACCTAAGTAGCAATACAGAAGATAGCTTAGCATAAATCAATGCCCCATGCCAACATCAACAATTACTATGAGTAATAAGGCACAGTGTTTGTTATTTCAATAATTTTAAATCTGAAAAAATCAATAATTAAGTACCTTTGAGTGAACTGCAGATGGTGCTCAGAAAATAAATGCTAGAACAGTCTGCAAAACGCACTTGTAAAGTTGATATAGGTATTACTGCAATCATTTCAAGTACATTAAACTATTCACAACAACAACTTGCATTTATATAGCGCTCTCCACGCCAGGCGGCGTCCCAGAGCGCTTAACAATGGTGGAGCCCGATGCTGAGCCAGGGGGTGGCGGAAGGTAGCCAGAGCCACAGTTGAAGAGGAAGGTCTTCAAGTGCAACCTTAAAATGGGGAAAGAGGGGGGCAAGGCAGAGGAATTGAGGGAGGGAGTTCCATAGCTTCAGGGTGTAGTGGTTGAAGGCACGGCCGCCGATGGTGGAGAGGAGGATTCGAGGCGCAAGGAGGAGGCCGGAGGCAGTAGAGTGGAAGCAGCGGATAGTGCTGTGAGGAGAGAGGAGGTTGGAGAGATAGGGAGGTGCCAAGGCGTGGAGGGATTTAAACACTAGAGTGAGGATCTTGAAGTCGATCCGCTCTGTGGAGTTTGGCAAGGACTGGGGTAATTGGGGTGCGGAGTTTAGTGCTGGTGAGAATGCGGGCGGCAGAGTTTTGAATGAGTTGCCGGAGTTTTCGCTACAATTATTTAGAAGAAATAATAATAATCCTTGCATTTGATATAGCGCTTTTCACGTCGGGAGGACGTCCCAAAGCGCTTCACAGAACACACTGTAAAGTGAATTGACTGTATATTTGTGGGCGAACGCGGCAGCCAGTTGCGCACAGCAATGTCCCACAAACAGTCGTGGATTGAAAATGAACAATTTATTATTTTTTTTGGTTTTGGAGGGATTATTGGTTTTGGAGGGATTATTATCAGACGTGTGGAGTAAGGAAACTTGCCCAAGGTTTCACCCTGCCTGGAATTGAACTCAGGTCTCTCGCTTGCAAATAGAGTGCTCTAACCACTGAGCTACAGGACTCCACAAATTCCACCTGGGTCTCGATTTCATTTACTTATGTAGCATTTTGGATCATCCAGAATTTAAAAAAATGTGGAAATTCACTTGTATCCTTGAATAAGTTTAATATTAAAGAACTTAAAGAAAACTAGCTTCAAAATTAAGGCTGTATTTATGGATTTGGCAAAACTCTGAAATGCAATCTAAATAGAGTAAATCTAGACCCACCAGGTGGAATTTCTTCCAATTACTCCTCTAGAAAAAAAAACTAAAGGATGCTGTGGCAGATAAAATAAACAGTATGGTAAGAGTTAGATACTCAGCACAGTTCCAAACTCCTACCTTCAATCCTACAGGTCGATGAGTATTTTCTAAAGCTTCATAGACTTCACTCACTTCAGTGGTTCCAGATAACAGTAGCTGAAAGGTATCTTCCAGTATGAATTCCTTAGTGATGCGATCTGCAAAAGCTATGCTGTCATCTGCTTCAAAGACAGGCTGCTGGTGCACCTGAGCAAAAATGTTAATCGTGACTCTTATTTTACTAATCTTTATAAAATAAACTTTCACAGCACAACAGACCTGCAGCGGTATAAGTGAACCTGCTTGAATTCCTTGCTCATTTACTCATGTAAAGACTATTCCTTCACAAAATACCAGGTTCTTGAGATGTACTGCATCGTAAGCTCTATAATCAATCCGTTTAAATACTTAAGCAAACTGATCCCAAACTCACTTACAATGTGATACTCCTATGGAAGGCTCCTAGACATGGTCATGGCGAAGCTTTGATACAGTTGCACAATGCATTTCAGTGATTTTTGTTTAATGATAATCAATAATAATAATCATTAATTATTCCAAAAGTTTTTCAAAAGCATCATTGTTGCTTCAACGATTATGAAACCCCAGACTCCCGAGAGGAAATAAAATCCCGATGCCTGTGTTTACTGAGGCAAAAAGAGCAGTATAAAAGCACAGACACCAACAATCATACCATTCTCCCTGCTGCAGGTTGTTGGTTACATAGGGACAGAGCATTAGGTCACTCCACCTTCAAATTTCCTTTGTTGGCTTTTAGATCATGGCAATTCTTTATATTTCTAATCTCGTTTCCCTGCTGTTTTCCCATTTCCCCAAATATCTTTACTTTCCAAGTGCCCCTGAACCACCTCAATTGATCATTTTTTCTTATGATTTTCTAGGTCAGGCTAGTGTTCCTTATTCAAGAACATTTTGTGTGGAGATATGTTTTCTGGGTTCATTTTTAACCTCAGCATCTCTCTTCACAAGGATCCCTCCACAGACCACTTAGGTCCACTCACTTGGACTTCTTGTGTGCACGTACGTGTGATCGTTGCTGGGACCAACAAGGAACTGGAACTGAAACGTAAACACAGCAGGTCCACAGAGCAGCAGCAGACCTTCAATTTTGTACAGTATCCTTGCCCTCCAGAGGCACAAGGTGAATGTGATCGAGACTGGCTGCACTGTGCTAATGCAGAGTGTAGTGTCATTATGCAGGCTAGTATTGTTGGTGGTAGAACACATTCAATGGGAGGAGACTGTGGAGACTGTACCTTGGCAGCGGGTACTACTGGTAATAACAGGCTTGAAATAGGCTTGACATTCCACCTAGCGCTCGTCTTCAAGATGAATTTGTCTTAAAGTGACCTTGTAGAACTGCATAAAGTTTTAAATGGGATTAACAAAGTAAGCCCAGAACAATATTTTAATATGCACAAAGATAGTGGAACAAGTGGACTCAGGTTTACAGTTGCAAAGGTCAGTTTCAGGACAGATACCGAGACGTTTTTCTTTACCTAGAGGGTAATTAACGACAAGAACACATTGCTAAAAAGGGTGGTTGAGGCCTAGCACTGGATTGATCTACAAAACAGCTTGATGCCGGGATGGGAGCAAGGTAGGGTGGGTGCTCTGGAAGCATGAGTTAAAATGGGACAAAGGGCCTTCTTCATCCAAACCAATCCTGTGATCTTCTGAAAATGTAAGATGGCTCTGAATTTCTTTGGTTCAGTCTTAATTTGAAAGCACATTTCCTCAATCTGAATTTGAAATATTCTCCAATTCTAAACCATCTTAAAGTTTAAAACAAAACAGTCTTAAGAGTTAAGGGTAGCTGCCATTTCATGTCTAGGCTACTATGAGACTTAAAAACAAAATATCACCCCACAGGAGCTCTGAGTGAAGGGGTTCTGCTACTGATTCTTCCTAGAAGTGCTTTTTTTATTTCAACAAAGAAGGGGAAATGCGGTTACTTCTATAGTTGAATATTTAACAGTAAGGACAGCGTAAAAAAAAATTATACTGTACTGACCTCTAGTGGATTACTGTGGACCTCTAGTAGTCCATTGCCAACAAAAAGAATAATGTAAAAACATTGTAGAAAGTGCAGTCTGGGGCCATGACCGGCACAGCACTGTTCAGGACTGGGTATTCCTGCAGACTCACATTTTTATATAAGTACTAATGCTTTTCATGCTGAAGTGCGCAAGAACATAAAACAGCAGATTTTTTCATGATTACAAAGGGGGAAAGATCAATACATTTCAATTATTGCTGATTTATTATTTTTGAAAAAAATGTAACAAGCATGTGTTTACCTCAATAACCACAGGATGGATGGACATGCCAAAGCTAAGGTCAAAGGCCAACAGCTGAAAACATGAACAACATCTGAAAAAAATGGAATGTATTAATCATGATTTGATCTGCTTAAGAGTTCAGGCCAGCAATAGAAGTAAATCAATCTTATAGAAGACTAGCTGAGCACCACAAGCCTTTCCTGTACTGAAAATTTCCTTCAGAACATTGGTTGTTTAAAACGCTAGTTAATAGTGTTTTGTGCAGCACACACCTCGCAAAGAAAAAGCTTTTAGTAACCATAGAAACAAAGTTTGTGTCTGCAGAACAACCATTATGATTTGTAAATAGCTGAAGAACCTGAGTTTGTGAAAAGATATTTCAAGTCCAACTGAGATTGATGAAATCAAGGTAAGGAATCAAGGAACATAAAAACTAGTAGTAAGAAGCTCGTTCAACTAGTTTTTATGGTTCTACATACAATATATCTGGGAAGTACTGACCCATTCTTAACGGAGATGTCCACAGAGTGGTGCAGTAAGACTAGCACAGTGAGGTCCAGAGAGAGCTTTACTCTGTGCACATCTTATTTGGGAATAATGACAATTCACCGGACAAAAACACATTAAAAGACACAAAAAATAACAGCAAATTACAAGTTGCTAGTTGCCTAAATCATTTGATCGTTCATAAACATAGCCAATGAGTGACAGTCACATAGCTGGAATCACCTGTGATGCAATTCATCACTTCAACCTTGAAGAAACTTTGGATGAGGATGTGTTACAGTTGACTGTGCTGGAAAAAGGACGAGAAGACCTGTAGAAGGGCTCCAGGTCTTGATCACTGCACAGTGAGTCCTGCTGAAAATCATGTCAAGTGTGTCAAGTAGGGTCAAAAACCTCAACAAAGGAAATAGGGCATTAATAAGTAGGGGAAGTAGTAAGAAGTCAAAACTAAATACACTATATCTAAATGCACAAAGCTTTCGTAACAAGATAGACAAATGAAGTGCACAAATAGACATAGATGGGTACGATCCAATGGCTACTACTGAGACGTGGTTACAGGGAGACCAAGGGTGGGAGCTAAACATTCTGGGATATTCAAGTACAGGAAAGAAAAGCAATGTGGAAAATGAGGTGGCGGGGGTGGTCTTAGCCCTGCTAATAAAAGATGAGATAAAAACAGTAGAGAGGAAGGATTTTAAATCAGAAAATCAGGATGTAGAGTCAATATGGGTGGAGGTAAGAAATAACATGGGGCAGAAAACCTAGTGGGAGTAGTTTATAGACCCCCAAAACAACAATAACAATAAAATTACATTTGTATAGCACCTTTCACATCGGGAGGATGTCCAAAGGTGCTGGACAGAGTACAGCATTTCAGACCTGAGCTGGGGTCAGGGGCAGAGAAAGGAGGGAGGGGGGGTGGCCGACGGCATGGTCAAAGAGGGGGTCTTGAGGCGGGACTTGACGGAGGCTAAGGAGGGTGTGAGGCGGAGTGACTGGGGGTTGGAATTCCAGAGGTTGGGGGCAGAGTGGCTGAAGGCTCTCCCGCCAATGGTGGGGAGGGTGGGTTTTCTTCAACCGTCCCTTCAGCTTCCCTCTCGTCTCTCTACCCCCTCCTCGCTCCCTCCCTTCCCTCCCCTTACCTCACCCTGACCATTTCCCCCCTGCTCGGATCCCGACCCAACTGTCCAGCGCCTTGGGACGTCCTCCTGACGTGAAAGGCGCTCTATAAATGCAATCTTGTTGTTGCTGTGGTCGGAGGACATGGAGCAGGCCAGAGCCAGCTGAGCGGAGGGAACGGGCGGGTTGGTAGGGAGTTAGGAGGTTGCAGAGATAGTGGGGCAAGGCAGTATTGGGCAGGGTATTAATCAGGAAATTAGAGGAGCGTGTAGGTAAAGGAATACACTAATAGTGGGTGATTTCAATCTTCATATAGACTGGGAAAACCAAATTGGCAAAAGTAAATTAGAAGATGAGTTTATAGAATGCATTAGAGATAGTTTTCTAGAACAGTTGCTGAGGAACCAACCAGAGAACAGGCTATCCTCGATCTTGTTTTGTGTAATCAAATAGGGCTAATCAGCAATCTGGAAGTTAAGGCTCCTCTAGGAGAGTGACCATAACATGATGGAATTTAACATTAAGTTAGAGAGTGATATAGTTGAATCTGAAGCAAGGATCTTAAATCTAAATAAAGCCAACTTTGCAGGTATGAGAGAAGATTTGGCTAAAATAGACTGGGAAATTAGATTTAAAAATTGACGATAGACCAGCAATGGCAAACGTTTAAACATACAATACATAATTCCAGCGATCACATATTCCTTGAAAAATAAAAATACCACGGGAAACGTGGTTCAACCTTGGCTAACTAGAGAAGTTAGGGAAAGTATAAAATTGAAAGAAGAGGCCTATAATACTGTCAAAAAGAGCAGTAAACCTGGGGAGTGGGAGGGCTTTAGAGAACAGCAAAGGAATACCAAGAAACTGATTAAGAGGGAGAACATGGAATACGAGGCTAAACTAGCTAGGAACATAAAGACAGATTGTAAGAGTTTTTACAAGTACATAAAGAGAAAGAGACTATCAAAAGTGAATGTGGGTCCATTTCAGGCAGAGACAGGAGAAATTATAATGGGGAATAAAGAAATGGCAGTCATTAAACAAATGTTTTGCTTCTGTCTTCACGTTCGAGGACACTGAAAACTTACCAAAAATAGAGGGGAACCTGGAGGCTAATGTTAGTGAGGAACTTAAAGAAATGAACATCAGTAAAGTAATAGTACTAGAGAAATTGATAGGATTAAAAATTGATAAATCCCGTGGACCTGATGGCCTGCATCCTAGGGTTTTAAAAGAGGTGGCTGCAGAGATAGTGGATGCTTTGTTTTTGATCTTCCAAAATTCCCTGGACTCTGGAATGGTTTCCAGTGATTGGAAGGTTGCAAACATAACGCCGATATTGAGACAAAAAATGGGGAACTATAGACCAGTTAGTTTGGCATCGGTGGTAGGGAAAATTCTAGAGTCCTTAATTAGGGACGTCGTCGTGCGGTACTTAGAAAATCATAACATAATTAGGCAGAGCCAACATGGCTTCACGAAAGGGAAATCATGTTTAACAAATCTTATAGAGTTTTTTGAGGATGTAACTAGCAGGTTAGATAGGGGGGAACCAGTAGACGTGTTGTATTTGGATTTCCAGAAGCTATTGGAGAGTGGCTAACAGGAAGAAAACAGAGAGTAGGTATAAACAGGTCCTTCTCAGCTTGGCAGGATGTGACTAGTGGAGTGCCACAATGATCAGTGCTTGGGCCTCAATTATTTACAGTCTACATCAATGATTTAGATGAGGAAATAGAACTTAACATATCTAAATTTGTGGACGATACTAAGATAGCTGGGAGAGTAAGCTGTGAGGATGACACACGAAGAATGCAAAGGGAAATTGACAGGCTAGGTGAGGGGCATGAAGGTGGCAGATGGAGTATAACGTGGGGAAGTGTGAAGTTATTTACCTAGGTAATAAAAATAGAAAAACTGATTATTTTCTAGAGGGGAGAGACTAGATAGTGTTAGTGTTCAGAGGGATTTGGGTGTCCTTGTACACCAAAGGATAGTGAATTTGTGGAATTCTCTACCCCAGAAGTCCTGTGGATGCTCAGTGCTTGAACATATTCAAGACAGAGGTTGATAGATTTCTAAAGGATAGAGGGATTAGTGGATATGGGGATAGGGCGGATAAATGGAATTAGGTTAGAAGATCAGCCATGATCTTATTAAATGGCGAGGCAGGCTCGAGGGTCGAATGGCCTACTCCTGCTCCTACGTCTTACGGTCTTATGTGATTTTCATGTGAACATCAGGCGAGTACAGGATCAAGCTAGGCAGCAATACTCCCATGATCAAATAGTCTGCTGACACTCAATGTATCCCAGCTTAGTTTTTCACCCGCAAAATGCACAGTACAATCACTTTACAATAATATCCTCTGAAGCGCTTTGAGACATCTTGACGATGTGATAATCCTACCAAATGCAAGGATTATTGTTATTATTATTAGAACTTACACATGCCACTGGGGAAAAGTACTGGAGGGCTGTAGGTATCTGTGAAAGCAAGCTCCTACTTGAGCCTTCAAGGATGGGAGAGGAAAGATAGAAGCAAGAAGAAAAGAAGAAATTCTTATCGAGATGTTCATACTTCGGTTTTGCAACTTAGATGGAATTCTCGTATAAATGTGTACGAGAAATGTGCTCCCAAAAAAAGAAAAAAAGACTTACATTGTAACCCATGACTTAAGTTACAGTGGCAGTAATTTCAATGACACGTTATAACATCAATCTTATAAATAATCCACTAGACTGTTACTGCAGTCATGAGAAATAAGACATGGATCTTATATAACTACTGGTGACAGTCAGTCTCTTCTCAGTAGCTGTTACTGTGGAAATTCTGTGAAGAAGTTTGGAAATTATAAGACTTGATAAGTAGGGTTTAACACTGCAATATTTGTTCATTTTATCCCTGGAGACCAAAGTGTCAGTAATTAGGCAAGACAATTAAATAGAAATAATTCTCGTCGCTCGGGAGGAATTTGTGCCTCCTGGAGCAAAAATGTTGAACACATCACTCATCATTCTGGACTTAATCATAATTATCTTGGACTCATTGAGGTCGGTCATGATTCTTCTGTGTTAATGTGAATCTCAGCAATACTGTAACAATTAATGGCCAAGTTAAACTGCGAGGAGTGGTTTTAGGCAAATAACTGAGGTAGACTGTGCAAGCTGGAAGCAAAGAGTTATACTGCCACCTCTGCATCATTCTCGGTTTAAACAAGGGGGAGCTCTGTTGTACACAATTGTTTGCAGCCAGAGTGTTCCACTTATCAGCTTTCAGTTGGGACTGCACTGATCACATAGTCTAAGCCAGGTCCAACGGGAGGCCCACAGACTGCAGCCAGCCCGGCAGATAATTTCATCCGGCCCTAGACCATTTACAACTTGTGGGCTGCCTGCTCTCTCCCTCCCTCCTTCCCAGGCAAACCATTCTCTCATGGCAGCGGCAGGAGCAGGCGGTCAGGTGCAAACAGCACGGGAAGTGGAAATAATGCCGGCTGTTGCTGCACTGCATCAGGAAGGCAAGTGCGTTTCCTTATCCACCGCATCCTTAGCAACTGCCAGCTCCTGCCGCTGCAGTTAGTGAGCCACACGGCTGACTGAGAGAAAGAGGGGAAGAGAGAGAGGGAGAGAGGGAGTAAGAGAGTGTGTGAGGAGAGAATGTGTGTGTGTGAAAGAGGGAGTGAAAGAGATAGTGTGTGAGAGAGGGAGAGAGAGAATAACAGTGCTTCTACAAACTCCACATGTATACATTAGAAGCGACAAAGGTTTGCGAGTGTAACACTCGTAGTATTGATAAATTTGGGGTAAGAGAGCACATAACTACACAGCAGGAAACAATAACTTGCACACTATTCAATATATAAATAAAATAGTTTTTCCCTCAGTACAAAATGGTTATCAAAAGTTTAAGGCCCACAGATTTTGTAAACATAAATAATCAGCATAGCATGAATTTTAAATTCGGTCGTAAAAATTATTGTACAATTATTGATGCTCTAATCAGCTGTTAAATGCCTCACCTTAGTGACATTCCTTGGCTTGTAGTGGATAATTCAATGTTTGCTTCAGTTATTAATAAAAGTTGTGTAATTAGCTCCTTCATGTTCTCAAAGGCTTGTGCAGAGGCGTCCATCCCAAAGTATTTCTCAAAATATGCCAGAAGCTGTCAAAGATTATGTACTTTAGTAAGCAGTAACCAGAAATTGAGAATTCACACATTTGTGCAATGTCAACTCTGCTAATTTATTTGCAACTGATGAATCTTCAGCAAATATATTACTCCTGTATTTTATAACGTACATTTTTGTAGCATGCCATGCACATGGCAACCACAGGAGGACACCAAAGTACAATCTTCAGTCTTGGGAACCTGTTCAAATTCAGACCTTCATAATAATAATCCTTGCATTTGATATAACGCCTTATCATACTGTCGAGATATCTCAAAGTGTTTCACAGGATTGTCTTGTGTATTTGCAGGAAAATGCAGCAGCCAATTTGCATGGAGCAATGTTCTGCAAAAAGCCATGAAGTGAATAATCAATTTTATCTGCAGGATTATTAGCCAGGACACCGAGAGGAACTCTCTTCTCTTTACTAGTAGCAAAAAGTATTCTTTTCTCTAGTAATGATATAAACTTTATTTTCATATTCACAAAAACAAAATCACAAAAAACGTGAAATGGAGGATTTTCATTTATTTACAACTGATGAATCTTCAGAAAATATATTACATTTTGTAACTCACATTTTATAGTGTGCTGATGCATATTTATGCCAACCAGAGCAGAATCATTTGCCTACAAAATACACGATCACTACACTTTGCATAAATCCTGTGAAGCGCTCTGAGATGTCCTCCCGACATGAAAGGTGCCACATCAAATGCAAGGAGTATTATTATTATTTTGCCATCAGTCAACTCGCAGATTTCTCAAGCATGCTCTCGATAGTCCTGCCTAAACCTTCCCAGATGTCAATGGTTACCACAGACAGACAGAGGCAGGCTCCAGTGTGCCATGCAAACCTTGTGAAAATATTGTGTAAAAAAAATCACACCCGAGCTTCTTAGAAAAGCAGCAAATGAAAATAAAATTAGATGGCACAAGATAGATAATGAATAAAGTAAATAGAGTAAAGGACACAAAAAGAGGGAACAAGCAAAGAGAAAAATATTAGTGTTCTACTTTGATGTTTTTCATTCTTGAAAGTGACTGATATTTTTATATATTAAGTAGGAATGCAATAAGAAATTTCATGTTAATTAGTTTATTGCAGTATTAATAGTGGCTTTGGCAACACAATTCACACTTCTAAGGGCATTTTTTTCCGGCATTTTCATCTAGGAACAAGAAATGATAAAAATAGATAATAAATTAACTATAGTTATGAGAGGACTTTCAAACCTGCATCCATTGGATTGGTGGATTAAATACATTCCCTGAGGTGCTAAATGTCACAACTACAACAACAAAATTACATTTATAAAGCGCCTTTCACGTCGGGAGGACGTCCCAAAGCACTGAACAGTCAAGTGTCGGGGCCCGAGCATGGGGGAGGGGGGGGTGATGTAGGGGTGAGGAAAGGCAAAGAGGTGGGAGGGAGACCAAAGGCATGGTCGAAGAGAAAGGTCTTGAGACCGACCTTGAAGGAGGCAAGGGAGGAAGCGAAGCGAAGGAACCGTGTAAAGATTTGTGTTTGCTCAAAAGTCTTACATCCAACAGCAGAATAATGCAGGTCATCATTTTGTGATAACTTAGCACAGTCATTATAATGGTACAAGCAAATGTTACTGCAGTTTAGCCAAGCACAGCTACGGGGTTAAAAAACTCATTCAAGAAACAGCTTGTTGATTTAATGCAAGGATTGAAGGAAGAATCTTCAGGAAAGGTGAGATTGAACATTACAGATTTAATAAATGGCCTAAACCAAACCATTAACCTATCACTCTTCCAGGTGATGGTTGAGCTGCTGTGGTTTCTGATTTTAATTCAGATATCATACCTTCCTCTCTATTAAATGAAGCTAAAATATTGGATTAGAACTTTTGCTGGAGATACTAATCCTGACTAAACAAAAATGAAGTGCTTAGCATTAAATTTCTATCCTATAACTAGATGAAACACAGTTTAATACGGCATCTCCTCTAGCCCGGACCGTCTCATGCAGCGTCCCTCAGGGTTCTGTCCTTGGTCCCCTCCTCTTCAACATCTATATTCTCCCTCTTAGTGACATCATCTGCAGACATGGGGTCAACTTCCACATGTATTCGGATGACACCCAACTCTACCTTTCTGCCTCCACTCTTGACTCCAGGACCACTGCTGGGTTGACAGAATGTCTGTCAGACATCAAGTCCTGGATGAAAGCCAACTTTCTTGCACCCATCCTCTGGAACGCCATCCTGCAGTCCCTCCATCTCGCCCCCTCCCTCGCCGCCTTCAAGACCCACATCAAGACCTTCCTCTTCGACCGTGCTTTCGGTCTCCCTGCTTTCTCCCCTGTCCTCCACCCTCCCCCACCCCGACCCATCAGCTCGGGTCCATAACTCTGTCTGTCCAGCGCCTTGGGATGTCCTCCCGACGTGAAAGGTGCTTTACAAATGTAATTTTGTTGTTTTGTTAATAAGTAGAACTAATCAAATGACAGTTTGTATAGTTTGATCCCCCCTCCCCCACCATCTGGCCCCAAAGGGGCTTGAAAATAATGTGTAATTTTCTATCCAAAGGAATGCACAAATGATGTGCAAATCACTTCATTATTCTGTGCTTGAATTTAAAGGAAAGCAATTGCATAAAACAATTGGCAATAAAAATGCATTGCAAAGTTCACACTGTGGAGCACATAAGAGAATGTACCTCGGTCGCCAACCTATTTGGACAGAAGAACAAAAGAAAGCCATTTGGCCATTGTGTCTGCTCTGCATTTTTATTAGATCACGACAGGTACTTAACCCATTCCTCTACCTCTTTTCTCCTTATTCCTTATAATGTCTGGAGCCTGTTCCTCCTCAACATTAGCATAGTTAAATTCTCTGAAGTGCAGATACACACAACTCTTTGCAGTCAAACAATGTACCTTAGTAACAAAGAACTTCTTATTGAGTTCACTTTGGACGAGTCCTGTTGAGTGGATGAATGCCCGTAGCGGAGATAATGATGTCACCAAAACATATACTTTAACAATTGTAGAAAGGCCGTCTATTGGAACAGTCTGTGGCTTCCCAGAGTCTTCTGAATATGTGTCATACCTGGAAAAGAAGAACTGATTAATTTATGTAACTGGATCTGTCCTGCTTATTAAGCTGCTTTTAACTCAAATGATTACAAACTAGCAGAACAAAAGTTAAAACGTTGTAATTGGAAATGAGACCAACAAGCCATAAATTACCAACATTCCTGAGCATTGCTTCAGTCAACAAAGAACCATTCCAAAATATATCTCAGATAGTAGACTTGATGAGCCAAATGGCTCCTTTTGCCCTGCAAACTTCCATGATATTCTGCACGGTGACCGGCGGATTAGATAATCAGTTGGAAAAGTACTTGTGCCAGCATTATGTTATCACAAACATTGGTGTTGACCAAGGTTAGAGTAGTTAATGGGAACAGAGCATTTCTGCTCTTTTGGCAAGCCACATCTGCATCAAGTGCTCTGACACACTGCCCTGCATGGAGGGCGCTATATAAGTGCAAGTTGTTGTTATTGCTGTTGTTGTAAGTACCCCAGGCCACTTATGCAGTAATGGGCTCTACTCTCCTCATGCACCTTTCTCAAATGGGACCTCTTATTAGCCCCAATGTAGTTTGTTTTCATTTAAAACATTACCTTCAAAACTTCTGCATTTGCCTTTGTATAACTAGGGGTCCTTGATCTTAAAACTGGAAAACTATTTAATTCCCTACTAAGACATTTCCACTGGGTGTCCCTTGGAGCAGTCTGTGTGGTGCTACAAGTTGCAATTGGGTTGTCAGAATATTACTCTAGGGCATTCAAGATGCCAAGTTCCAACTCCCATCAAGAAATTATCCAGAGATACTCGTGCAACTCACAGCAGTCAGCTCAACGTGTTAAAACTGACAACTGCACAGCATTCAATTCATTGCAGCTTAAATAATGTCCTGTACAAACGAATGATAAATTTTAAAGTATTTTTTTAATATTCAATCAACTGAAAGTTGACTATGTTTTTGGAAATGCTTCTCTTACTGCTTTGTTCCGCTCTCATCATTCCAGTTTTGAAGCTTCAGAAATAAATCACTTTCCTCCAGAGACAGGGTGTTACCAGCCTTGACACTGTTGTTGGCAGGCTCCAGATCAGCATAATAGTCCAAGCACAAAGGTGAAATCACCAAGGGTTGAAGCACTGCAAGACAGTGCCAGAAAGTACAGCTGTTAGATACTGTTCTCAAAAACCATTCCATTATTGGAAGCATCGACAATATTACAAATATCCTGACATTTCTAGAAAGAATGTGATGTACAAAGTGACAATTCACCTGATCCACGCACAGAAATTCATGAATTAAATAATAATCCTTGCATTTGATATAGCGCCTTATCACATCTTCGAGACGTCTCAAAGCTCTTTGCAGAATACTCCTTTTTTTATAATAATAAATATAAATATTTCAGTCGTTTTGATGGGGCAGAAAGCAAGGAAATAATAACATGCTCATCAATTGGAAAGAAGAAAGAACTTCTAGATAGTGCCTTGACATGTCAGAAGATGCTTCACAGCAATTACAGTTAAGTGGAGTGACATTATGGTAAGGAAAGTAAGACAGCTATTTGCTCCAGCAAGATCCCACGATCATTTATGAAGTGAGTGATGAGTTTTAATTGGAGGATTGTTGGCCAGGATATCAGGAGAAACTCCCTACACTTTTCTAATGATGTCATGGGATCTTTAACATCCACAAGAACAAGTAGACAGATCGCGCTATAACATCTCATCTGAAAGACGGCACCTCTGATAAAGTGCTACTCGAGTATTAAAGAGGAAAATTAGCCGAGTCTACCAGCTCAATTCATAATGATGGAGTAGGGGTGGGGGGCGGAAGGGTATTCAATCCAGAGCCTTCTGACCTGGGGTGACAGCGCTACCATCTGGGCCTAGTTGACACATAAATGACTTAGATTAGAACCTTCTCTGTACTGCCAAGTATGAGACTGTGAAAGGATGTGTTTGCAAAATGCTGACGAGCTTCCCTAACCTCGGTTCACTTTCTAATTCCGGCCAGACTCTATGCTTAAAAAAAACGGCACAGATACAACTTCAAAGGCCTCCTTCAACCATAACAAGATCCTCCACAGGGAAAATATCAGCAAACAAGCAGCTGGTCTGCAATATATACAAAAGAAAAATACATGATTTAAAGCGAGAAGCACTGAGTAGCAATACTACCATTTAGCTGTAATAGATATAAGAAAGCAGACACACAGACACATTTAGGGAACAAAATACAGCATGTGATATCACAGGTGATCATTTTCACATTGAACGAAAATCCAGTCAAAAGCAATAAATAGTTACAACAGTGATGACAACTTGCATTTACATAGCGCCCTTCACACGGGGTAGCGTATTGGAGAGCTTAAAAACAGCAACTTGTATTTATATAGCACAGGGCGTCACTCAGATTGCAGTATGCAGATTGAAAATTCAACTTTTGTAAAGAAATGTTTTCTTAGAATACAAGAGCTAGAATAAAGTATATTTAAGTAGCAGAGGATCTGAGCTCCTGCCACCTTCACACAACCTCGATATGTCAGTGTAAGGTTCTCGTCAAATGACTTCAAATTTCAGCGTTTGAGACAAAGGTGCACGTATATCACACATTTACCAATATGAAACGATCTTCCAACCCACAAGCCATTCTCTCTGAAATGTTGTCAGCCTCAGCCATCTTTGCCCTGCAGTAAACTTTAAAACGTTCTTTTGTATTTGCTGAGGTCAAATTTATTACAGATCTCATTGTAGCTCCCACTCAATCTTGCAAATAATTGTCATAATCTACAACATTCTTCATAACTTTCCTCTCAAGTTCGGACAAAACTCTGCTTCATGCAATCTCACCCTCATTAAATCCCGCATGCCCAGCACCCCAGTCCTCGCCAGGCTTCACTGGCTCCCTAAGGATCAATTTCAAGGTCCTCAACTTCACCTATAAATCCCTTCATGCCCTCACACCTCTCTATCTCTGTAATCTTTCCTAGCCAACTCTTCTGCTCGTCCATTCAAGACGACAAACCTACTATGAATCCTTCATGCCTAAAATCAGAGGCCGAGCCTTCAGCAATCCACCCCAACTCTTTGAAACTCTCTCCCTCTACTCCTCCATCTTGCCCCTTCTATCTGTGTTTAAATTCGAACTAAACGCCTATCTTTCCAACAGTGTCAACAGTCTACGCCCCTCCTCCCTCGCTCAGCTTCTAATTCCGACCCTGTGAAGCTCTCTGAGATGTTATCCTTCATGAAGGAAACTACATAAATGCAAATTGCGATTGTCTTAGCCCCTTGAGTGCAAACTCCTATTTGATAAGGTCTCAGATCACTTAAATGCATGTTATATACAATGTGGAGGCCATAAGTCGTCATCGTATGATGTGTTTTATTGATACACTATCAACATCACTACAAAATACAGGTATATAAACTTCACATTACATTCGTAGATCGACTTAAACTTTTGTCAAGAAAGTGAATGGTTAATTTTCATTCAAATGATTGATAACAAAATTGCAAATGACCAATTTAAACCTCTGACTGAGATTATCCAACCAGTTCCTACAGCCAATTACAGTGGTTGTGGTGGTCTCTTGTCTAGAAATAACTAAAGTCAAATAGATTCCACTTATGCCCTCTGTTCAGTATCCGGATAAACTCAGTAGTTTCCCAAAAACAACCATTATTCAGCCTCAGTTTTCCCATACAGGAAATTCATCCTCGCCAAGAGATTTAAGACAACAGGGCACATTTAAAACATCAGTGAAATGGCAAGAGCAATTTGAATGCTGAAAATATTCTCCTTTCAACATTTAATTACTCAATTAATCAATGAGATGACAGATCCGTTTAAGCTTTTTACCAACTGAATTTAAAACTGGAGCAGTAAATGCATCACAGCCAATATGCTGCAGGAATGACTTCCAGCTTTTGCACTGTCAGTTTTCAAACCACGTTCACTTTCCCAGGCATATTCTTAACAGGTCAATCCCTCACAGGAAAATACTCTATGTAGATTTTCTTGTTTTTGCAGAGATGTTTTACTGTCAGAAAAGTCCGAACTTATTTTTCACATATCTTCCAATTAAACGTAAAACTCATGAAGAAAACAACAAAACAAGTTTGTGTGTTTTCATGTGAATGTGAGAAAGATCCCACGAGACCACAGTAGAACCCCACTATACAGCACCTCATTATAATTCTGATAATAATCATTGCATTATATATTAATAATAATCTTCTTTATATCACCCATCACATGGTCAAAAGGTCTCAAAGTGCTTCACAGGATTACTGTTAAGTGCAGTAAAGTATTGGTATACGTATGAATATGTATCGATGTACACATTCACTTGATAGAACCAGTATTGCACTGACCAAAATGGTAAAAAAATCCAATACTGGTTCAATCAAAATTGCCAGACGGTGTGCAAGAAAGTAAAATGGACGACCTCCGGGTCATCAGGTCACCACTAACATAATTTCCTGCTCACTGGACATGCATCATCTAGGTGCAATTTTGTTTTCTCAAGCAGTTGTGGGAGATTTGGAGCGTGGATGGGGGCAGACATCTTTTTGGCCAGCCCAAAAACAACTGTCAAGAGTGGAAAACAGTTGTTTTCTGGCTACATTAACTGACAAAGCACTATATCAAATGCAATGATTATTATTATTACGATTATAATTAAGAATAATCTCCTTTCACAGAAGACTTCATGAAACACAATTAAAAGAGTTTGTTGTGTTAGGCAAATTAAGATAGAAAATAGAAAATTACTCGCTTGTTACCTGGTAATCTTTGAGCAACATTCATGATGTGACAAAATCTGTTTTTGCTGCATAATGTCTGCTCTAACGCTGGTATTCTATTTACCTAAAAAAAAATCAACAAACCAAGAGATAATGTTATTTATAACCAACTCAAGAACCTGTATGAAAATCCTGTAGTCGAAACTTAATGACATAACATTCAAATCTCAGGTAAAATATTTCACTGAGCTGCTTTGGGTGGTTTGAAATTCCAGACACTTCGCTTTAAAAGAAGGTAAAATAACAACAAGATTCCATTTATAGAGGGCCTTTCACGTCGGGAGGACTTCCCAAAGCGCTGGACAGTTGGGCCAGGACCCGAGCAGGGGGGAAATCGTCAGGGTGAGGGGAGGGAAGGGAGGGGGCGAGGAGGGGTTAGAGAGTTGAGAGGGGAGATGAAGGCACGGTCAAAGAGAAAGGTCTTGAGACCGACTTTGAAGGAGGAAAAGGAGGAAGCAAGGCGAAGGCACTGGGGGATAGAGTTCCAGAACCTAGGGGCTGAGAGGCTGAAGGCCCGGCCACCGATGGTAGGGCGGTTGGGGCGGGGGATGTGGAGCAGACCGGAGCCAGAGGAACGGAGGGTACGGCCAGATAGATAGGGGGATAGTAGGTCAGAGAGGTAGGAGGGAGCAGGGCCGTGAATGGCCTTGTAGGTGAGGATGAGGATCTTGAATTCGACCCTCTGGGGGATGGGAAGCCAGCGGAGGCGAGCGAGGGTGGGAGTGATGTGGTCGCGAAGCCTGGTGCGGGACAGTACACGAGCTGCAGAGTTCTGAATGACCTGCAGCTTGTGGAGGGAGGTGCCGGGAAGGCCGGCGAGGAGAGAGTTCCCATAGTCCAGCCTTGAGGTGATAAAGGCATGGACCAGAGTTTCAGCAGCATGAGGGGTGAGGTAGTGCTGTAGTCTGGCGATGTTTCGGAGTGATGTTGTCGTTTCGATGACATAATCAGGTAATTTGTGTTTTAAGTCATAAAGAGATCAAATGTGAATGATGAGGGTCTCACTTCCAGAACCTCAAGACCAATTTACAATCTATATATCACTCGTTGACATACTATTATAATTGTTTCAAGTGATGACATTCTGATTGAAGGCTTAATCACTGGCTTACTCCACAACCCCCCTCCCCCCACACACCGCAAGCCCGATTCCAGATCAAGATAATTACAGGACAGTCAATGTTTAACCTTTAGATGAGGATCAATTAATTATATAAAGTTTAAAGAATGAAAATTGTGAGCATAAACAATAATAATCCTTGCATTTAACATAGTGCTGAAACACATCACTTGAATGCCTCAAAGTGTTTCACAGGATTTTACTGCAAGGAGGAGTCACTGTGTATTTTTAGAAGAATGAACAGCAATGTCCCACAAACACTCATGACGTAAGTGATTCATTTTAGTTGCGAAATTGTTGTCCAGGACAACAGGAGACACTCTCTTCTTTCCCTGACTACGCAAACCTAACCAGCAGATACGTTCTGTAGGGATGAGACCTGCACAGTGATTGAATTTCTACAATACCTTTGACAAACAACAATTTATAGCTTTGAAAGATGTTTTCTTCAACATAGAACTTGGGCTATCATCTCAATATGGCTAAGTGCAGGGGAGTATTGTTATATAGTGTGGAGGTTGGTTACATTCAATAGCTCTGTGGCCGCATTATACACAAAGCTCTAAACATCACTTTCTTTGCCCTTTGGGCACAAACTGCCACTGGGTTTCTTGTGCGCAGTAAGTGACTTCAATGACACCTCACTCTCAGGAAGTGATGTAACAGCAACCTGCCAACTTAGATATCAGACTTTTTTTTAAAAAAAGTGTGGAAGTCAGCTTGTCAGCATCAGAAGTCTAGAGTACCTTGTTTCCAGTTAGTGCTGGGCCACAGAACATCAGTGCTATCAGCAAGGCAGCACTATACCAAAGGGCTATAATGGCATTCCACTCCATTGTATTTAAACACTTCATCTCGTGCAAGGAGTCTTGGCAACTATGCTGATAAAAAGTTATCTGTGCTTAATTAATATCAATCTTTAAACTTTCTTATTGAACAACAAAACATTTGTTTAAAAATGGGAATCGAGTTGGGAAATAATCACTGGCAACAGAAAAAAAAAATCACACTGTGGTGCAATAATGACTAAAATGACAAATTCATCCAAGAGTGAAATCGACTTGCTTTCACAAGCTCAGGACCCTTTCTGTGAACTCAAGGGAATTAATCTTCAGGCTTTGAGGAAAGTTGCTTGACAGAGAAACTACCACATTGTAAAACGTGACTACCTTAGGCTTAGATCTGAACAGATTTATATTTTATGACACAGTATGGCCAGCATATAAAAGCCAGAGAAGACAATTAATTTTAAAACAACTGAGATTGATAGCTCGAAGTGTGCGGGTAAAAGAAGATACATTCATCTGTTAAAAATGATGAAGAATGACAACTTTAGATCCACATTTCATGTTTGGAGTAGGTACTGAAAATGTATCGTCTAAAGGGGCAGCCTGTGAAGTCTCACCTATTTTTAAACAGAGGTACTGATTTCAACCGGTTTCTATCAATGAAGGAAAACTGCAGGTTTGAGCATTCCATCCAGACTTCTGTACTAGAGCAGAGGTGATCTCAGCTGCTTTCTCACTTCGCATGCATCGTTTTGAAATAAACTAATAATAATCCTTGCATTTGATGTAGCATCTCATCACATCTTTTAGATGTCTTAAAGCACTTTGCAGAATATACCGTATGTTTTGTAGGCGAAGCACAGCAGCCAATTGCACACAGCAGTGTCCCACAAACAGTGGATTAATTGACCAAATTATTTGTTTTTGAAGGGATTATTACCTCCGGAAAAGTGATTTGCCAATCGACTAACAACCAACCAGGTTCTTACTTACTGCTAGGTAAACAGAAGCGTGTGGAAGAAGGAAATGTGCCCAACGTTTCGCCCTGCCCCAGAATCAAACCCAGGTCCTCTCACTTGCGAGTGCTCTAATCACTAAACTACAGGACTCCACAAGTCATGCCTTTGACACATAAATATATATAACAATATCCTATCCAGTTCTCAGGTTCTTTTATTCCAGTTACGTTGCATATTTTAAACAAGACTAGATGCTTTGCAACTAGACTGATTTTGCTTACCTTCTGATGAAGCTGCAGTTGATTAAATCCTTCCTTTGAAAGGCACCCATTATTATCCTCCTTCGCCGTGAAACAAATCAGCATATCCCACTCTTCAGCTGTACGCATTCCTAAAAACAGGAAGATTGAACTGATGTTAATCCTTCAAAATTAAATATATGCATTGCACTGAAGTGTTCTTAGTGTCAAGGTAACATTTATCTGGTTAATGTAACGTAGAAGGCCTCAATCCTAGATGTAGAGGTTAAAGGTTCAAAGCCCAGGGCTGTGTATCACCCAACACCAGCAACTAAAGTCTTTTGAATTTCATTAGTTATTTGCAAGGTCACTGGATTGGAAGCAACATAAGGATGGAGGAGGACAACCGACCATTCCCAAACTGACAGAATCTAACTGACATCTTGTGTAATCGGACCACTCAATGGCCTAATTGCTTTTGGTAGAGACTTATTCAAAGCCAGAGAGGGAGAAATGGTAAAAGTGCATTGTAAAACAAAAGAGCTTAAGCATGACCCACAATAACTCTTGATGGGCCTCTGTTTAATCAAAACCAGTTGGTGGCCGTTTCTCCCATGTCAGATGAGTTGAACTGTAACTGGTAAATTTAACACGCTTCATAATGGAAATAAAGGTCAGAGTCACCAAAAGTATGTCTAGCTACTTAAATCCCAGAAAACAAAAATATAATTTTGTTTGTGTGACCCACAGGAATCTTTTCTAATACACTTCTCAATTTGCAGAATTTTCTTGGTTCGGATTTAGATTCAGAAATGAGAATCAGAGAACTACAGATCTGGTTTTGCAGGCTGGCAGCCATATCTATTTCACCCTCAATGTAGAAATGGATATAGATTTGAATGGATGTAACTGGAATAAAAATAACCCGAGAACTGGATAGGATAAGCCCACAAAATATACAGTCAATCCACTTTATAGTATATTCTGTGAAACGCTTTGAGATGTCTGAAAGACGTAAAAGGCACAAATCAAATGCAAGGATTATTATTATTATTATTATTAACTGTGAATCTGGATATAGACAAAGCTATTCATTTTTTTTTGGTCAGTTAGCATGCGGAAATCCATCATCATATTTAAGAGTATTCAAATCAGACTGAGATCCACATATTTATGCCACCCAAGTATAGAAATTTCCTTGTGTTTGGAATGGAATTCACATTCTCTCCCTGGGTGGATTCACCCAGTTTATCTAATTCTAGAGATTATTTGTTGTAAGTTGGCAAGAGCTACCACTGCGCCAGGCTGACACATGTTACCGGTATTCAGACACAAATATCACACAATTTTCACATTGCACACCTTTTTATTCTATTTGCAGGTGACATTTTATACTTACTAGTTTGTTAAAATATTCCTGCAATGTCACTTTTACTTTGTAAATCAAAAACTACCCATAGAAAATAGCAGGCTTAGCTCTCAGTATGAAATTGCTTTTTTCTCTGAGAAGCGTCAGTTATTTTATTATAGAATACGACATCTGTTTGCAGCGATAGATATTGTAATTTTCTGCGGAATTTGATTTTGATATGTGAATTTGATTGCCGATTCAAATAAATCTATTTGCGGGGAACGGGAGAGGGAATGGAAAGTACGTGAAGTCTGCAGCTATGCACAATTCGAATAAAAAGGCAACAAAACAAACTCATAAAAAAGCAACATTAGAAATGGGTAAGTGGTATTAGAAATTGGAAATGTGTGAGAATAAATGGAATTGTGCAATAAAACTGACTAAAAGTAGAGTAGAATTGCTTAAGCAATACATTTTCCTTCTCGGATTTCTCCTCCTACAAGTAATTCATCTTTAAACAACCCTTTATATCCTTTATTTGTTCTCATGAACTTTACTTGATTGGGGAGGGAAGAGAGAGGAGCGTCCTCCTCTTTGTCAAGTAACCCATTGATATTCATTGTCCAGGCTGATATGACAACAACTTGAATGAGATGCTGGAGTGCAGCCAGAATTCGTGGAAGCAAATCCCATCTTGAGTTACCATCGACAAGGCAGGAGTGAGTGAGATGTGTTATGTCAATTATATTCGCAGTATGCACCTTTAAAGGTAACAGAACAATAAATTGTGAAGAAAATTAATTCAATCTGCAAGTTTTACTGAAATAAGCAAGATGCCTTATTTCATACCATCAACATTCAATTGAGATGGTGGCTGCAATGCCTCTACGACACAAATTATTTACCATTGTGTAAGGTAACGATTAGATGCCCAAAAAAGTGACACAACAACTTTGATTTATATAGCGCCCTTTTCCGGGTGTAGTGTCTCAGAGCATTTGACAATGGAGGAGTCTGACCCCGAGCCAGGAGGAGAGGGAGGGGGGAGGTGACCGTAAGCACGATCAAAAAGGAAGGTCTTTAGGCAGGATTTGAAGGTGGGGAGGGAGATGACAAGATGGAGGGATTGAGGAAGACAGTTCTAGAGTTTTGGGTGTAGTGGCTGAAGGCACGGTCAGTGATGGTGGAGTGGAGGGGACGAGGACCAAACAAGAGGCCGGAGCCAGCCGAGCGGGTGGGGTAGTGGGGTGGGGGGGTAAGCAAATCGGATAGGTAGGGAGGTGCGAGGGCATGAAGGGAAGACACAAATGCATCCAATTAACTCTTCCATTATGACTATTATACTAACCATTATACTAACAGTACTGCACTTTAAGATAAGCTTTTGCTGGCACACTGTGCGCTGGTTTTATAACATGTTGCATACAATGCAGATATTCAGAGGACCTGTTGGCTGTTCAAGCATAAACTGTAATCTGACAAGTGGAAGTAGATTTTCTTATAAATTCTCCAATGCATCATTGTTTTTTCTAATGGGACCTTAAAGCAGTATGCACAGACTTGTATGGAAACTAAATGCTTCTAGGTTTAATAATACGGGAATTGAGAGTTTATGACCATTTAGTGCTCAAACAGTTGCACCATAAACTTTTTTTTAAACAACCAGACATTAACAAAGTTTACTGCACAATCAATCATGCTAAATCAATGAAAAAGTGCCAAATGCTTTGACTAAGGATGCATGTATAAAACCCTAAAGCCCTAGAATATACAGACACGACAATCAGTGTATAGGGTAGAACATCTGGTTGTCATTTTACAAACAGCACGAGCAGTGGTCCAGTTTGGGAAACAGCCAGATTTAACTGGAACAAAAACCAGACACCACTGTTTCTGCTGAGACCATTTAAGGCTCAAAGGAAATTCTTTACTAAAAATGACCAGAGCGATCTCAAAAATTATATTAAAAAAAATTATCTAAGTATGTTTCAAATGGAGCACAGTCCAGTTAAGGTAAAGAAAATGTAAATATTCAAATAGAGTTCACGTGAGGGTATCAGGCAAGAAGCAAAGCAAAGGTTTGCATCGCAAAAAAATAATTTTGTGATTGCCTTCCAGGCTTCATGACTAATCCTGCTGCCTCCATGGGGAAAAAAATTTCAGTGACACTGTCCTTATTTGGTTTAAACTCTGAACTACATGTTGAATAAATATTTTACAACAAAATAGATGTAAGTCAGTCGTTCACTGCCACAGCGTGCTCCTCTTAGCCATGCAGCAGTCACTCACTACATTGAAGAAATTCCAGTAGACACGACCTATTAAACGTTATGAGCAAACTGACACAAATCATTACCAGTTTAGATTACTGAGCGCTACTTGTATAAAAACATTGATACACAAAGTATAAAAATATAAATCAAAAGGGCACCTACATTTTGAATATATTCTGTTAACCTAAATTTCCAAAGAGACAAATGTATGAGTATTCAATTATACATTGAATTGTATAATAATAATCCTTGTATCTGATATAGCGCCTTATCACGTCTTCAAGACGCCTCAAAGCGCTTCACAGAATATACTGTAAAGTGAATTGACTGGATATTTTGTGGGCGACACGCAAAGCCAATTGCGCACAGCAGTGTCCCACAAACAGTTGTGGATTGAAGTGACCAATTTATTATTATTATGTTTCTGAAGGAATCATTACCCCCAGAAAAGTGATCCGCCAATTGACTAACAACCAGGTTCCTACTTACTGCTAGGTAAACATTGGCGTGTGGAGTAAGGAAACTTGCCTAACATTTCACCTTGCCGGGAATCGAACCCAGGTCTCTCGCTTGCGAGGAGAGTGCTCTAACCACTGAGCTATAGGATTCTAAGACTAATAGTGTACAAATAACATTTTAACAGTAATGGACCTAAAGAAATGGACACAGTGAAAGGAAAATAATTCCATTAATTCTACTAACCTCAGAGTAACTTATTTAGCAATGGGTCAATGATCACGAGGTGAGGGTCAAGAAGAAGAAAAAGTGAACTTGGAAGGAGAAAGGGGTTGGTAGGAGAGAGAGAGAAAAAAAAGATTGTTTAGAAGTCCACCATGTGGACCGAATGCACTGGTGTATGATCTCGTCACAACTGTGACTGTAAGCAATCAGACTAGAGAATAATCGTTGAAGAATACACCAGAACAAAATAGAGCAAGAGCCTTAAATCCTACTGCAGTCCTCTTTTTTTTGGTCGGCCCAGTGCCTGACATATGCAGTATGCCATCACCACACTTACAAATATCAAACCCAGATGGAGAGTTCCGCGTATGTATGCCAATTACACGTGGAAATTTTCCTGTGTCTGAAATTGATTTCGCACTCTCTCCCTGGAGGGCAGCAACCTGCTTACCTAATTCTGGATAGTATTAAATAATAATAATCCTTGCATTTGATATAGCGCCTTATCATGTCTTCGAGACGTCTCAAAGCACTTCACAGAATATACTGTAAAGTGAATTCATTGTATACTTTGTGGGCGAAATGTGGCAGCCAATTGCGCACAGCAGTGTCCCACAAACAGTCGTAGATTGACTGACCAATTTTTTTTTGGCGTAAGTTAAGCCAAGAGTCAAAACTTGAGGATCCCAGAGTGTGCATTGGGGTGCTGGTGGAATTTAACCAGCTAAGGCCTTACAAGATCACAAGATTAGGTCAGAGGCAGAAATGCACTGATGGCTGATCACAGACAACCACTGGCATTCATTAAGAGCACACTACCTTCCCAGACTCTTGGCTAGAATCCGTGCATCATCTTAAAGTAATCTTAAAGTTTGTCAAGTCCTATCCTGAAAAGAAAAGTCCCCGATTTTTCAGTACGAAAACTTTGCATATGTTTGCATAATTCTTCCCAATCTTAAATTGTAAGGTAAAATAGTCTTATATGGGTTAACAATTGGGTATAATTTCAGGCCTCTGGTTTAATTCTTAGTAAACAAATCCATCACACACAACTGTGTATAATTTAGCACTAATCTGACAATGCTACACAGATGCTAAGAACATGCCTGATATGCAGTTTTGACAGTTTTCTCATGTTAGAAAACTATGCATAGAAATATACAGCGTAGAAGGAGATTATTTGGCCCATCGAGTCTGCACAGACTCACAGAACAAGATCAATTAAATTCTCATCTTATACCTATATCCCCTGCATTATTATCATGGAATCCATAGAGTTGTACCCCTCACCATATCTGTGTAATACATGACCAATTGTGCCCATTTGTGACAATCAGATAGCATTCAAAAAATAACCAACTGGGCCTCATTGTCATGCTGTTGTTTTATGTTTCTTCACAATCCAGAACTGAACTGCTATCTTACTCTTTTATCCAGTGAGCAATAAATCACCAAACGAGTTTCAAAACAAACATGACCCACATGCATTGCAGATGTTCTGAAATAAATTTCCATTAGCTCACAGTCCAACTGGATATCTAGATTGAAGTAATTTCTCCTAATTGTAGCATAAAACGGAGCAGGGCAAACTTCCAAATTACATGAAGACAAAAAAAGCCGAAAAACAAAGGGGAACAGATTTAAGAATGTGAACAATTACAACAACTGAAACTGTAAAACAAGAAATCTTGATTTCAGAGAGAAAGTAAGTATAGAAGGACCTGGGAAGGAAATACTTGGATATTGGCAAATTCTATGTATTTCTGTTTTCAGGTATATTTGTATACTCATTTCAAACAGTAAATAATTAACACTTCCCATAAATTAAGTAAAAATTTGCTTTTATGATTTTATTGGCGGGGAGGGTAACTTCACCATCAGCAGGACACCTCAACATCAATTTGCACAATATACTCTCATCCCGTTTTTGTCTCCAATTAACATTTTTTTTGATAAAAATGGTCAGACTCCCCCTCCACACCCCCCATTATCTTTCATAATGGTATCTTTCCTCTCCCTATCACTGTCAGCTCCTACCTCAGGCAAGCCAGGATTGTTAAGTGCCTTGGGACTTCCTCCCAACATGAAAGGGACTGTATAACTGTAAATTTGTATTGTATTATGTAAACGTGCATTACTGGATAGACAACATGGAGGTTAAGTTTGATCCAGTTTTTTTGTTTAAAAAGAAATTCTAACTTTTCAAACAAGTTAATTGACGAGACAATCAGAGAGATTATTACCAACATCACTTGACCTCATGTGGCAGGCGATCAAAATAACCTAAAATATCACAGTTATAATCTTCTAATTATGCTAGCTCTCTGCAGTCAGAATGTCTGTTTCTTTTCCTCAATTTCCTTATATCTTGGGCTGCGGCATTTAACAAAGAATGACGTGGTTACTCTGAAGCAGAACAAACGGTATCTGCCTTCATCTTGGGTGAGCATTGTGGCTATAGAAGCTGGCCCACTGCCAGCAAATATTTATTTCTGAGAAACTTCCTGAATGGGCTGAGGGAAACACGTGTTCTTTTGGAGTTGGAATGACTGGGACACAGAATGCAAGATAAACATATTCGTGTGGAAAAAAAATTATGTTCTGCCAATGTAAATCTTTAGTTTGGAGGGTCACGGAAACAAGGTTCACAAACATGAAATCCTGAAATGTAGCAGCACATTTACAGGCAACTTAAAATATTAGACTGTCTCACTATTGCGTGCGGAAAACTCACTGCTACAACAGGTTTAAGCACAAGGCAGGCTCAAGCTGTTGCAGAGAAGGGGCCGTGACCATGTAGGTTAGTGAGGTGGGAATCATGAGTGAGAGTGAGGAGTAGAGGGTTGTGCAGACACTAACAGTCATTAGACTGCGCTCTTTGGTTTGGTTAGAGGTAGTGTGTCCTGACTGTCTCCCAGCCAATACTTCCAAAAATGCTTTGAGACGTCCTCCTGACCTGAAAGGCGGTGTAAGAATGTAAAATCATTGTTGTTGTCTTTACAACAATGTCAACTTGCATTTATATAGAGCCCTTCGTGCACAATAGCATCTTGGAGCACTGAACCTCTGAGGTTTACAACCTTAATAAAATCGCTTTTCTGCCCCATTTGTTTAGTTCTGTGATTTATTCCGATAAGTATCTATAATGCATATATAGTTAGATATATAATATATATATTACAATATTATTTATAATTTAATTCTGAAGTTATTTGCATTACAACTGCACTGGGACAAATTGCTAAACGTAGAACAGAATAGTATTTAATCAACATCAATAAATTTGCCTCCTGTAGCACCTGGACCTTGATTCCCTTGAGTCTTGTTAAAAACAGAAAGTAACTTTTTCAGTTTAAAAGTATCTGCCCTCTTCTATAACCTACAGTTAGCTCTCATGCCTGTATTTAAACTAAACGGGACATCGAACAGGTCCTGAAACACTGGTCGAGGACAGCAGAAGAAGAATGTAAAACAACCAGGAATGTATCAGTTGGGTCAGCAGGTCCAGACAACCTACTCCAGTTGAGATGATTTATGGAATCAGGATGGGAAGGATATAAATGCAGACTGCTCGCACTGCCCCTGAGCTTACCGAGTATGAAGTGGTATTACTCCTAGCAGCTGTGGGGCAGCACAGTTCATAACCTATTCAACTGACCTCCTAGTTCAAGGATCAAAAATAACAGAAGGCCTTCGTGAAGGTAAGATAAAAATAGAAAACAAATGTACACTTCAGACAAGTCAGCTATTTCAAAACAGATACCGTCGTCCACTAATAAAATCACACAAAGAACAGCTGCGACAAATATTTTTTTTCTTACCTTCATCTTTGTATCCTTCCTTGTAGCCTGAATCTCTATTAGATTCTGGAGACAGTACAATCCCATAACCATATTGTGCAAATATCTGCTGGTACAGCCGTAGATCAGATTCACTAATGGAATGATATCCTCGAAGCACCACAGTTTTTTTATGGTTGTCCAAGGCATTGCGTAGTATGGATTCAACCTGCCAACGACAAATTATTATTGTTAAGCATTTCTTTTTGCATCAAGATAAATATGAACTGAAAATGTACACAGAGCCCAGTGTTTGTGTAGCATTTTAATGTCTCTTTTTTTTACTCCATGTTTGGCAAAAAAGCTATGTTTGGGTTTGTTCCTCAGGAGAGAGTGCAGTATGAACTGTGAATTACTGGGGCAAAATCACCAGGTGGAGTGTTTGTTTCTGGATTCATGCAATTGACACTAAAAGCACTTTAAATCCGACAGATCCCAATCACACTGGGCTCGCTCCTCTCTGTCTGTTCAAAACTCTCAGGTTTTCCAATCAACTTTGAATAGACTGAATCTTTTTTGTATCGATAAAAATATACAATTATGACCACTTGGAAGTTCTGAGCGCAATTACTTTAATAACTAATAAAAGACCAACAAGGTTCCCTGGCAGATGAGACAATTCAATAAAAGTTTGATCTCCAAATATGTACCCTGATTTTGGGAGAATAAAATTAAATCACTTGTATACGTGAGAGAGAAAGGAATCAAGTGGGGTATCGAAGAGGCTTCAGGAGGTGGGGGTTTAGGTTGGGTGGAGGCTGATGTGGAGTATAGACAACAGCATGGACTAGTTGGGCCCAATATCCTGGTTGGATGCTGTAGATTTTGCGTGTGTTTAGGAGCATTTTGAAAGTAACTCTAGTAACAGTAAATTAAAACTAAATAGTGCATCAACTTTCATCATGCATTAATTTGCTCATCCATAAATTCTATTGGAAGAACAAAGCCTCGTGATTCAGCTACAGAAACCAGCCCTAGACTAACTCCCCACCACATATATGGTTTCATTAACAGTGACTGCTGCTGCAAATTTAGCTCTAAACAGGAAATACCAGATCAGGTCCTGCTCAGGGCTGCTGTAACTGCCACTGAAATTATTTTGGGAAAGCGCTTGGAGCAGTAAACCTGCTGGAATTCAACAGACTGCAGGAAATTTGGCAATATAATAATAATACTTGTATTTGATATAGCGCTTTATCATGTCGTCGAGACGTCTCAAAGCGCTTCACAGAATATTCTGTAAAGTGGAGTGACTGTGTATTTTGTGGGCAAAACAAAATAGATTTTCTATATTTTGTTGTAGAAGCATGAATTTTTTATGATTAAAATTATGATTGTGCCTTTCCCTCTGGATTCTGCAGTGCCGAAAGCCTAGTTGTTGAAGTAGAACTGAGAATTTATTGTGAGAATCCTTTTGTGGGAAAAAAAACTTTGGTTCAAAAGTTCAAAGATCTGCCTCATGAACGAAAAAGATTGTACAATCCCAAAATTACCCTTAGACGTGCCTCACAGATGATGTCAAAGTATGAAGTTTATGTTCCAAAACTAACAAATTCTAACTTCACACACTAACCACCCAGTGTGCAAAATCCCAGCAGGCTAAACAGCTCAACTTCAGGCAGGTTAGTTAGGAAAATTAAACATAAAATGTTTCAGTGCAGGGAGGGAAAACAAACAGCCTTTCATTGTCTGAAACACTCAAATCACCCAAATAACTATTCTATAATTTAACATAAAATATTAGAAACTAAATGATGACAGACCTAGAGAGATGCTGTTATATTCATAACGTATCACATTTTGTATATCCAGGGTCATTATAAGACACTAATGTACTCTTGGCTTTTAAATTTTAAGTAAACAATGTGTATATTGTAATTGATGATATAAAATGAAACCCAACAAACTATTCACGTTATGCAGCCCAGTAGCAGATCTATGCCTTATCAATAACAGTAATAAAATTATTTAGTTGTTCAATATGATATAATGTCCAACAGAATCTAAGTAAATACATAAAGCATTTAAACACAACAACAAAAATTCAAAAGGGAATGAATGTTCATTTACTGGGCATTTATTTTAGCTATATTTGATTTTAAATAAGATCAGAGGAACAAGTTCTGCTTTATTAAGAGTAAGCAAGTTTCCAAACCCCCTTTCAAGTAGCAAGTTTCATTCTGTGATTACAAGGACTAGTTTTCTTTGGGGGAATGTAATCTGGTTCAAAAATGAAAATTCTCTGGTGTAATGAATGAACTGAATTCTCTCATTTCCTGGTTCCAATTTGCCCTTTAACCCTCTTAGTAATTGTCAACACAGTTATGGATAAAACTCTTTTTCCGCCAATGCTGACACTCCTTTATTTACCAAATGGTAATTTCCTACTGCCCTGTTCAGTCAGAAAGTACCACACCTATTTTTTTAAAAAATGGATCACAGAAAATGAGGCAACAGGTCACATTTAGTAATAGCAGAGGCCAGAAATGCAAGGGCACTCATACAACAAACCTGAAACAACTAGCATCAAATTGAGACCTTATGCAACTTAAATCAATCATACAATCTTCGTGTATGAGGAGTGTGTGTGTGCATGAGCACTACCTCACTCTGCCATGTAGGGTCTGGGTTTTTATGTACATGTTGCCATACACTGAGAGTTTACTGGGTCAGCTGCTTGAAATCAAAATAGTAACTGAGGAGTTTAAGATTCTTTGTGTAGTTCTAAAAATAACTAAAAAGGATCAAAGGAAAGACCCCCAAAACGTAAACATTTGATTTGGGAAATGAATAAGAGAAACAACATCTTCTGGATTACTCTAGAAATGGTAACACAATTTTCTCTCCAGTCTTTACTTACATAGTTACATAGGAATGTACAAGACCGGAAAAGACCACTGCAGGCCATCTGGCTTGCTCCAAAGTAAATCAAATGCCACACACTATTCTCTCTCATACACACACATTTACAAGCCCATCCTCTCAATTTCTTCAATAAATAAAGACCCAATTTTCTCTCAGATTTATTCAATCAATGTTTATATCTCCAGTTGTTAGTCGTTAACTTGACAGCATTGCCTGACTGTTTGATAAACTTTGTCAAGAGTATATGAGCAGAGCAACACTTCCGCATAACTATTTTCTTCCTTCTCTTTCCTCTCCTACTGGATTACGGTTGCTTTACTGATCATACTCTAGCACATTGTTCCAAGTCTTTTATGTATGAGTTTGACCCAATGTTAGGATGGGAGCTGTGTTCAGGATATCACTATCAACCCCAGTTTTATCCTCATCTGATAGTCATGGTATGCAGGTCTCTTGTAGGTGTCACCGTTAGTGACCGCAAGCAAGAATGTTGGGGATTTTCCCTTTCCAAACCTGGAATGCGAAAGCCAATTGCAGCATCTCCTGAGGTGAGTACAGGCCATAGATTGAAACAGGTTCCAGGGATTGAATATAGTATAAGTATGGTCTATACATCAGAACTAATCGCCAGTTAAACTCAGAGTCACCAGGAAAGCTACTCATACATTCTTTAAAATGCATTTGAACCCAATGATGGTGAAGGAAGATAATTTTTTTTAAAAAACAGAATTTTCATTTAGGTATCAGGCAAAAATTATTCCAAGCACTTCAATGAACTAAAACAGAATTAATGTACACATTTAAGATGTGTTGCAACTAATTACTAGGTATAACTAACTGTGGGAAAGTATATATATATGAATGACAATGAAAATTTACATACATTAAAAAACATCATGTTTAGTATTTCAAGTAATTGATTTAAAAAGTGAATGACTATAAAAAAAACTTTCAAAATCTCAATTAGAAACAGCATTTTGAAACATGGCTTTACAGAAAAGAAGACAGATGTACCTTGTGGAAGACTTTGACAACTGCAGTTTTTCTAACCTCTCTTATCAAAATGTCAGCAGCATCTGTTCTTGATAAATGCTGACCTCATGTTCATTCCACTTGACCTCCCATTTGAAAACTTGGTGTGGAGTTTCATGGAGGGATTTCTTCAAGAAAGTTTTCCTTCAAGTTTGGAAGCATTTTTCAATGATTCTCAAAATATTTGACCAATTACTGATTGCCCCCATTTCTGGTTTTATACCTTTGGTGGTAATTCTGTAATATTATGGTATTTTCTCCACACGATAATCCTGACATGATGTCATCAACAATTAAGTATAGGTGGAATACAATGCCATGTACAAAGATTGTCCCTTTATTGAGAGATAGTGCATTGTTTCATTTTCAGCGATTTATTGAACGGCAAAACAATAAAGATCTCTGTGTTATAATTATTTTCAGCAGTAAGTGTGTACTGTGAATTTATTAGAAACATTCAGGATTAGTTCTCACTGAGAGAGATAGGATGCTCATGGATTTGGATATTGAGCGTTAACAGTCACTTTGATTTTTTTATTGAATCCATTTGCTGTGTGATACCAGTTTCACAGAAAGCTCAGTAGGAGTTATTGGGGACAAGTTACTATATGTAACGCTTGAACTCATTGGTGTTAAGCACAAGTACAGATGTTCCTGTTCTTTTCTAGTTTCTGGTTGCTTATGAAAAAGTCAGAATGTGAGTTAGCACGAACTGAAGAAAATTAATTTGACCTGTCACATCCATTCCTGTCATGGGCTGCTTAAAATTTGGCCAATCATGGAATTCACCTGATTTTTTTTAATTGCCTTTTTTTAATCTATGGAGGAAAGAGTCTGCAAGGTAGTAGCTTGCCACCCAAAGGCAATGCAAGTGAAATATAGAATATCTATGTAACAATTTAACCTTATTTTGACCAATACCTTTCCATAGTACCGTTTTATGGCCCAGCAGTTTAGGAACCTTTGTGTCCAGTACAGTATGTGATCTCCTCTATCTAAACATGTCCTCATAACCTTCAATTCCAGGCTTAAAACATTTATCCTGCTTTCTAAAAAAAAAATAATGAACTAGTCCATCATTTTTGCTGAGGCCCTGTTCCTCGTGCATCTGCTCTCTCGTTCTCTCTATAGGGAAACGAGTCCTTTTCTAAACTACGTACCCCCCTTATACTCCTGGAAGTAATTTGAAATTGCTTCCAGCAGGAAATTGATTAGGACCAGGAAACAGCATTGATATTTCCCACTGCAAAATTGCTTTCGCCAGAGGCTCAGAAGAGGTCGGCACACAGGCAAACAACCGAGTGTATGGGCAGAGTTCTGGTGATCGGCACTGAATGCCATTTAGTTTTTTTTAATGTTAATAAAGAGTAGGTTACTCGACGGACTATTTGATAATATTTTAAGGTTATAGACATTCAGAGAACTTTAAAGTGCTTATTTTGAAGCAGAACTCAAAAATCGATTTCTGTTACATTTATAGTAGTGATGCAATTTGCTTTCCTGGCAAAATTCTCCTCTGCAACTTGCTTCCATTTACTCTTTGTTTCTAAGCATCCATTTAGTGCTATTTTCACTTGAAATTACAAGAAAACCACAGTATAGCTAAGGCACAAGTCCTGCTTGAGGCAATCTGATTTTATATCTACATTTTTGTTGCCACAGTAGTTCAAATAAAATAGCCTGCTTCTAAATCCCTCTCAGCACTTAGACTAGTGTAATGTCTCATTTAATCCAATTTCTTCAATGAAAATAAATTAAGTTCTATAATTTTGTTGCCTATATCGGTTCAGTTCCTGACTCATGTTCTGAGACATATCTCTCTTTCTCAGGAGTATGGTGATGACAATTTGTTGGCTGGTGGGCCTTTTGTTGTTGCAAATGTATTACTTTACTTGTTAAATTGTATACAGCCAATAATTTATAATAATAATCCTTGCATTTGATATAGCACCTTATCACATCTTCAAGGAGCCTCAAAGCACTTCACAGAATAAACTGTAAAGAGTAGTGACTGTGTATTTTATAGCCAAAAAGCAGCATCGGATTGGACACAGTAGTATCCCACAAACAGTCATGGATCGGGTGACCACATTATTATTATTATTATTGTTATTATTATTGAAGGAATTTTAATCAATAAAGACAGTGGGTGAAGAAGAGCGAGTGTGATTACATGTAACCAACCAATGAACAAATTGTGCTCTTCATGTTGATTTAACAATTCATTGTAAAATAATAATAAATATTTACATTGGTGTGTTTAAAGTAGAGTAATAATGTTACTATATTGGGAAAGGGAGCAACGTATTTAAATTATACTTTAAATGTCAGAGGCACAAAATTCTTCATGATCTTAATCTTAAGTTCTCACAAAGCCAACTTCCAAATCAAGTTTGAATTTGAGAATTTTCAAAAATTCTGCTAAACCTTAAATTATACGACAATAATCTTCATGCTAAGACCATGAAAATTATCAGGCCGCTGATTAGATAATAAAGCTTTCGAAGGAAAGGTTATGCCAAAAAATGCTGCACTCATTTACAATGCAGTACAGAATTAGAATAAATGCTAATTATGAGTGATATTTAATTCAAAACCTTAGCACATCAAATAATACTACAATTGGTTTGCTGCTTTACATTTATTCTGCTTTTATAGGGAAAATGTTTATCAAACTTTCAGTTACATTGCAAGAGCTTACCAATGTTTGGCAGACTTTGTGCAATAAATAACCTTAACTATGTTCGAGTTTTAAGCCTTCCAAGACGCTGCCCCTCATGAAGGGCACTGTATAAGTGCAAGATGTTTTTGTTTTGAACACCAGTGAATAACTTGTGCTTTTTTTTAATGTTCCAAAATATGGATTTCCTTTTTTTTCTAAGCATTGTCCAATCACTGGATAATGTAGACCATGATAAGTTGTTTTATCTCGTACTGAACAGTAGAACCAAAGGACACGGCCTGTGATTGAAGGGGGGTAAATTCAGAACAAATCTGAGAAACCACTACTTCGGTGAGCGAGTAGTAAACGTATAGAACAGGCTCCTGAGGGAGACGATGGAAGTAGAAAGCGTTGATTCTTTCCAGAACAAATTAGATAAATTTCTGTTAAGAAATAATATCTCGGGATACAGTATATAGTTTGGGACATGACATGTGCATGCGACTGCTAGGATGGTGGAAGGCAAACTGGATGAACCCTTGGTCTTCTTTTGCCGAGCAATTCATTCGTATGTTTGCTACAAGACGAAACGCAAATAATTTCTAATTACATTTTGTTTAGTTGAAAGCGAAAACGACCAAATCATATATCAACATAAAGGATGTGCAAACAGCCAAACAGGGAACAGAAAAGAAGACAAAGGGACCTGTCCTGAAAGATTAACCACAACAACAACTTGCATTTATATAGCACCCCGGAGTGCTTGACAGTGGTACTGATTAATTGTATGCAATCGAACAGGAGGCTCTCAAATCGACAGCACACGTTTGCTTTTCGCCTAACTCGGATTCCTTGTGATGAACTTTGCATTGCACCTCGGCCAGACCATCACTATCAGATGTCAGTCTCCACAAAAAGGAAATGAAACAAAAGTGCCCGTTCACTAAAACCTTGAAATCATCCACATTTTTTTAAAAAAACTAGGCTTTTCCTCGGAAGTGACTGTGAATCTGCTCTCTCTCTCTCTCTCTTTTTTAATGCATTCCACATGGTGGTCAGTCGGTCCTGTATTATTTTCGTCTTTACGTTTGCATTGCAAACGTGGACGTTTTCCGAATCGAATTCATTTGCAATGGGGTTGCACTTCACTTTTTAACGAGCAAACCCACCGAGTACACACACACACACACACACACACAGCCATGTAGGTCTGTCCCTATTGCAATCGTGACACGACTTTCCTAAATACATGAGTTGGGCATTGCATCGATTGAATCCTCTTCCTCACCCCCCCACCCCCCCACCCCCCACAAGCTCAACGTTTTGCTTAAAACAGTTCCGTGGGGGGAGAACCGAGTCTGTGCCTCCTTTCGTTTTGCAGCTCGAATCCAATTGCAAACGGATTGGATGTACCTTTCTAGAAAGTTGCAAATGCTTCTCGTTCGCGAACCCTCGAACCGAGTGGAAGGGACCCGTCCCCTTGCGGGGCCGACAACACTTGAGGGGGGGGGGTATGTCTGACTCCGTGTGCAGAAATAAATCAAACCCCATCCCTCGAATCAGCTGCAGTTGCCGAGCTCTCGGCCGAACGCATCACCGACACCACCGCTAAGCCGTTGCGTCTCTCAACAACTTGCGCCGATGAGCAAATGTGCCAAAGGTCCCACCGACCAGGGAGGGGGGAGGGAGGGAGAGGGAGGGGAGAGAAAGCTCTCGGTTAAGTCTACCGATGCACCGAAACGCCATCAGATTCCATCAGCAAACATCACCTCCCCTCCCGTTCCCATTTTTTTCCTGTACTGTTTCCTCCCCTCCACCCTCCAAAAAAAAGCATTGCATTGCATTACACTGAATTGCATTGCATTACATTGCATTACACTGAATTGCATTGCATTACACTGAATTGCATTGCATTGCATGACACTGAATTACATTGCATTACATTGCATTGCATTACAAGAGAGGAAGGAGTGCGAGAGGAGTCCGGACCGAAGCTTTAAAGGGGGGATTGAGAGTGTGTCGGCGGTCTCCCCCACCTGTGTGAGCTCTCCGAGGACGTCTCCTCCGGCAGATCCGCCGACCGGTGCGGCCGCGTCGGGACGGTGTTGCTCGGATGCATTCCCGGGTCCCCGGTCCTCTCCGAAAGCTCCGGCTCTCCCCCCCGGGAGGCGCAGGGCTGCGAGTAACGCGTAGACCAAACACACGGCGATCGCCACCGCCCACACCGAAGGGCGAAGACACCTCAAGCGACGGCGGCAGCCCAGCACCTGGCGGACACACATGTCACCTGAACCCCCCCCCACCACCCCTCCCCACCACCAACACCCACCCACCCACCGCTGTCCTACCTCGGGGTAAAGCAGCGGCGCTTCATTAGGGCGCAGGAGGTTTAGATCGGGAGCTGAATGAGAGGCGACATTAAGCGCTTCTCCATCCGGTGCCTCTGCAACTTGTCCATGTGGATCCCATTTGTCCGACGCCACACACACACACACACAGACAGACAGACACACACACACAGAGAGACACACACAGACACACACACACAGAGAGACACACAAACACAGACACACACACACACAGAGACACACAAACACAGACACACACACACAGAGACACACAAACACAGACACACAAACACACAGACACACAAACACACAGACACACACACAGAGACACACACACACACACACACACAGAGAGACACACAAACACAGACACACACACACACAGAGACACACACACACACACACACACAGAGATGTCAGCGTTTTTTTGTGTGTGTTGCTGCTGAAACTTTTCTGAGCGCACTTCGCCTCTCAATGCTCCTGGAATAAACTCTGGAGAGGAGAGAGAGAGGAGAGAGAAGAGAGAGAGAGAGAGAGGAACACCAGTTCAGTGTTAGATCACTATCATCACTGCCCCCCACCCCCACCTCTTTCTCTCTCTCTCTCTCCCCAACAGGGACTGGCTCAGTTGGCCAGTGATGCTGGACGGGGGTGTAGCCTTCAAAATGTAGCAAAGCCCATCGCTCCTCCTAAACCGACCCCCCCCCCCCCCCACCCCCTCCTTCCCCCCCAACCCCATCCCCATCCAAAATCAGCTGCGAGGCAGGACTTTCAAGGGCAAAAAAAAATGAGGATCAAATTCAATTTGCATCGGCAGCCAAGTACTAACCTTCTTTCCAATGCATTTCTAAACCCATCCCCTCCCTCACCCCCTACCCCCCCCCCCCCCCCACACACACACACACCCCATAGGTTTATATACTTTCGTCACACATGTACTAAAATCTTCCCAGTAACTTTTATCAAGGAAAACTAGCGGTGGGTTTTTGGCTTGACACATTCCGAATTCTTTGAGGATGCTTATGCTTTCCCCCCCACACCCCCCACCCCCCCCCCAACAAATTGCAAACTTTGTTCTGTTGGACAACCCCCCCACCCCCACACCCCTCCCCTCTCATTGAAGTTAGACTTCAGTTCTTAAAATGAACAGATTTAGTTGAATTCTTTCAGGATGCTTATGCTTTCTCCCCCTCCCAACAAATTGCAAACTTTGTTCTGTTGGACAAACCCCCCCCCCCCCACCCACCACACACCCCTCCCCTCTCATTGAAGTTAGACCTCAGTTCTTGAAATGAACAGATTTAGTTTGCATCATGGAGCAGTCGTGCACCCAGGGAGCGAGGCTCACTGCGTTTCTTTTGGCTACGTGGTGCACAACTCCTGATTCAGTGATTAAAAGCAATCGGAGCTGAGCGATCGCCTGACTGTGTGGCTTAACCACTCTTCCTTCCAAATTGGGACAGCGACAGCCACTGGCGACCTCTTTAAACCGTTGAGGAACGAATGCAAAGAGTTTAAACACACACACACACACAGCGAAACTTGCTGTCCTTTGACAGATTGGGATAATGCAACCAGCCTCCCCCCCCCCCCCCCACCACCATCACTTGCTAAAGTTTTCCAGCCCAAGGTTTCCCCTCTAACCTCCAAATAAAAATACACACTGCTTCTCCCCGTGACGCGAGGTTCACTCAACTAGGTAAGCTGGAAATAGTTTGCAGTGCACTTACTATATGTATTATGTTTTAAGTTGCTTTACTGGAACGTCACTCACAAAAATCAACATCCTCAAGTCCAGGTCTGGGATTTCTCTGCTGTCTCGGTTCAAGTCAGGAAGTTCACTGTCTCGGTGCAGTGAAAGCAGAGTTGCACTGACAGTGATACACTCACATTTAAAGGGCCACGCAGTTCAGCATTTATAATCATAACAGGAATCCGACCATAAAACAACATGCCAGGGATACGAATGACACTTCCCACACGTTAATGAGAATGTGCAATTGTAAACCACATTGCATTTGGAATGCTTAGTTAAAAGATAGGTTTCAACAACAAAAATATAATATTTCACTTAACTTATGAATCAGTCTTGGTAAATGTGAGTTTAGAAGTATTTTAGCTTCCACACTAGAAATAATTACCTTAAGTCATGTGACAAAGTTCGATGTCTTCCTCAAGTCTTCATTAGAATAAGCTACAGCATTCCAGGATTCTTCTTTCAGTAACTCAAGGTCAGAACTATTTATACCATCAGACCTGGCAGACAGTGCAGGGCAGATTACATAACTAGTTATGTAATAATCTGTGGACGTTATGCACTAAAAAGAAGACTGCACTTTCTTTTAAGATTCAAGATCCTGGTCCTCACCTTCAAAGCCCTCCATGGCCTTGATCCCTTCTACTTCTGTGAACTCCCTCCGCTCAGTGGGCTCCGGCATATTTCACGCCCCCCCCCCCCCCACCCCCGCCACCTCGCCCACCCTACCATTGGCGGGCGGGCCTTCTGCCACTCTGCTTGCACCCTCCGGAACTCCATCCCACAGTCCCACCAGCTCGCCCCTTCCCTTGCTTCCTTCAGGACCCATCCTAAGACCTTCCTTTTCGACTGTGCTTTTGATCACCCTGCTTCACCTCTTGCCCTTCACCCTCCCCAAACCCAACCCCCAGCTCGGGTCTGAAACACTGACTATCCAGTGCCTTGGGACGTTCTCCCGACGTTAAAGGCTCTATTCAAATGTAATGTTGTTGTTGTTCATCAAGACTTTGCTCTCTCCCTTTTGAATCTTGTTCCAATATTCTAGTTGGCAGGGTTGAATATAAAGTATGGCCTTTTTGTTTTCTAAATGCAATTCTCTACCATAAACCATTGACTATGAAGCAAAGCTCGTAACTTGTTTTAAAAGGGAATTGGATAGATGCGTGGAAGGGAACAATATTAAAAGGTAAAGTGAACAGGAGAGTGGGAATGAGACTAGGTGCCACATGTGGGAAAAAAAGAACAACCCAGATTGGGGTTGGAGTGCATGTCCTGTTTCTATGCTAAAACAATTCTATAATCTGAATATCACTGGGATATGCAATTCTTCCTGGAATATGACCAGATTATCATCAGGGTGAAAATAATCATCTCTCCTTCCGTCTCCTTCACCCTTAAGTGTGTTTTGCCAAAGGAGGTTGGTTAGGGTGACATCAAACTCACTCTTCACATAAAATAAGAGGGTGTACCTTCTTGGAAATGATTAAGGAATATTTAGCAGCAAAATTAACGTAGTAAATAACATAAAATTCTGTGGCCTGAAATAAAACATTCAACACAACCAGTTTATAATTTATCTCTCTCTATTCCCTTCTTTCTCACTTATGTCTTTACATACATAACTTCTAAGTCTGAAAGACACAGATAGAGCAATTGGCAGGTAAATGATATAGGAGGAAACCCAAGTAGCATGTTCTTCCTTAACATACCTATGAGGCTTGAAGGGACATGGGAATAGGACAGGGTAGTGGGATTGAAAGTACAACTTTCAGGGGATTGGAGACCTATGGCGTATTGGTTAGAGCACTCTCCTCGCAAGCGAGAGGATCCAGGTTTGATTCCAGGGCAAGGTGGAACCTTAGGCAAGTTTCCTTACTCCACCTGCCTCTGTTTACCTAATAGTAAATAGGAACCCAGTTGTCAATAGATTGGCAGATATTCAAAAAATAATAATAATATGGTCACTCAATCCATGACGGTTTGTGGGACACTGCTGTCCGCAATTGGTTGACGCATTTCACCCACAAAATACAGTCAATTTACTTTACAGTACATTCTGTGAAGCATTTTGAGACATCTCAATGACATGATAAGGTGCTATGTTGAATCCAAGAATTATTATTATTATTATTTTTACAACTTGAGAAACGCAGTGCAGATTGGATAGGCCAAATGATCTCCCCTGCTCTGTAAATTTCTGTGATTCTACTGTTAATTAAAAACACAAGGAAACAAAAAGATGACTCTATACTCAGAGAATATAATTCACCAGTTTCTACATCTTCCAACTACACAGGTTGTTAAATCTACAATCATAAATCTTTCTCTGCAGACATCATTACAAGTCAATATTCTGATGGGGATGGACAATTAATGTCTTCCATGACACAGCTATACCCTTAAAGAAATGACACACTCAATCTAACCATTCCAGAAGCTTTAAAATAGAGATCAGTGGGAAAAAAATAAATCCTGGAGTGATTTCAAAACTGTAATCTCATTTTGGCTTTAAAGTGAAGTTTATAAATCGCTTCATCTTTGGTGTCATAGTTTGTTATCTGAACCACTTAACTAGACTACTGTCTTGTAAACACTTCCAGTTATCCATTTTTCTTGAAAACTTGACATGTCACTATTACTTTTAATGTTTCACATACATTCATGCTATACTCAGCTCAGCTGCTACACAATTGTGGAAAGTAAAATTGAAAATCAAAAATAAACTTTCTGCTAGTGATCTTGCAGCAGAGTTAGTCCCCTGAATAGTCTGGTTGCAAAGCCATTTCCTAAAGCCAAACTGAGTAATAAAAATCTGGAAGGTCCCAGTTTCAATCCTCCTTCATCTGTGCTGACATAAATGAAGCAGCATTAGGGGCTCTACAATTGACTTTGGTGCCATTGGGCTAAAGAGGATATAGGCAGGGGAAGGGATGTTGGGGGGGATATCAGCCTCGCTTCATGATTACAGTCCAGTCACTCCCACTGGAAGCTGTGCACATCAGGTGATACATTGATTGCTTGCCAACATTTACCATTCAAACTAAATTATGAAAAATGGCTACTTTAGCAAACGGAAGCGTGGCCAATCCCCATTAAACTGCATAAGATATTGCCAGGCACCTGGCAAACATGAACTGGCCTGGCTTATTTGGTAGAAGCAGGACTTGAGCTCATAGTCAGTCCAGTGCTAGGCAGAGCTCTACATTGTCAGAGGTACTATACTTTCAAATGAGATGTTAAACTAAGATCATGTTTGCCTGTTCAGATGGACATTAATCTCATGGTACTATTCAAAATGAAAAGGAGATTTATGACCAGTGCCCTGTGCCTTGCATGTTAGGCCAATAATCCTCTAATAAATTGATCACTCACCTGCAAACACATCACTACACTATATAAAAAAAACACTGTGAAGTGCTTTGAGACCTTTTGACATGATAAGGCACTCTATCAAATACAAGGATTAATATCACTTATCACATCATTTGCTTCATGGCTACTTGTGAGTCATTGTTGAGTGTGCAATTAGCTGCTGCATTTGCCTACAAATGCACAGCTTCAACTTGAAATTAGCTTCCTGTGAAGTGATTGATGTTATAGGCACGATATCAAATACGATTTTTGGTATTTGCTCCTGTTAACCAAAACCCTAATTGGTCCAATGTGGACAAGCAGCAGCAAGCTTGCAAGGCATTACTCTCAATGGTAAGCTGTGTGTACAGTTTTGGTTGATTAGACTCCGTCGGTATACCAACACTTATTCTGGAGTCCCCAAGTCTTGACTCTTGTGTATCTAATACGCTCCAGAATTAGCTAACCTGCAACTAATAAGCAGGTTGTGTCCCTCCAGGGAGAGTGTACATTCCATTCCAGGCACAGGAAAATTTCCATGTGTAGCTGGCATACATCTGTGAAAATCAATTTATTTGAATACTCTTCGGCATGGTGATTGGTTTCCGCATGTGTCAGAAATCTGGCTGCCCAGAAAAATAACAAAAATATTTTTATTATCATATATCAAATGGTTAAGAACAAAAAAGTTTGCTAAAGAACCATTTTAATCAATATTTCACACTAGTAGCTTGGTAAGACAGGTTAGAGAAAATATTAAGTACGTTAACCTTTAATATTGGGTTACTACATATTTAGTGTTGGAACTTAAACTGTTTCCACAGAGAGTGGTATCAACCACAGCACTGAAATTTTATAGCAGTACAGTAACCCAACACACTTTTTTTTAAAAAAAATCTGTTGTAAATCTGGAGCAAATTGCTTGTTATGCCTATACTCAACTTAAATACAGTCACTATACAAGTAAAATACTGAGAGGCTCCTTGACGTCCTCCAAAGTGAAAGGGGCTATACAAAATCCAAGGGTAATTATATGAATTGTATATATATGAATGTGTATTATTCAAAGCAGAAAGATTACCAGAAAAAAAGTACTAGACATTAAGCCTAGCTTTGTTTTTATTTTTTTTGGGGGGGGGGTGGGTGGGGGAGAGAAGCAGAGTTTGTAGGATCTGAATGTGGAAAGCTACCAGGGTTTGAGTGAAAAATTGCCCCTGACAAACCCTAACCCCAGGAGCCTGGGTCAGTCCTGCGACCATTGGAGTCAGTCAGGAGCTAATCAGGAGCTGAGCATCAGCTGGGAATGAAAAGACCCCGGAGACTGCTCCCAGCCAGGTGAATGCTCGCCACACCTGTTCCCTCACATACACTCAGAATTGTTCTTCCATCTGCAACGATACAAACGGGTCCAACAACCCCCTAATTTTGCAAATCATTTGGGACAGATTTGCACACCTCAACACCATTCCCCACGGCTTCCCATCAAATGCAAGGATTATTATTAGTATTATTATCATCATCATCAGCAGCAGCCAGAAGCTGACCACCACTAACTGGGACCCACTTGTTAAAGGAAGATGAACAACATGGGTCATTTAGGCAAGGTTTATGTCACCTTCCATCCGCTGTCCGTGGTGATCATCTGCTTGGTGCTGTGCTGCTCGGTGGTGGCTGGTTTGGTGGGCGGTGTAATCGGAGGCGATCGCTGTGAACCTGGCGCTGAGTGAACTGCTGAGAAGTATGTTGGACAGCCTGCTGCTGCTACCGGCCACAGCAGCTCCGACCTAAGCACCATCCTGTGTCACACGCAGCTTCTTGTCTACTGTCTGTGCAGCTGTTCACCAATGATCACCATCAGATTGGAATCAATCCCTGGGTTCCTGTTCTGCTCAGCACCACCCCCCATGTATATCAGATGTCAAGAGATGCCCATTGACAGCCTCTGCCCCGGGTGTACCTGCTGTTGGTGGTTCGTCTGTTTTGGGCCGCAATCGTGTTTTATTAGGTTCGGATCTGTGTGGTTGTCAGATGGCACAACGAACAAAGTCCGTGAAGGTCGGGCCGCCCTGAATTCGGGTTGGAAACAGTTTGGAGTGGAGCCCCAGGTCCAGCCACCAGTCAAACCCTGGCACCTCTCAAGAGGACATGCCGTGCAGCTTGCAAAAGGGAAAGACACGCTGCCCTTGAATGTCACTGGCTTTTCTGGCTCCTTGTTGGCTACCATCACCTGTAACTAACCCAACCAGATACCGGGACCTTGGCAAGCACAAGCCGCGAGCCGGGCAGGAATTGAATGGAAGGCAAACAAGCCAAACCCTCCGGCTGCGTTACCACTAGTTGATGTGTTGCTTCTGAACATCATTGAAAATGACTTAACTCACCTCCCAAGCGAGAGATCTGGGTTCAATTCTCCGCAGGGCCAAACCTTGGGCAAGTTTCCATACTCCAGACACCTAATAATCCCTCAAGAAAAAGAATTGGTCACTTCGATCTGCGACTGTTTGTGGGACACTGCTGTGCGCAATTGGCTGCCACGTTTTGCCCACATACAGTCAATGCACATTAGTTTATTCTGTGTAGCGCTTTGAGACATCTAGAAGATGCGAAAAGTACTATATCAAATGCAAGGATTATTATTGAGTGAAAAACTTTAGGGGCTTAAGTTCGAGTTTAGGAGGAACAACGGAGGTTGCCGTTTCTTGTTTGGTAACTGAACGCTTGATAATGAGTGAGCCCTTTAGACAGACTACTGCCTACAAAGAAAGTTCCTCAGTTTCCCAGCAAGAACTTACATACTTTTTCTATTCTTTTGGCCAAGGAACACATTATGAAATAAATGTGAGACCGTGCTGACTCTTTCAAGGCTTAATGGTTAAAATAATGCAGCTTGTTAGCAAACAAATTATTGGACTTTGACCTACTGCAAAAATAAATCAATTTTATTTTTAATTTTTAAGTGTGCACTGCATAGCAATAGCAAGGAAACATCTGGTTTATTATCAGTGATTATAGCATTATTGTGGATAAGCACACTTGTGCAAATATAAAACAAATATTTTCTCCATTCATTGGCAAGATTGACAGCAAAAAACATTCATTATGGTTTTCCATCAAGTTGCAAACACTGAGAAAGCATTCATCACAAGGTAAAGGTCAAGATAGTTTCACTTATCCAGTATCCTATACACTGTATATCACATTCCAGTACCAAGGCTATTTAGAACAATATTGGGCAATCATTGTTGGCTTCTATTACTAAAAAAAAACAAAGGTTTAGCTGAATATCTTCCATCATACAGAGGCATTGCAAAGTGGTCTATTTATTTGCCTGTTCATATTTTAGTTAAATGAGCTTCATATAAAAGATTATTGAGAAAATGATATCTGTCTGGACTATTTAATTATGTTCATCAACATGCAGGAGGACATTTATGCAAACAGTTACATCATGCAAGGAATATTCCAAATAACTACATGTGGCGGTGTTCCACAGCTTACCTACTCACACTCAGAGTATTGGATGTATTGTAAGTGAAAATAATGTTACCAACATCATTATGCATTAAAAATAAATGGACACACTGCACTGATCATTATGTTTTTACTGGTTAAACACTAATGCAATATCTAATACAACAGTGAAAAAAATATTTCCACATATACAAGTCATAATATTTTTGAACCAATTTAGTATCAAAAACATTCCGATCATTTTATTTTTACATCCTTTATATCAAATGTGCTGTACCAAAGGTTCAGAACAGACAAATAAACATTTAACACTAATGGCACAAACTGGCATTCATATGATATAGTAATGTTTACTCATATATCAGACCACTACCATGTGCCAGTTTACACCAGCTCTACAAGATTTTATTGCCCATATTGCATTTTACTTCAGCCAGCTGAAACGTTTCACAGAAGTAATAATTAAATGGAAAAGTAACACATATTTAAAACAGACTATAGTTTGGGACTTTTTTNGCTCGTTACAATTGTTTAAAGGAGTAATGTTAGCCACCTGATGTTTTACACAAAAAAGATTAAATGAACTTCTGTATCAACAAGCTTTACATTCTGAATTAGGAACATCTACAAGAATACTGCAAAGATATCAGGTACTGCAGTTGTTTGTTGCTCTCATTCAATGTTATATTTAGATTCTAGTTTGAAGTTCTGATAAAGCACCAGTCAAATCAAGTCCTCTGCTTCTCATTTCATTTGTGGCGACTCCCTCGTCTCTTCATTGCTGCTGTGCATTGTGGGCAGTACCATTTTCCTTTCGGGGCTTCTGTTAGTCCAACACACCCATAGTGGAACCACTCAATGGGGCACTGTGGAAGAAAATTGTCAGGTCATTTCACCCAGAACAACACAACAAATTTTGTGCATTATCTATTATCATCCTTTGTATCATTGTGCTTCACACACATTGTTTCCAGCTTGTTCGCATGCTTCAAATTTGTTTGCAACATCAAAGAAAATCTAGAATACTTACATCTTGATTATCACAACCGACCATTTCACCATAGGATACCTAAAAGAAATGGGGAAATAAAATAAATTAAGTGTATTTTCAAACAAATGGAAAAATAGCACCATACCTTTTAATTGGTGGCAGAGTTCAAGTTAACAACTTTAAAAAGGGTGACAGCCTGAAAATAGCCCCTGCACCATGAGCACCAATAGTACAAATCCTGTGAGCAACTAAATTAAACAGTTTCCAAATCAAAATCCACTAGTTGTAAAGAAATATGTAAATTACTGCTGGAATGCCTACCTTAAATCACATAGAAGATGAAGCTTTTCCAAAGAATACAATTGTTTCATAATATAAGCTACTCACTTACAAATAGTTTTGTGCAGCATTCCATTAAAATAGTATGATAACTGCAACAGGGCAGCCCGTCTTATTTTTTTGGTCATTTCTATAAGTCTTATATTTGCCACACAGTCCCCCAAATTTATAAATGTCATACTTTTATTTCTGTCCCGTACTAAAACTGTGCAACCATCTCTACAAACATTTTACAATGCATACATCCCAAAATAAAAGCTGAACTGTTTTAAATTAGAAATCAATCCATTATATTACCCGCCTTCTGAGAGTTTATAGCTAATGCCTTTTAACCCACAACATGAATTTGTATTCTATGAAACACCTAGAATATTAAATGTACCGTTTAACATTCGTTACACACATTTGATTATTCAGAATCTTTTCACATTGGTTTCGTTATTCCCAAACATACCTGATTGCAGATACAATAGCGAGGTTCATTTGGGTCATACGTCCAATCCACTTGACTGTTAGAATCAGACTCTGGTAGAGCTGGGGTCTGCTGAGGAATCTCTTGTGTTACTGCCGATGACGAAGAGGAAGATGATGATGAGGATGATGATGAAGACTGATGATTTGAAGACTTGTTGCTTCTGCAAAAAATATAGAAAGAGTACAGATCATAGACATTGTACACAATTTTACCTAAAGGTTAGAAATATAAATGAAAACTTCATTGCAGTAAGACAATTTCAGTAACATAGCACTACATTTCCTAACAGGATTTCAGTTTCAAATCTCAACCTTGATTGACATTTGATCTGCTATTTTCATTAGCTGAGTTTTGGCAGCTCTTCAATATACTGCCACATGGATCACTATACTGCAGAGTGCTACATTGTGTTAATGATCCATGATCTAGATGAAGCTGTTAATGGTGACTGCTAGTGTACCAGGAGGGAAGTCTTCAACTTTCTGTGGTCAAGTACAGTTGTGACCTTAACTAGGTGGATGTAACTCCCATAAAGTTTGGAAGTTATGCATTTGTCAAAGTAAATGTTCTAAATAAAACAAATTAAGTCAAAGTTTTGCATACACAATCCCCAAAGTAATTTTCTTAACATAATTTACTTCTAATAAACAGAACAGCCGAGAAAATTCTAACTAACTATAGTGACTTACGAACTGGTGCCACTACTCTCCAAATGGAAGTTTCTGTCTTGCCTTCCACATGACACAGTGGAGTCCTGTAGCTCAGTGGTTAGAGCACTCGTTTTGCAAGTGAGAGACCTAAGTTCAATTCCAGGCAGAGGGCGAAACCTTGGGCAAGTTTCCTTACTCCACACGCCTAATTATAATCCCTCCAAAAAAACAAAATAATAAATTGGTCATTTTCAATCTACGACTGTTTGTGGGACATTGCTGTGCGCAATTGGCTGCCGCGTTCGCCCACAGTCAATTCACGTTACAGCATATTCTGTGAAGCGCTTTGGGACGTCTAGAAGACGTGAAAAGCGCTATATCAAATGCAAGGATTATTATTATTATTATATCCATAAAAGTCTTTATGGATAATCTGCCCTACCTCACTTTAACCTGGAATCTGAAAGGATTTTTAAATACTATACATTTGAAATCTAAGTATAAATTGCCAGACAAAATATGTATTTGATCAAATACATTTATTAACTGCAATACAGAATTTCTATGTAATCCCTTCTGAAATTAGATTAAGAAATAATTAGAGGCATATGTAAATCCAGAGGTAGCCATATTACCCTTCACCAATGAAGATCAAAATAGGATTACTTTTCTTCTTCATTGACAAATTGGAAAAGTGAAGTCCATGTATACACATCTAATAATAATAATAATAATAATCCTTGCATTTGATATAGCGCTTTTCACGTCGGGAGGACGTCCCAAAGCGCTTCACAGAACACACTGTAAAGTGAATTGACTGTGGATATTTGTGGGCGAACGCGGCAGCCAATTGCGCACAGCAATGTCCCACAAACAGTCGTAGATTGAAAAATGACCAATTTAATTATTGTTTTTGGTTTTTTGGAGGGATTATTATTAGGCTCTGTGTGGAGTAAGGAAACTTGCCCAAGGTTTCGCCCTGCCTGGAATTGAACTCAGGTCTCTCACTTGCAAAGCGAGTGCTCTAACCACTGAGCTACAGGACTCCACTCCTGTAATCACATATAATACAATCACATCTTGCCATTCTCACCACAACAAATTTCTGATATATACAAAGCTGCCACATCAAGGTAACAGCAAGCCAATTATTGAGCTGCTGTTGTTTTAATACGTTTCAGACTTCTGAAACAGAGAGCAGGGTAGTACTACAAGAACAGACATGTTACTATAGCAATAGACAAAATTAAGAATGGATGTTGTATTAGGCCACACTAGGTTTTGGCAAGAAACCATCATAACTTGATGACCATCGACAAGACAAATTGCAAAAAAAAAAATTCTACCATGCTCAATTTTAAAATATTGAATAAAGCACACAGCCTTGTAAGAGAGCAATTTAATTGAAAAAAAAACATACTTGTTTTTTCGTCCACTACGTGAATCTGTGGTTGATGTTGACAACGTCTGTGTCAGCGTAGAGGCTAATGTTGATGAATATCCTGTCGATTCTCTAGAGATAGAGAATTCGCGTGCAAGCTGGAAGTCATTATTCTTGAATGCTTCGTAAGTGGCCTTTATAGTAGATGTTCTCCGCCCTTCCTTCATCTTTGGAAGAAAAGGTAAACATTTTGCACAAAACCATTAGTTGGTAAAAAGATGAATTTCAGACAACTTTTACATGCAACTTGTTTGTACATGCAGTATAAAGCTATTGGAAAATACCAAAGACCTAAAAATCAGTCTCTGGGACTCAATTCAAAGCATTTGAGATACAAGAGTCATGGAGTAGACAGTATAGTAGGATCATAAAGGTACGTATGGGTCAAGGCCATACAGGCATTTGAAAGTAACGTCTAGAATCTTGGATTTGTTCCACTGGGAAGGGGAGCCAGTGGAGTTGAGCGAGAATGGGATGATAGGTTTACAGAGTCTGGTGTGGGATAGATACATGGGCTACAAAATTGTGGATGGTCTGCAGATTGTGTAGGAGGTGAGTTTGGTGTTGGAATAAATCAAACCTAAAGGTGAGGATTGGGTTGACTATACTTGGCACTAGTTTGCCAGTTAGAAGTAGTTTTGTGTACTCACAATCTCACAAATGGGGACTGTTGGGAGGGGGTAGGAGATGGAAAACATTGCACTTGAGTGGAACGTTTATAATTGTACCCATATCTTCCAACGTGGACACTTCTCAAATCTTCCACAATTGAAGCCAGTAAACCATGAAGTGGAGAATCTTTAGCTCGTCCTACTAATCTGTAATGCACGGTATCACATTGATAGATTGACACCCCTCGTTTACCCCAAATATATAGGAGCCAGCTTTTATAATAATTTCACAGGGACCAAAGCCCGAAAGTTATGCTAGTCTCAAATGATAAGGTCTGAATTGTTAAGGACAGTCCAATAACATTTTATGTCTCACTACTTGAAGAGCCACACGACAATCAAGGTTACAAATATTAACTTTCAAATCTGACAAAATATATTCCAACTTGTGCAGGATAGGAACACATTTTGAATGTTTTTGAGCATTTAAACTACCTGTGCAGTTGCTTGAACAGCCTGAGCTGCTGCCATTGTTATAGCGACAGCTCCCGGTCCAGCTCCTGGAGATAACGAGGTCAGATTGTATGAGCTGAGTGGCTGTGATGAATTTGCATTGTAGACATTGTTCGAAGCAGACGTTACATTGTTGTTACGACACCCTGAAAGAGAAAAAGATAATGAGCAAGTGTTAACAGATCTCATCATCTGCCTAATTATACGTCATAACATAATTTGTTTGCACTTTAGCAAATACTGTAACAAATCTTATTTAAGACAGAATTCTGAATACCGGGTGTATTTTCTTTTGAAGCATCTGATGTAAGTGTAGATAAAAGAGCTTCTGATTTGAATTTCTTCTCAGGTACATGGTCTGAGGCATGGTGAGAGGATGGGTTATACTTCCGTTCTGTAAAAGGATTGCAAAAACAAATGAATAGTAGCAGAAGAAACAATTGCTGATGAAAAAGCTCTCGACTAGGCTGAATAAAATTGAATGTAATATAAAGCAACAAAGAATGCTTGAAATTAACATACAACAAATTAATCCATGAACAATATACAATAGACAGTGTATAAATAACAAGGAAGATTGAAGTGCATCAAATTCAGTATCATAATTCATCTATATATATATATATAAAATCATAGAATAGTCCATATCAACAAAGTTTTCATAAATAATTCTTACAATTGGCAAATACCTTTCAGGTTGGGACGTGCTTTGCAGGATATACTGTAAACTGCAGTGACTGTGTGTTTTGTGGGCAAACTGCTGCCATCCAAATAATACTTACATTTGATATAGCACCTTATCATGTTGCTGAGACATCTCAAAGTGCTCACAGGATAATGTAAAGTGGATTGACTATGTATTTTGACTAAATAGTTTTCCTTGTATATGCTTGTCAGAAAAATCCAACCAATTTTATTTATCTTTAATCTTCAAAAGTAATTGCAATACCAAAATGAGTTATAGTCAAGGAACTTGTGCCATTTAGCCTTGGTTCTATGAACAAATTTGAATGTTTAAATATGATAATTTTAAATTGATATTTCTTTGTGCTTATTAACATGACAATGTCACTGCAAGGTAATGCAATAAGTTTCAATTTCTGGTACTCAGTATCAGTACAGAACTCTCAGCTAAAGTAACTTAATAATTAAACTTGATTTGAGCGTCTAAGCAAAACAGTAACAGAGCTTTGAGGCACCTCGAAGATGTGATAAGGCGCTATAACAAATGTAAGGATTATTATTATTATTCTAACCACACACTTGAACATGAAGTATACCACCACAACAAAGAAAAAAAACACAACATGAAGTATACCACGACAGGGTGAAAAATAAACTTCCAAGCACTTACTTTCTAATGGAGTATGCGAGTGAGCATGATGATTATTAACTGGCTGAGGTGGGTTGTCCAACTCCAAAGACCCTGAATGAAGGGAGCAGGCAACCAGTCAAATTAGGTCTTAAATACTCTGTTTTCAAACCAAGAATAAATCAATTTACAACAACAGATAATTGGACTTAACTTAAAACTAACTTATTTTTTTTCTGATCCAAAAACATTTAGTAGCTATAACTTTCAAGACTGAGCATGAGAAAGGAGGAAAATGAGATAAATCATAGCTAACTATTAGAGAAATACAAGTAATATTTGCAAGACAAGTAATAATGCAGGATACAGGGAACAAAACAGTACACTTTCTGTATTGAAATATATATTAAAAAAATAAAAATATTATTACTAAGAATGTATTTCTGGGGCAATAATTCAAGTTTTAAAGGGTCACATGTTATCTCCACTTGTAGTTTTTTTTTAAAGTTATCTTAATAGGTATAATTTGTTGCAACAAGTATTATTATTATTAAAGACTAACTCATGAGAGGAATAGATGCAGTAGCAATAGATTGTTTCTTCTCACAAGCAAAACACTTGGATACATCTTTTGAAAACCATGCACTACCACATCCAGTAAGTGATTAATTTTTGTCTTGCATTTTCTCAGGTAAATTTCTTGGTCCATGATACACTCATTCCCACTCAAAAATCTAGAATTATAATGGAGTGTCCAGTGGATAACGTTTTCACTGTTCACAGACACTACTTAAACATATTATGCATTTACATTTTTACATCTTAAGTTAAATATAATGAATGGTCCATAGTAAATTCTGATTCTTTGCAGTTTCTAGATAAACCCTCATTTGAATAATTAGAGGTGATTTGAGGTTGTTAAATTGTCTTTAATAAAATTAAAAGCTAGAAAATTACCATTATTTGTATGGTTACTAATCGTTCTCTAATGAGTTATTACTTCTTTCTTCTCATCTCCTAACAGTTTGATTATAACCATGGCTCCGAAATTACCAACATTTGTTCTTTGCAACAACTCCCAAATGAGAAAATAGGACAAAAACAACTAATTATGCCTCTAATCAGATGAATCATTCAAGAAATCTTTTATAGAAGCCAATATATGGTTCTGTAATTTTTCTGTTATTTAAAACCTTTACAACCTTCAGGTTGTCATAAGAAACCTCTCATCTGAATTATCGTTAAAGTCCCTGGATTATTAATAAGCACACTCACTGAAAACAAGAGCTGAACCTTCCTTTGTAATTTGTTTTTCTGGCAGTGCACATGCATGATCTACACCTATGCGTATGTAAGGAGAGCTATTGCTAGGTTCAGAGAAAATAAGTACCCAGTATATATCTAGTGTAACCATGGCCCATGAAACTAAATCACAATTTGGTGTATGCGACTCACTCCAGCCAATTAACTGTAACTGCAACACTGAACATGACAGTCTATGCTTGTTCTTAATCTACTGACAGACAAAGGAAATATTTATATTTTTGCACAACTGAGGCAAAATACTCCACTGTCACAAGATCTTGCTTTGCACAGAATTGACAATAAACATATATGAAAAAAAAGTCGCCCTCAAAGGGAACAGAATGAACTTTTTTACTCATGATTATAACTAAAGCTTAAGATGGTCCAAAACCCGATTGTCCAGCCCGCCTGTTTCTGTGCTGCATATTCTATGCAATTTCCGACGTGAAGGGCGCTATACAAGTGTAATACAAGTGTATACAAGTGTAATTTGTGTATACAAGTGTAATTTGTTATTGTTGTTGTACTTCCATAATTATTGACAAGCATTGTTGTATACTAATGTATACTCATTTATTCATTTATTCCATATTCAAAATGCTAATTAATTATTTTTTAAATTCTATAATTTCTCACTTTAGCTTCCACGTCATTTTCTACAATGGAGGGTAAACAGGTAGTTGAACTTAGGTTTCTTGTTAACTATGCTCCTGAATCAATCACTTGGATGAATACTTCGGGCCCCAATGTAGTCACGAGTTTTATCAGCCAGTAAAATCAGACTACAGTATTAGTCTGTGCAAAATGCAAGCCATAAAATGGCAATCAATTTTAGTTTAAAAATATTATTCAATATAAAGTTGCAAAAATATAATTTTGCATGCAGTAGTTTTAAAAACTAAGCTCCATTGAAGAAGCTTTCACTATTGAAATATTACCTTAACTTTGTCATCCATAGTTATATAAACATAGCTGAGTTTAACATTGGCTTTTAGTGACAACTACTGGTAATGTAGAATATTACAGGTCATACCCCTGACATGACCTACATGCAATGTTCAAAAGAAAATACTGAACCATTTATTTCTAGAATTAATTTACGTAACCCAGCAATTCAGTAGCAATATAAAATGTATAAAATAATTTGCCTCTTTTACATGTGAATTTGTATTGTTAAAATTAATAGAAGTGCAAAACATGAATATAAAATAGTCATAAATATAAAATAGTCATCAATAAATCAAATAGGGAAGTCAGAAGAAACTTCTTTACCCAGAGAGTGGTGGGAATGTGGAACCTGCTACAAGTAGTTGAGGCAAATAGCATAGATACATTTAAGGGGAAGCTAGATAAGTACATGAGGGAGAAAGAAATAGAAGGTTACACTGATGGGCTTAGTTGAGGAAGGGTAGGAGGAGGCTCATGTGGAGCATAAACACCGGCATAAACCAGTTGGGCTGAGCCGCCTGTTTCTGTGCTGCATATTCTATGCAATTCAATGAATATACTTACTTCTTTCCAGTATTTCTGTAATTCCAGCATTATCTGCTTCAAGCTCCATTTTAAATTTGGCAAGCTCTTGGTCCAACTTTCGTAAATGTCTATCCACCTGTTAATGCAAGCACAAAACACTGTATAGAACCCAAGTGCAAAGTAGGGTAAACAAAATGAAAATCACATTAAATGCACTTGGTTTCTAGATGTGTACCTGTGGAACTTCACCACAACATGAGGAACTACTTTCAGGAGAAGAGGCATTTTTTAAAAAAAAACAGGAGAGAACAGAATCCAAAAATCATCATGTAAAATTTTTACCAAAGACAAATTCAAATTAAAACTGAATGAAAATTTTTTTTTATTTTAATTACTTTCTTTAATTCTATTTCATTTACACCTACTTACCAAATCATAAATTTGGTTGGCTAACTGGACTTTTTCATCCGCATCTTCCAAAGCTTTATAATAATCCTATAAAAAGATTTATATGAAAGTTATGAAATGATTTAATATGGAAACAAAATAAACAAACATACAGTACAATCAAAGTAAAGGCAAGATCACTGCTTTTCCTTTGAAATGTTACATAGTATAGACAAACTACTTGGTCTGTAATTACCAACAAATAGTTTTCCAATGGCTATTTTGTTTATTGTTAAGTTATTCTTAAACACAATTTACCAAAAGTAAACATTTAGATGATCTAAGGTTTCATGTTGCCCAACTGTTTAACTTCAATAATGCAATAAAGATTCAATTTTTCAACCACTATCTACAATTTAAATAAATACAAACAAATATAGGAGAAAATCTGTTTTGCTCCTCATGTATAATTTCTGAGATATGGATAGCTGGAAACAGTCTAACATTCCTTCAATTAAGCTAGATTGACATTGTAAATGTTATACAGAAGTAATTTGTATCTATGCAAAACTAACAATTTTATTCAGATTAAACAAACAGGTTTTTCCAACATTATCTTGGAAAATTAAATAAATCCAAGTTTATAAATTAAACTTTCAACAAGGTCTTAGTTCCATGATAAAAACACCTTTTTAATTGCTTCCATTTGTTCATCTCTCCATTCTGGCTTATTCTTTTTTGCATTCACAAAAAACTCATTCACCCTTTGTTCTAACTGGTCCATTGCATCTGTGTGGGAAAAAAACGTTTTTAAACATGTTTAAATGTTTGTTGCACTGCATGTTCAAAAAATATTGCATTCGTTTGATTTGTTTACAGATCTATCATTGATGTTGGAAACAGACAGATTAGACTAATTAACGTCAAACCTTATGAACACCAAAGTAATTGAGTTACGCGGATTTAGCTCACTGAGGTTTGAATTGCTATGTAATATCAAAGCTACAGGCATATGCTTTTTGAAACTTATTGAAAAGTTTAAACTGCATCACCATCATGCTGATGACACAGGACAGACACCCATGCCCAGTCTTAATCCAAAATATGCAGAGATGCGCAATTGCCATTTAAGTACAGTACTGCAATTGGAGTCCAATGAATTTAGAATTACTATACATATTTTAAATGCAACTATCCATTTTGTTGTGACTTCCCACATTGTCAAGTCATCCAAGCAGGTCCACCGCGTGGCTTTCTTCCTGGCACCGCATTTGTAGGAGGACACAGCAGCTAACGTTGCGCGCAGCAATGTCAGAAAACATAAAGTGATTGATTGAACGGTTTGATCTGGGCTGTCGATCAGGGACAAGGGTAGAAACTCCCTTCTCTTTTTGAGAAACGTACTTTCTTTTTGTTGCTGCCCTCAAGAGAAACGTTTTCGACTCGCTCAATCGCACTTTTTTTATTAAAAAAAAACACCCAAAATGTTATTTGCAGCCATTCGGAGTACTTTCTCAAAGAGAGAGAAAAGAAGATTAAAAAGAAAAAAAAAAGCAGCAGCCAACACGGTGTTCGGTGGGTGCAATCGACCTGTTGCTATGACCCGTTGCTAAGACGCTTTTGGTGCCGGGACGTGTCCACACCAATTCAGGACAACGCACACACACACACACACACACAACAAGAACAAACCCCTCTCCTCTCTCCTCTCTCAAAACATATTATTTTTTTCAAAAAAAAAAGCCCCGAACGGCTGCAAATAAAATTTTTTGGGGGTTTTTTTTCAAAAAAAAGTGCAAATCCAGCGAGTCAAACGTTTCTTTTTGACGGCAACAACCGCCCAAAAATAAAAGTTAACAGCGAACGAAGAAAGACCGAGCATTTCGCGGCTGAGTGTATAACTTGCAGTGGGGTCGGGAATAAAGAGAGAAAGTACGGGGGGTGGGGAAAAAAAACACAATAAGATGATGATGATGACCATAATTAATAAAATGATTAAAAAGCGTCCGCTGTCGGCGCAGTCTCGGGCGGTGCTGCGCGCGCGCGCGCGCACGTCAAACAACAACAACAACAACAACGACGCCACCACCTACTCTGCACTTGCAGGTCCATCTCCCTCATTTCCGTGAACCTATCGCGGAGATCCATGGGAAGCTGCTCGATCACTGGTGTGGCGAGAAGAGAGAAAAGATGAGAGAGAGAAAAAAAAACTACCCAAGAGGCGGAAACACACGACGAGCGTCAGTCAAATTCGGGCAATGGCGGAAACGAGCAGAGAGAGAGAGAGAGAAAAAAATTTAAATCCCGCCCCCCAACCGCCGCATCTTTTCTTCCTTATATATATGGAGAGGAAAAAAAACAAACGGCGCCTTATTTTGCCAAATATCTGCCCGGCTCTCGATACTCACTCTCCAAGTAATCCTCCAAGTACAACATGCTTGCGGTCGGACGAGCGGCGGCGGCTTTCCTTCCTTTAAGCGCCTTGTTTGCGAAGGGTTTCAAGATGGCGTCCCGAGCCCAGCGCCGCTCGTTTCGAACATCGAGTATTTTTTTTAAAAAAAATTTGTTTTCTTCAACCGTCCGGCTCCGGAACGCGCGGCCGCCACGTGACGGCGACCGCCTCTTCCGATTGGGCAGCGCTCCCCCACCCCGCTCTCGTCTTTTGTGACGCTGCTGATGATGACGACAACAGGTCTCTCTTCCCTCCCCCCCCCCCCCCCCCCCACTCCCAACACTCTCTCACTGCCAACCATCGCGATCCCTCCCCCTCCCCCGGGGTCTGTCGGGAGGTGTAGTTGCTTGTAGCCACCCGCTCTCTGCCATCGCCGGGCATCCCGGGAGATGCAGTTCCCCACGGCTGCTCTCGTCTTCGACGCCTCGCAGGAGCTCCGGCGCGCGCAGCCCCACGCGATGGCTTTCGGAATGTTCGGAAAAGGCAACGTTGTTGGCGCGTTCTGTGGGTTTCTGTGCATTTTCGTAACGAAACATGTCCCATTTTGATTTTAATGACCTAAATGGTTATATTTCATCTAATATTAAGTTGCACCCGCAAAGTCCGCAGTCACTCCACTTCACAGATATTTTCTGTAAAGTGCTTCGAGACGTCTCACAGACTTGATGAGGCGTTATGTCGAATGCAAAGATTATTATTATTATGTATTAATTTCCTGCTGCCTTGTTTGGCATCCAGAAATGTTGCCCTCTTCCAAGAGAGCCTGCACCCCTTTGGGGCTGAAAATTTCACCTTGTCTTAGCTCCTGCAACCGTTCGGGCTTAATATTTTAATATTGCGCAGCAGTTGTGGGACAATTTCTTAAATTTCAATTTTGATTTGTGATTTTTCTTAAAACCAAATGTGTTGACACAATGCGCAGTCACTACACTTTTTTAAAAAGTAAATCCTGTTTAGGCGCTTTGTGACGTACTTCCAACGTGAGCAGTCGAGGTGAATGAATTACTTGTTTTAAGTCAGCATCTTCCATAATTATGCATATACTTAAAGTTTAGGATAAAATGGGTCTTAACATGTCAAGATCCAGTAGGAAGTTTGAGCCCCTTATTTTTATACTTTAGAATTTGGTGTAATTGTACCTACTCTGGTGAACTCCCAGTAGATCAATACAGATTTTATGCTAATTTGAGGGAAATAGAGGACAAAAGAAGTCTTCAGGAACTACTTAGAAAATGCTATGCTTCATTTGGGCATTACAAGCTTACAAGCGATTTGGGAAAACATGCTCTTAGAAATATATTGTAAGCATTTTGCAATAATCAATTTAATTATTTATCGCTCTGCCTCAAACTCAGTATGTTGTTTGGGATATTTCTAAAATGTAAAGCATTGTTGCCAATTGAAGTGATTAAAATGTCCATTTAACCTACCTTAAATACAAAGCATGGGTCAATGTGTAACAAGGATTATTAAATACTACATTGCAATTTAACTCAACAACTCAACACACCCCAGCACTGCATTGGAGCGCCAGCCTATGTGAGTTCAAAGTCCAGACATGGGACTTGAACCCATAACCTTCTGACTCAGAAGCGAGAGTACAACCAACTGAGCCAGGCTGATATTTGCCAAGGAAATATGTCATGGTCAGTATGACTCCCTAATCTAAATTCACCCTTGTGATTCAACAACAACAACAACAACAACAAGATTCCATTTATAGAGCGCCTTTCACGTCAGGAGGACGTCCCAAGGCGCTGCACAGGGGATCTTCATGAGAAGGGATCTTCCCCTATTTCCCCTGCTTTTAATATTCAAATATGAAGTAGGAAGAGCAAGCTAGAACAAAGCAAACATCCACATTGTTTGTACCTCTAGTTCTTTATTTATTCTGTGAGAAACAATTCATTTCACAACTAGATAATGTTATTTCACTCCAGCTTCTATCAGGAATATAAAGCTGGTTGACTTCCCAAGAGTACGAACAAATTTAAAGCAGGATATTATTGAATAATAATAATAATAGTCTTCACATTTGATATAGCAAGTTTTATTGTGTCTTCGGGACATCTCAATGTGCTTCACAGAATGCACTGTAAAGTGAATCTCCAGATATGAGTATGAAAATGAATTCTCGTCTACGTATTTTCAACATTTCTTCCAAATCTGTTGAAATAATACTGATCCTAACATTTACAAAGATTATTTCACATCAGAAGGATGTCTCAAAGAGCTTCACGGGATTTACCATAAAATAAAACAAAGATAGGCTTAAAACATAAATTACATTAATATCAGACTTTGATGTTCATCCTGCATTGGCTCACATACACATTGCCTTGTGTGCGCAATTGGCTGTCATGTTTTGCCCCAAAAATATACAGTCAATTCACTTTTTCAGTATATCCTGTGAAGACGTGATAAGGCACTGTATCAAATGCAAGGATAATTATTATTATATTTAAATTAACCACCTAACAGTTATTAATTTGCCGGCAAGATAATGTTCTGTCATTACTTAAAATCAATGTAAACAGCCATTTTGATTTCGCAGCTACTGATTGATGCCAGTTAAAATAGATTTCTTTTGGTAACTAACTTTTGAAAGGCACAGAGCAATGCACAAAATACAATATCTACCACTGTTTACAAAATGACATAATTCTATTTATTTCTGGCTTATCGATCTTGAGCATTCAATCTCAGAGTTCTCAAAGATTGCTTTGTGTGCAAAGATTTTTTCTTCCAGCCTTTGCTTATTTCAGCCCAAGGGTTCTCGTCTTGAATTGGCAAGTAAATGAAACTTGGGCTAACATATCCTTCAATTTCCCCCTTTTACTTGTGGCAATGCACTAAACTCTGCTCAAGATACTCCTGCAACCTGTTGACGGTGCAATGATTATTATAATACTGAAATGTAGTACAGATCACTACAAGAAAAAGTGTAACCTAGTAAGTCATGGTTGTTTTAATGACTTCCGTATACTGTTTGCATTGGGAACATGTGTTAAAAAATGATCAGAAAATGTAGGTAGTGAAAAATTTGCCCCTTAAGGTTTAGTAATAACCCATCAAGATTTCTGCAGACGCCACCAAAAATAAATGAGATTTTTTTTGCAGATTTCCACTGATCCAAATAACCTTAGCACAAAACTTGCATCCCAAAATTGGGTTTGTCATTATGATTTCTACAAGTTTATCATGCTACCATAAATTGTGATCATAACTAAATAATAATAAAAAGTAATCCATACATTTGATGTAGCACCTTATTACATTGTTGAGACATCTCAAAGCGGTTCACTGCATATACTGGAAAGTGGATTGACCGAAATGTGCAGCCAGTTACGTACAGCAAAGTCCCACAAACAACCATGGATGAGTGAACAATTTTATTTGGGGGATTGTTGGTCAGGACATTGGGAGAAAATCCTTTGTTCCCAGGTCATTCGGGGTTTGCCTTTTTAATCTTAGATCATCAATTTTAAACTATTGCCTTATCAGTAGTGTGAAATGTTACTTAGACCTTTTGAATTCTGTATCTGATAAGTGTATGATCATGTATCTGGTTTATGATTTAATTGCTTTATGTAACTGAGGAAACGACTGGTTGCTGTGGGCAAAATAAACAGCAGATTGGACCCCATTCATTATGTTTATATCTTGTGAGAACAATCCAAACACACACCATAGACTCTTTCAGCTGCCTCACTGCTTGAGTTGTGTAACAACTGCCTGTTTCTTAGTTGCTGATTGATAAATTAATCTATTAGCCAGAGGTTCTTCTTTCCGTCAAAATGAGAAATCAGAAATTAAACATGTTTTTACGTTTATAACATTTAATACAATTTACACAGAATTGCAGACCTTGACACTTTATGGCTCATAGCACCGCTGTCCCTAAATAAAATAATCCTTGCATTATATGTAGCACTTTTCAAATCAGGAAGATGTCTAAAGCAATTTACAGGATACATTGTAAATTGTTCTTTTTATGCATTTTGTAGTCAGAGTAAGCTCAAGGTCCCAACGTGGGGCCAACTCAGAGGCGCGAGTGCTATCAACTCAGTCAACATGACACCCTATGAATATTGGGTCTATCTGACATTGTATCAGTGCTCCTGCTTTTCCCCCAAAATACATGGAACAGCAGGGGATGGCAAACTTGATCTAAATCCGGGACAGTCTTTAGATAGGAGAGACAAGGAAACAAAAATACAAAAAAATATAAAAATACATATGACCTTATACATACCAGTGAATGAATTGAGAATTGTTTTGCTGCAGACTTCTGTATTTTTGCTTATATCAATAATAATATAATAATCCTTCTATTTAATATACAGCTACTTTCACATCGGCAGGACGTCTCAAAGCACTTCACAGGATTTACTATAAACTGCAGTGTCCGTGTATTTTGTAGTCGGATGCATCAACCAATTTGCGCACAGCAGTATCCTGCAAGCAGCCATGAAGTGAATGAAATGACCAGTTTTACCTGTGGGTGGGGGTGGGGGGGGATTGCTATCAGGAGTTCGGGAAGGGGGAGAAACTCCCTTCTCTTTTCCGAGTAGCCCAAATGGGATCGTCATATTACGTTATACAGTCGAAGGAGCGATCAGGCACTATTGCAAATGCAAGGATTATTATTATTATTATTATTATTTAACGTCCACTTGAACAGGCAGATTGGGAAAACGTATTATTATTATTAGTAGTATTATTTGGAGTCCTGTAGCTCAGTGGTTAGAGCACTCGCTTTGCAAGCGAGAGACCTGAGTTCAATTCCAGGCAGAGGGCGAAACCTTGGGCAAGTTTCCTTACTCCACACAGAGCCCTAATAATAATCCCTCCTAAACCAAAAAACAATAATAAAATTGGTCATTTTCAATCCATGACTGTTTGTGGGACACCGCTGTGCGCAATTGGCTGCCGCGTTCGCCCACAAATATACAGTCAATTCGCTTTACAGTGTGTTCCGTGAAGCGCTTTGGGACGTCCCTCCCGACGTGAAGAGCGCTGTTTCAAATGCAAGGATTATTATTATTATTATTATTATTACTATTATATTTTGTTGTTGTATTGGCAGATGGGAATTGTGGGGTTCATGACCCGCGGGGGGAGGGGAGGGAGGGTTGGTTAACCTGCTGGTGGGGCAGAGCAGGGCAGGGGCGGGGGTGAGGGAGGGCGCTGCTGCCTGTGTGAGGGAATGGGGGGGTTCCCACGGTTGGGCTCTGACTCCGGCACTTATTCCTCCGACGAAAGGAAAGTGCAAAGGATCGGAAACCGCAGGAGCATCCGGAGTGGCCGTGACGCCGCTCCTCCTTCTCTTCCCATCTCCTCTCCTCCCCAATCTAAAGTGAGTTGGAAAAGTTTGCTTTGCTTTGCAAAGTGTTTTTTTTGTGTGTGTGTGTGTGGGTGGGTGGGTGGCGGAGGGGGAGAGGTGGGGGGGGGTGGTGTTTGTGGACATAAATTTCGGAGGCTGTGGGATTGCAATGCACTGCACTGCACCCGCCCCTTCCTCTTCATGAGGCGACTCCAGTAATTGTGCGAGTGATCAATTGCGTGTCACTCACTCACTTACTCACTCACTCACTGATGCATAAGTAGAGGGTCGTCACCCAATGCAACAAAAGCAAAAAGGTGTGGAGTGGGGGAGTGGGGGAGGAGAGAGAGAGAGAACGACAAAAAGAAAGCCCCTCCACATAGGAAGCATTTCAGTGTGAGCTGCTGCGGGGATCGACGGTCGGGTTTTACGAGCCACCGAGACCCCGGTGGATGAGTAACGAAGCCGGAGAGGAGGAACCGCTCACGCGGGTTATTCATTATTCAGCACCGGGGCTGCCCCGTGTTGTGCCCACTTCACGCTGCTGAGATTTAAGTGCAGTTGAGGGGGGAAAAAGTGCCAACACACCCAGGGCTTTCTTCTTCTTCTTTTTCTTCTTCTTCTTCTTCTTCTTCTTCTTCTTCTTCTCCCACCTTTACAATTCGGATTAACGTGGAAGTACTTCGCGACTGAACACACACACACACACACCTGGTCTGAGGTAGGGCGCAAGTTTGCATTGGGGAGACGTCTCAGTGCATGGGTTGAGGATTGTGTGTGTGTGTGTATATGTGTATATGTGTGTGTGTGTATATTTATATATACTTTTAACTATTTTTTTTGCTATTTGACAGTGAAAACAAAATTGAAATCGAAATGGACCTCAGACAGGCAGGTAAGGTGCGCTTAAGCCATATATATATACCTAAGCCATATGTATATCATATATATATATATATATATATAAATGCCACACCACCAGATCTGCTTGGGTGACAATTTTAGAAAGAGTTTGGCAAAGTAGGATGACAGATCGTGTGGTCGGGGCAAAAGCAGACCCTCTAGTGCACACCAGTCTTGACACAGAAGGGGTATTTCGTTTCAAAGTATATTTTTTTTTGAAAAAAAGCTCATCGAAATGCTATCAAGAAAGTCAACACGATGGGAGTTTTGTAAATAAATAACCAAACAAATAAATCCAACACACACACATACACACACCTTTAGCTTGCCACCCAACATGCTGAATGCCATACTAGCCAAGTGGCTCTCGTTTTAAGGGATATTTTAATCTTATTTTCTTTCGTGTGCAGGTGGTTGTGAAAAAATGCTCTGTCCCTGAAGCACCAAGGATGGAGTCAGTCGTTATTCATCTTGATTCAGAATGGCCAGAGAGGACTCCGTCAAGTGTCTCCGCTGCTCACTCTATGCTCTGAATTTCCTCTTCTGGGTGAGTCGGGTTTGCAACAAACCTCGAGATGCGATTTTGCTGCTAAACATTGCATGTTACAGTCACCAATATGTTCCTCTGCGGACCACGTTGATCATATAAAGTTCCTCTCTCCAAAACCAGGTCAACTAACTCGTGGCCCTGATTTGCCACTCTGCTGTGTTTTCACAATCTTTTCTGGGCGGTGTGTTGAACTAATCGATTTCCACTTGAACTTTGGGTTTTGCTGACACACCGCCTCAATTCTTCCAGCAAGTGGTTGAAAGATAACCATTCAGAGCCCTCACACAGAATGCCCCTGTTGTTATTTGTTTAAGGTTAATTTTTTTTTGAAGGAGGCTGATATCATCGTCGGTTGAAACCCGATGGGATGCCAATGCAATTCGAAATAGGCAAAGAAAATAATCGCAAAAGTGCACGATAGGGTGTAATGTAACTCCAGTTGCAGGAACAAGCTACCCAGGAGATAGTTTTCCCCTTTAAAAACATATTTTATAAATGCATAATAAATATGATCGTTCACCGCCCAAAATAATGTTTCCTGCTAATATATTCTTATTTTTATTTTCAATAAGGATGGATATCAGTTAAAACTTATCTTTACCAAGCAGGTAGAATTCATAATTGTGTGTGGAATTAAAGGAAAGCAATTAGTTTGGAAGATAATTGGCCAGGACAATGGGAGAGTGTCATGGGATGTCTATTTTTTCCAAAAGAAGCAGATGGGCCTCAGCTAAACATCTCAACAAAAGGCAATACTTCTGGCAATGCCTTGCTTCCCTAAGACCCCAGTGGAGTGTCAGCTGAGATTTATGAGTGCAAGTCTTGATGTGGGGCTTGAACCCAGAACTTGATGCCCCAGAGGCAAGAGTACAGAGTGAGCTAAGCTGACACCTTAACTAGTATTTGCATTTATCTTTCAGCAAGTAAAAGTTCTCCAACCAGTGGAAGCTATATAAAGCCAAGTTGTTGATGTTGTTGTGGTGGCTGAAAACTAATGAACGTTTGTGATGAGGGACAATTTGTAAATAAAGGAAATTGCTGTGAAGCCTTGAATGTTTGAATATGGAACAGTAAATAATAGCCATGCATTTTTTACAGCTGATGTCAGCCTGTGTTCTGGGTGTGTCTGCATGGATGAGGGATTACCTGAATAATGTACTAGTATTAACAACAGAAACCAGGTATGTATCAATTAACTATGGGATAAAATTCCACTAGTCTGTCAAACATTCGGAATAAATGCACATTTGTAATGTGATAAAGTCCATACAAAATTAAATCCTGCTTTCACATCTATTCTTTAAAATAGTTTTCACTTAATTCACCGGAGACTAGCACCATTCATTATTCACCTGTGATTAAAATCAAACTTTGAACAGTTTGTTTTCACCTTGAATACTTTGATTTCAGATGTAATGGGAAAAATTCCACCTGGGTCTAGACTTACCTTATTTTCGTAGCGTTTCAGAACATTCAGAATTTGGCAAATTGTTGAATTGAATCATAACTTTGAACCTTTTTTTTGTCGTTCTTGAAGGAAATTTGCAAAAAACGGGCTCCAAAATTAAGATTGTGTTTAAGAATCTGCCAAATTCTGAATCGCTGAAATGCTAAGAAAATAGAGTAAATTGAGACCCGAGTGGAATTACTTCTTTCTAGTTGAATTGCTTTTTTTAACCATCAGTTGAGCATCAGATTGTTTTTTGTACCAGAGAGTTATATTACTATCACGTTTAGATAAGGCAAATGCTTCATTCTTTATATTTTTTAAGGTGAGGATTGAAAATGGTCTTTGTCACCACTAACTCCTTGACTCTCTGGTAACTTACAACACTCAATGTCTCAGGGTTGCATACTACACTCAAATTTAACTTGATTCCAACATTTGTTCCCCCAAAAATGAGAATCCAAAATGCTATGATTGACATTTCAAGAAAACGACCATCAAATCGTATGTAAGATAAAGCTTGGTACCTGGCTTGGCCTGATTTTTATGTAAATTCTGCTTGTGGTCTTCTTGCATTGCACAGTGTATTCCGATTTCTAAGTGCAACAAGTGATTTTTTGGGGGGTGAAGTGTTAATCAGGCATCCACAATTGGAAACCAGGTACTATGCTTAACTCCTTATTCCTGAGAGTTCCACATATTTCTGTTTTTTATTTATCTGGTATGGAGTGCACACTTTTTTCCCAATCCAAGAGAGTTTAGATGCAAGTTAGCAAGAGCCAAGGCTTAGGTACCCCGAATGTGTATTGCATACCGTTGGACCAGCTAAAATTGCACAGCTTGCCATTGCAAACACTTACAAACTTTCCACTGCACAGTAATGTCCAACAAACAGTAACACGTGGAGTCCTGTAGCTCAGTGGTTAGAGCACTCGCTTTGCAAGTGAGAGACCTGAGTTCAATTCCAGGCAGAGGGCGAAACCTTGGGCAAGTTTCCTTACTCCACACAGAGCCTAATAATAATCCCTCCAAAACCCAAAACAATAATAAATTGGTCATTTTCAATCTACGACTGTTTGTGGGACATTGCTGTGCGCAATTGGCTGCCGCGTTCGCCCACAAATATACAGTCAATTCACTTTACAGTGTGTTCTGTGAAGCGCTTTGGGACGTCCTCCCGACGTGAAAAGCGCTATATCAAATGCAAGGATTATTATTATTATTATAACAAAGTGAGTGGCCAATTTTACTTGGGGATTTGTTGGCCAGGATACCGGGAGAAATTCTCTTTTTTTCCTGTAGTAGTGCCATACAATTTTTAAGATCTACCTGATCAGGCCAACAATACCTCGGTTTAATGTCTCATCTGAAAAACAGCACCTCTGATAGTACAATCCGGGTTCTGTATTGGAGTTCCAAGTCCCGATGTGAGGCTTTTACCCACAACCTTCCCACACCAATGCAAGAGTGCTGCCAACTGAATCAGGTTAACACACAGTTTGTGTGTACGTGTGTGTCTATGTATGTATGTGTGTATACACATCTTACATATAAATATCTGAAAAGGCAGGAATATGAGAAATGATCTTTTTCCTGTTTTTTAAATGTTTACAAATTCTATACAAATGTAATTTGTTGTTTTTAAACGTTTAATCTTAGACTCTTTTAGTTCTCCTTTTAACATGCAGGACCCCAGAATATGGGAAAATGTTTGTTAATTAGCTAATCCCACTCCTGTTAATAATCCCTAGTCAGTGAGCCAAGATGACTTGCTTCCAATTTGTCTCCCATTCCCTGTGGTGACACTGTACAGCTGATATTAGAAATGTGTGACCAGAGTTAAAGTCAAATATATAAATTAATTACTACCACAATTACCTAAATTAAAATGAAATTAGTTTTCAAAGAAGCTTCAAGAGGAAACACTTCTGGTCAACTGGATTTCATTGTTTGTGTTCTGCAAGAGCCTTGAAGCTTGAAGTTCCACATTTCTCTGTTGGCGTACTTTGAAAACTTTAATCCAACATTTCAAGGAGGACCTTTCACCATCACAAACCCTTTGTTAACAAGGACCCTTGTCTGTTAATTAGAGTCTTTTATAGCTTATTCCATAATTGTTCATTAGAGTCAGAAACCACCAGAGCAACTGTATAAAAGCATCAGTCCAGAAACGGTTTCCATGAATACTGAAATTTATGAATGCATTGTCTTCTGGATACCATTAACGCGGATTACTTAGGAATTTGCTGTCCCTCTACAGGCTTGAAGAGGCATTCATTCTGACATATTTACCAGTGATCCACCCTATAATGATTGCGGTGTGCTGTTTTTTAATAATAGTTGGGATGTTAGGCTGCTGTGGAACAGTGAAAGGCAATCCGCTGCTCCTTGCTTGGGTATGTATACTTTCTTTAAAATATATCTCCGTTACCTGGTTAGGTGAATGCTAGACACAATTATCTTCAGATTCAATATTTCTCATACATTGTATTGAATAAAGAATGTTTTTTCAATGACAGTATAGGTATAAATGTATGTTTTTCAAATTGAAGTTCATTATTGGCAGTAGTTAGCAATTTTTAATAATTTAATAATGACACTTATCATGCAAAGTTCCAGTCAGTTCTAGAATGCCATATGATATCACCACAGAGGTGACACACACCCTGACTCATTGGTATTTAAGTGGTACTTTGCTGATCTACTGCTGACTACATGAATCGGTCGATAATGTCTTTAATGAATGTATTATCAAAGGTTAGAGAATTAAAAAAATACGAATAGGGACTTTTTTAAAAAAAAACTCAGATTAAAAAAACTAATCTGAAAGCAAACCTTATTCACAAGGTCACTACAGCGATTACTTTGGCTAATGTTGGAGATAAAGTCAGGCAGTGCATTGATTTTGTGGCTAATGAACAATGCGAGGATGGAAGGTGGAACAGAGTGTACACGTGTGCTAAACAATCACAAACACTTAAATTGTGATTGTTCTTCCCATTGATGTTTCAGGACAATTGTATATTTGGAGAAATCAAAGAAATTTGAACACTTTGAATTCATCAATACTGTTTTACCACTGGGATCCATGTTATTTCCTGATGGGACTCCTGGGATATTGTGAAGTTTGCTAAATGCAGAGTAGAAAATCATTATGTTTTGCTTTAGCTTATTGCCTCATTCAGCAGAGTGGCTGAAAGGTTTTGTATTTAAAACTCTTGTGTGTATGACCTGAGAATCCACGTGTGTAATAAATGAAATAAGAAGGAAAACTGTAACATATTGTCTTGGTAGTTTTCAGAAACAAATACCATACAGGAGCAGTTCTTTGACCATTAGGTGAAGTAATTTTGTTCGAATGAGCGGTTGTTTTGTACGTAAGGGAATATGTTGGTCTCTGTGTTCAGCATGGTGTTCAGCACTTATCATATAAGTATTAACTCCAAGCCATTGCACTAATCTAGAAACTATTCCTTATGGGAGAATTTGTTTGAAAACAAGAATTAGACAGAGACAGAACAAACAAAATTTGGCTAATTTAAATCCTGTTTAAATAACACTCACTCCCTCCCTAAATGGAATCCTTCGCACACAAAATATACAGTCACTACACTTTACAGTATATTTTGTGAAGCACTTTGAGATGTCTCAACAATGTGAAAAGGTGCTATATCAAATGCAAGGATTATTATTTATTATTTTAGACATCAATATATGCTATTTGAGTGGTTACTTTTTAAAGGTTTCCTCCAGTGAAAATAGATTCCATTATGTATTATTTGATGCTGTGATGGGAAGTTGGTAGGATGGGTATTCTGGTAGTATGAGATCAAATGGGCCTAAAGGGAATCAATGTTGTAACATGTTCTCCAGCAAATCACCTGTACTTATATATATATATTTACATATATATATTCATATAGGTTTATGCATTGTAAATAATAATCATTGCATTTGATATAATGCCTTATGTTATTGCAACGTCTTAAAGCACTTCAAACGATTATAGACCACGATGTGCAAAATGGTAAGTGCAGGAGAATGTAGGATTTAAATGTTATGGCCACTTGATTACATTTGGGTTATCTAATGCAGCATTTATAATATACAATTTCAATGAATGACCATGATTTTGGCCAACATTCACCAGCACATATGTACAATATAAAAGAGCAATAACTGAGGTAATACTGCACTCCTGGGAAGCAATGTATACATTCTCATTTCAATTTTTTGTGCTATATCGAAAGAAAAGTACAGGAATTGACATCTATTGTCTTATTTCTATTAAATTTGCATTGTTGAATTTGTAGATTTCCTTCCACACTCTGAGCGCTCTGAGACTCCATCCAGTGTGAAGGGCCTATATAAATGCAAGTTGTTTTTTNACACAGAACAGGTAAATACTGTAATGCCTTGTCGTGCTGTTTCTCATTGATAAGGAATTTCTTTCAAAACCTGAAGACATTTGCAGTTCAAAACAGAAAATTTATTTCAAAGCACATTTAGTCCTTTTGATGATCAATAATTATGGGTGGAAGGAAATCTACAAATTCAACAAGACTAATATTTCAAACAAGGCAGATTTAAAAAAAAAGGGCACATAACCATTGCCAAATTCCTACAAATGTCACTGTACTTTGAACGTGGACCAAACACACGGTTTCACTGAACTAGTAAAACTATTGTCTTGTTAGTGCAGGATTGGTTGCACAAACCTGGTTTGTTCTTAGAAAATATAATCACGGTGTAAAGCCTGACAGCATCTGCCACTTCAAAGGGCACAGACCTGTATGAAATAGAGCTTCTCACAAAACGATTGCATGCCAATATACATGAAAGGAATAGGAACAATGCTGTGGTGAATGTATTAGAGGACAATAAATACAGTGCTTGTTCATCCTGAATTGACTTATCTCAATGGTGGCAAAGGACACATGGCATATCGATGACTGGGAATGCACATGTTCTATTTATCACTGTTATTAATATTTAAGTTTCTACAATTGCATGTGACGGCTAGGAAGTTGGAAGGCGATCTAGATCTAGACCTTGGTCATTTTGTGTCTAGCATTTCTTATGTTCTTGTGCGCATAGTAGCATGCCTATATTCTATCATTGTAAGATGAGAAAGGATTGCAAATAGTTCATCTCCTCAATAATAGGGAGCTCTTCTCAATGCTCAAACAGCCAACAGAATTATTTGTTGCTTCACCTTAGCATGTAATTATCCATATTAATGTAAATACTGCATTTCTTTATGATATAAAATGGCAATATCAACGGAGCAGCTGATCCTATTTTGCATAAATATTTACTTCTTGAAACTAAGGCTTTTATATTTTAAATGTTTGAGTTATGAGCAATATTTGGACAAGCTAGAGCTCGTCAGTCTTGAAACAAGACCTCTCAGAGGGAACTTATAGAGATGTATAACATTTTAAATGAGATTGAGAAAGTAAACCCAGAACAGTAGGACACAAGGGGGCACAGATTTATAGTTGCAAAGCGTAACTTCAGGACAGATATCAGGAAGTATTTCTTTACTCAATTAATGACTGGAATAGGCTACTAGGAAGTGGTCCTGTGATGGGAAGATGGTATGGAGTTTTTTCCTGAAAGAGTGAGATCAAATAGGCTGAAGGGCCTTCTTCATCTGAATCAATCTTGTGTTCCTGTGAAGTATTGTTTGAAGGTAAATTTTAATGGAGCAATCACCACGAGGAGAATTCAGCTTGGAAGGGCATGCAGCCAATAAGAATGACAATATTATTTAAATATACCAATTAAAAGGCATTAACTGATTGCTATAGTTTGACTTATGTGGATCATCAGGAATGTGACTAGGTCAATCTTTAACACTTTAGAAATATCAGTGCACAAGAGGAATGCTGAATTTATTTATCGACTGTGCCACAACCGGTTAATTCATCTATGGCACTTTGAGGATTAATAAGTTAGAAATAAATGCATCTGGTTATTTTTAAAATTGCAGTCACATGGATGTCCAATAAATGTTGCACAATTTCATGCTTTAGCAGAAACATTCTTAACTCAAAGGATCACAAGAAATGTATGAAGAAGGCCTTTCAGCTTATTTGATCTCACCCTTTCAGAACACTGTCTCTATCGTCAGCAGTTTGCTGTTCCCTAAATTGATCCAGTGCCACAGACTCAATGACCCTTCATGGTAATCTGTTTTATCTGTTGCTGACCTTCTTTGTGAAGAATTATTTCTTGATATCTGTCCTAACTTTGCCCTTCACAATGCTAAACCTGGGTCTTTGGTAGATCTGAAAGCATTGTTCCAGGTTTGCTTACTTTATCCAGGGCTTGGACAGTCCTATTAATCTGTCCAATAAGTATCAGCAATGTTTGCTTCGGACTAATACTTACCATTTTACATAATAATCAATTTACTGCTGCATTCCAAGATGTTACACAATGTTTCTACTCATGTATATTTGAATTATCCTGTTTTGAATCACATCAGTCCACTTCATGTCATAACCTCTTGTGGTGAACCCAGTTTATCCAGCTTCAGTTACCCTAATGTTAGATATATAACACAATTGATGAACAGTAAATTATCCTGTTACTAATCTTATGAATTAAATTACCTTGTTTATATTCCAAGAAATTGAGTTAACTTCCATTCCCTTCCAGTTGATTAATTGTAAAATTCTAGGGTCTAAGGTTTCTTGCAGTCTTAGCCTGCAAGACTATTTTGTCTTCTTCAAATCAGTCTTAATTTGGAAATTTGTTCTTTTTAATACTTGCAGAAACATGGCTTCAAAATTAAGGCTGTATTGATGAGTTTACCAAATTCTGAATGCTCTAAAACAGGAGTGTCAAACATATGGCTAAACATGGGGTGATATTTGGCGGTCCGCCCATTAGTTTCTAAAATTGGATTGATGGGGTACTAAATGGCATTTCACAGCTTGCCAGTATTTTTTTCAATGATGTTAAAAACATATTAGAGAATTTAAGTTAAATATTGAAGCTTAGCATTATCTTTTAAGGCTTAGCATTAGCCTGCATTTTTTTGATGACTAGGAATTGTGCAGGGTAATGTTTCATGCACATTGATATATTTGAGCAAATGTACACACAATCATAGAGATTTTCAGGTACAGTATTATGTATAGCTTTCTTTAAATTGCGGACCACCAAATGACCAGTGTTATCTTAAATTGCCCTTGTGGCCAGATGAGTTTGACATCCCTGCTCTAAAATGTTATGCAGGAAGAATAAATCAGCATCCAAGTGGAATTTATCTCCAGTTGTATCTATAATGTTGACTGTTTGAGTGCAAAACATGGGAAATTGAACTGCTTTAGTAATTGAAACCCAAAATAACATGAATTGTGATTTTGAAGGAAAATTGTGTTGGAATGCAGTTTTAAGCTATGCATGTCTGTTTTGCAGCATTTGAACAAACTTCATTTTGTTTGTTGTCTCCTCAATTACAGTAATTCTGTTTTTAAAGTATTTTCTGCTGTTTTTTGTTTTACTTTGGCAATCTCTGTTCTCATTTGCTATGTTTTACTTTGACAGTCTCCTTCCTTGATTGTTTCTGCAGGAGTGTTTCTTTTCACAGCTTGCTAAATAACACAAGTTTAAGTGACAAATGAGGTAAAATAATGTTGCCATTTTAAGCTGAGCAGTACAATATAATATAGAAGAAGCCTTGATTCATTTCACTGGATATTGATATGGGCTGTAAAGTTAAAGTGATCCATAGCAATGTCTAATGAATAAATTTGGGAATTTGTTTAATATGGAAGGAAGTAATTACTCAATATTTTAATGATATGTGAATTATTTAGCAAGTAATTATCCCGCTATATTTGCTGCAAAAATGTTCACATAGTTTGGCGTTGTTTTGCAGTATTTTGGTATCCTGCTCGTAATTTTCTGTGTGGAATTGGCCTGTGGAGTTTGGAGCTATGATCAGGATAACTTGGTGAGTCCATATTATTTACAGTACTTGACATTGCAAATGTAAATTTGTATAAAATCCTAAACTTTTAATAGGGCAGTTATTCCTTGCCTCATAATAAATTGATATAAAAGAGCAAATAGTTTTTTTACATTTTGTTTTTGTCACTCGTATTATTGTTTTGTTATGCAGCATAACAACAACAACAACAACTTGCACTTATATAGCGCCCTCCACACACAGGGTAGTGTCTCAGAGCGCTTGAAGAATACTAGCAGAGCTGCAGAAGACCAACAGGTCTGTTGTCAGCATCTAAAACCATCTATAATTTTAAATTGAACCTTTGAAGAATGCAGTAGAAGAGTTATAATGTTATTATAATAATAATAATATTACTCACATTTTAGATTGCGCCTTTCAGATTGGAAAGATGCCCAAAACACTACATAGGATATAGCTGACAAAATAATTAGCTTTTTTAAAATATAATTATATAGTATTTTTTAATGAAATATTACTTGTTGATTTTTCTAACACATTCTGCTGTAATATCATCATATGCTCACCTTGAGAGCTGTTAATTGATAAAAGTAAACAGTTCAGAAACAGAGGATGAAATTTCCCTTCGCCTTAAGAAGCTTTAAGGGTGTTCACACTGCCTTCAAAGTTGCTACATTCTTGTGGCTGTTTTATACAGTTAGTGTTAGTGACAAGAATTTCACACCCATTGTTTCAGTACTGCAAATGGTTAGAGATGCATATTAAATTAATAGCAGGTACAGTTGCTTTTAGAAGTTAAGTTTGCTCACCTTACAGCCAAATTACAATCAATTATTGCAAAGAAACCCTGCAGCATCTCTACAAAGACACCCTTGCAATAGTGCGCTGAGATAATAATAATCCTTAGATTTGATATAGTGCCTTATCACATCTTCGAGATGTCTCAAAGCACTTCACAGAATATACTGTAAAGTGAATTGATTGTACTTTTGGGCGAAACTTGGCAACCAATTGCACACATCAATGTCTCACAAACAGTCGTGGATTGAGTGACCAAATTTTTTTTTGCATGAAGGGCACAATATAAATGCAAGTTGTTTTCGTTGTTGCATAAAGTGATGGCAGTCAAAGAGGTTATTATAAAAGTTTAAGGAACTATAAATAGCGCATTAAAATGCAGATGGATGCATTAAACTTTCAGAATTATGGGGTACTGAAAATAAATAAAATAGAAGAAAGTGTAATAGAAAAAGAGATTGGCGGCCGGAGGTGAGAGAGGATCACCTATTGGATGACAAGCTATTTATTGTTTTGTGATCATGAGTACAAGAAAGAAGCTCGCAGAATCTTCATCAGATGTAGGCCAGAGATCAGGGAAGATCTTTTAGCAGAAATAGTCTAATTGAACAACTTGGACTTGTATAGCGTCTTTATAGATTGATAGAAAGTATAGCTCAGAAACAGGTCATTCGTCCCTGGCTGGTGATTATACTCCACAAGTGTCCATCATATCCCTCGTCACATATTTTGGCCTTTTCCCTATATCCCTCAATTTTATTCTCCCTCAACCATGCATCCAATTTTTTTTGAATGTGCACATGGGAAAATGGCAACTGATCGATCTCTGCAATTCCCTTTCAATATAAACATTCCATTTGACTTTTTAATACTTCTATCCAATTAGAGCTGATTAATTTCTTTCTGTTTTAGAAGAGCTCAGAGACTATTTTTCGAAGGTGTCAGAGACTACCATAAACTCACTTACTCCTCTATTTTGTTCCATTCCCATTGGAATATGCTTTTTGTTCAGTGTGTTCTCCTTGAGATTATTAATTATTATTAATAATATTAATAATTATAATATTTGCATTTTATAGCACTTTTCGTGTTGCCGAGACATTTCATAGCGTTTCACAGGATTTTACTGTGAGGTGCATTGACTATGTAATAGGCAAAGGCATCAGCCAATATGTGCAGAGCAATGTCCCATAAACAGCTATGAAATAATAATAATAATAAAAATAATAATAAGTGACCACCAAGTTAGCATGTCTGGAGTTATATTCACAAACCTACATCCTGCCACACTGGCACAAAACACTGCTTCACTTCCTCTGCTGCCTACAGACTGGAAATATATAGTAACTAATAGCAAACTTTTTTCATGTGCTATACAGTGTTGTCTTTCATCGCTAAATTGTTGCCTAATACTGAGTACTTGCCTTAAGTCTTGTTGCTGGTAAAGAGCTTTCTTGCTTTTGATTAAATGCCTCCATATTTTTGTCAGCACAGTTACCTATTGCTTCATTCACCTCTGACAAACAAATTATTTTGATAACCTCTGTGGAATGTTTCTAAATGTTCAGAGGACACAGCAGCTTTTTATTGATTTTTTTTGTACAAGGTTTTCATTTTAATATACATGCAAGATACTAGTTTGCAGGCATTCAATTCAAGAACTGTGAGATCAATGGCAGAAGAGCGGAATATTGAAACAGTATTATCATATTTGTAATGACAACAGACTTTTCATATAACTGGGCTCCAACATGCTTTGCTCTGAGACACAGGTATATGTTTCTCCAGTGTCTCTAAAATGTTAATTATTCTGCTGCTTTTCTTCCCTTTTTCTCTCCTGTATCTTTTATTTTTTTTATTCAGTTCTCTGTGCACCATTGTGTTGTCAGGAAAGTAGGCAGGCAACTTTCTCCTTAGATCTTTGTCCCTTCCCCTCTCCCTTGCTCGGAGAGTCTAATTCCACCACTGTTCAGGACTCTGAGATGCTACCCTGCCTGAAGGGCACAATCTTGTTGTCGTCACTGTGAGCTGCAGTGAGATGCACCAGAATGAGTTGACTAATCTGTCAGATAACTGCTATCTGTTATCTCTCCCACATAGGAAAAGGGAATCACAGCTGCAAATCCACAAACTAAGTGGCAAAGCCTATCAATAAAACAAAGCACTCCCGTTATTTTATGTTGGTTTTTGACTCCTTGACCTAATGACTTTTTGTAATGGTCATCAAACTTATGTCAAATCCATTATTTTCTCATTATTAAAGAGATTTGTCCATTTTTCTAACGGCAAAGTTAGATCAAGAAAAGGGACAGACAGTTTAGAGAGTTTGGCAATGGGTCTAATCAATGAAAATGATTTTGACCGAGCAACTTGAATACATAAAGGATGCAGATGGATTTCAGAATGGAGCCCTTGATATTTGGCATTAACCTATGCTTTTGGTGAAAAGAAAACTTTGTTGAACATTCCGGCTTAACTTCAAAGTGATTTTTTTTCAAGTGATGCTTGTGCAAGTCAAATTCACGGCTTGGAAATAAAAATGGGACAAGACAAGTTTTTGTAAAATGAAATGGTTCATAGTTTGATCATCACATGAAAAGAAATGCGAACACTCTGTAGATATGCACAACAGCAATCAAGGATTTTTTGGGCCGAAATTCTGGTTGGTGTTACACGTAGCACCTCTGGCATTTGCTCGATGCACAATTGTAACAGGCAGATCACATTATAATTACAATAATAAATAGTGCATGCATTTAAAATAATGCCTTTCACATCAGAATGACGTCTCAAAGCGCTTTACAGGATATACTGTAAAGTATAGCTGCTGTGTATTTTCTTGGCAATCAATAGTGTCTGACATTGCCAAAGGTGCTATTTCATAATGCCTACAGGAATTTCATCTCATCTGTGCAACAGGTAGGGGTGAACTTCAGACACTGACTTTCATCCTGTTATTCCAGGAGAATACGTGCTGCAGATGTCAACTGGTGTAGAGCAGGAATACTTACCAATGAGCTAAACGTTAACAGTGGGACAATCTGCAAACAGTCATGCTTTTTACTGCTGTGCTAATTTAGGGTTACATTTCAAACACTCTCCATGTATCACTGGGGTGGATTTTTGCAGCATGGAAATGCTTCAACATCAAATTGTTTTTTGGCACTGGGTCTAATTCTTCATTGGAGCTGCACCAAACAAATTAAAATTCAAACAATCGATTTCCCGAGGCATATAGCACTGTAAACAGTCTTGGGCCTCTCTTTGTTTCTCCGAATTTATTCCCCACTCTGATCAGGGAAGTGCATGTCTTTATCGTCATCTATACCCCAATTCTGTCTGGCCTGATCCCTGCTCAGAATGTCAAGAATCTGGCCAGTCTGCATCGGAAACTGGAGGTGCCGCTTATGGCAACCTCATAACTCAGAACTGGGAGCTGTGGTTATTTTATTCCACAGACCTGTTATAACACATGGCTTAAATTTATGGTCCCGAAAAAGGTCATAAAACAGGTAACAATTATTTCTATTGACCATTTCCTCTAATAACATTGCGTGTCAGCTTGGCTCAGTTCAGGCTACAAGTTGGGAGTTGGACTTGCAGACAGTCCAAAGCACTGCTGGGGATGAACTGCATTGTCGGAAGTGCCATCCTTCAGATGAGATATTAAACGACCTGTCTGCTTATCTAGTTGGATGTCAAAGATCCCATGGTACTATTGGAAAAAGGAGTTTTTTCCGGTGTCCTGGCCCAAAATCTCCTAAACAAAATTGGTCACTCATTCCATGGCAGTTTGTGGGATATTGTGTTTGCCCACAAAATACACACTGTCACTCACATCACTTTACAATATATCCTGTAGCACTCTGAGATGTCTCGACGATCTGATAAGCACAATATCCAATGCAAGGATTATTATTATTTGAAAGTTCAGCACAAATGGTAAAAATATAAGATAATATACAAATAATATTTGATGAAGATTTGCAGGTATGCTGACTTTGGTGTTTTTGCTTATATTTTTATAACTTGCTGGTCATTTGATTTTTTTTTTAATAGGACCACAAAGGCTAAGTATTAGTTGAATTGTAACCTAGGATCTATATAGTATATTGCTGTATTTTAGACTTTGTAATGAGCTAAAGTAATATGATACCCACTTTTAAATCCAGTGCAGTACAAGAACCTTGTATAGCACTTGTAATATTGCTTGAACACAGTGGTTGTGTGTGTGTGTGTATATAGTCTGGTGCATAGATGATGATAATACGCTCTTGTTATTGAATGTGCATGTGGCATGTGGTCGATACTTTACACTTTGTCACACTGGGCCTAAACAGCACAGTTTAATTGTAATGATGTCACTGAGAGCCTCTTTCTTTCTTCCAGGTCTCCCTGGAAAGGTCTGACATGCTTGGATTGAAAACCAAAATGCTTAAGTATGGTATGGGCAGGTACCAATGGTTAACCCATGCCTGGAATTTCTTTCAGCGAGAGGCAAGTAATTCCCTGAAAAATCTTTTTGTGCAAGACTTTGCTGTCACTAATGCCATCAATTGCCCTTATCCAGCATTGCTTTAGCAACCGAAGAGAACTAAGCAATGACAGCATTTTTTAAAAAAATACTGTAAGTGGAGCTCTGGGCCTGTCTGGAGAATTCTCCTCAACCTTGTGGATCTCCCCAATCTTCCCGATCTCAAGCATTCTAATACTGGAAGCAATGTTACGTCACTTCCAGCCATTAGGATGTTACTGTTTGCCTGAGTGTCTGTCTCACCTGTTTGGTTTTGCTTGTTCTTATCCAGTTCAAGTGCTGCGGAGTCGTGTACTTCACAGATTGGTTAGAAATGACAGAAATGGAGTGGCCTCCTGACTCTTGCTGCATTCGAGAATTCCCAGGATGTTCCAGACAAGCCCAGCATAGTGACCTGACTGACCTTTATCAAGAAGTAAGGCAACCTTTTTCCCTCTCTCTCTTTTATGTGTATGAAATAACTAGTAATGCTGCCCATCCCAGAGGGCCGAGATGTTAGTTCTTATTGTTGATGTCCCCTACCCTATCTGCACCACCAGTGGTGGCTGGGTTTTCAGATTCTACTCCCTTAATCTCTGGAACTTCCTCCCTGTACCTCCTCTTCCATCTCGTGCCCTCTCCAGCTGTTTTCAAGTCGTGACTCAAAACCTGCCTCTTAGAAGATGAGAGAACTTTGTAATTAGCTAGTCAACTCTTCTCCTCTGCTCTGTCACTGTAAATCATTAAGACTTTTTCCTACGTGAAGGGTACTGTTACGATGCCTGAAAAATGCAGAAATCCATCATTATGTTTAAAAATATCCAAACCAGAATTGAAAGTTCCATGTATGTATGTCTGTCTGTCTCTCACCAACATAACACCAAGGGAAAACATGGCTCCTTGTGGCTTTGAAAACATGCAGGTGATTTTTTTTCCATCATTAGTATTATTGAGGTGTTGGGTGGGGGTGTGGGAGCGGATGGGGCAGAGGAGAATCACAGAAGGTCGCCAACACTATTAACACTATTAACCTGCCACTTGATGGTTCCTCTGTGTACCTGCATGATTACTACTGTGAAAAAGTGAGTCTGAAGCTGTGAAACATCAAAGCAACTTTACAAAACCAAGCGCAGAAGAGCAGCACCATAATGCAGTTTTCTTTCCCTACATTAGCCCTACTTATGAACATTTCAAATAGAATTAATGTTAAAATTATGGACAGGTTTGTGCCATGTTGACTTGAGACTGTTTGGGGACTAGCGAAACTCATTGCACTCAATATACCTGCAGTCAACCGGGAGCAGTGGTTTCTGATCCTATTAGCCTGGAACGGACTTGAATCCAAAGCGAGTAGCTGTCATAGCAAAGAGATGGCGGAAAAGAAAGGAGTGCAACTAAGGTCGACTTGGTCTGCTTTTGGGGTCAATATCAGTGCCAATACAAATAAAAGTAATGAATTGATTGTCAATTTTCACTTCTAATGCTATGACTTACTCTCCCAGGGGGAGTGGCTGAAAGGTAACTAATTGCTGTAGTTTGTGCTATAGTAACTGACAATGTTACATCAACTAGTGTAATGTTTCAGCATTGCTGATGTTCACTTGGATCTTCGGTGATTTGCGTTAACTGGAATAGGAATTTATTCTTCCCCATCTCCCACCATGAGATACTGCCTCATTTCTAGTCCTGCTTTTTTACCTATGAAATCTGACTGCGAGGTTTATATTGATGATGGACTCCACACCTCCCTCTCTCTTCCTCCCACCATCCACATGTACAAATTGCAAATACCTGCTAGCTTCACCACATTGACAGACAGGAGCCAATTCTGCTGTAATGTAAAGCTTCCTCTCTGAGTGTGCTTGCCGGACATATACTCAGGTGATCAAAAAGGGCGCTGGAAGTTGTGCTTCTTGTTTTTCTATCCTTTTCTACCATCCTCCTCTCCCAAGGGTGCTGCAGCATGTTGCTGCAATATTGAAACCTGTGCTTTCCAACAACCTTTTCTCTGACAGGGCTTACATTCTCATTTTGCCCCAAGCGATCATTCATCACGTGACACTTAGTGTTGGCAGACTCTTGCACTGAAAGGTAGATGACGACTGATCTGGCTCTCATGAGCTGTCCAAACTGGTGCACTGGACAGGGATTATAAGCAGAAACCCCAGGCTGAGTTTTCCCTTTCATAGCAATTGTAGTGAACTGGCTGAGATCAGCTAAACTCAGCAGAGACCGTAAATCAGAGCAACACCTTTTAGTCTTCTCGTGTGGTTCAACGCTTCACCCACTGGCCTTGGGGGAACCCATTTAGCGCTTGTTGACTGGATTTTCACACGTACAGTTATTATCTCTGCTCTTTTTCCTCTCCTCGCATTTTTTAAAAAAATGCTCAGCGGAAATAAAATTTTAAAAAGTTGCTAATCAGAAATACCCATCATAATATTAATAATAATCCTTGCAATTGATATAGCGCCTTTCATGTCGGGAGGATGTCTCAAAACACTTCACAGGATTTACAATAAAGTGTAGCAACTGTATTTTGTAGGTGATATTTTGCAGAATATCATATAAACGACAGGTATGGGGAGCAAGTATATTATTTGTGTGCTCTATTCATTCAGATTAAAAAATGAAGCATTCAGCACAATTGCTGCTTCCGCACAAGATTAATAATGAAGGGGAAAAGGTTTCCTGAATTCAAACAGTTATTTTAAGCAACTAATCTTTAAAGTAAAAACAAACAGTAATGTACGGTTGTCTGAAACCATTTGCTCTCAGGTCAGGAATAGAGTCAGCAGCTGCAGCCTGATTAAATATTGTTAAAAACAGTATGAAAAGGCTGTCTGCGTACTGTCGCGAACAAGGCAGCTGTTAAGAGGATCGTAAGTTTAATTAGAAGTCAGAGGTGATATTACATACAACCTGGAAATTAAAGTCTTTTTTAAAAAAAAACTCATTGTGTAGATTGAGTGTTGACGAAAGAAAAACAGCACCAGCAGTCATTGCCCTGTCATACCCTACTGACGACTCGGGTCAGGAATTCACACCAAGACAATCCATACTAGGCACTTTACTAATGTATTTTTTATACATTGGGTGGAAGTGGGAGGGGAATTATAGTTAGCACAAGATTTAAAAAGCACATGATCAATCACAAGAGAGCAATAGAGAGTTTTTTTTCTTTGCACATTTTATAGCATTACTGCATTCATATATAGATTGGGAAATAACAGCCCGGTAAAATATCAGTAATTACAAATGTAGATATGTGGTAAATCTCCGTGTGTCATCGGTATATAATTTTAAATCCCTCTTTTGGGGATAACACAATTTAAATTATTACAGGGGGAACTCATCTGTGTAATTACTGACATATGTATTAGTGAATGGCCACTACACATGATCTTCTCATTTCTACTAAGCTATAAATGCCTCTTACAATCAGGCAGTCCATAAATAGGATCAATGGTAGTCAATCCCTTTTGTTTTTTGGCTAATGGAGCTCATGTAGGATAAAAAGATGTATTCAAATATATAATGTTCAATCAAAAACTTCATTATCTGAAACTCCAATCATCAATTTAAGTCCTTAATAATAAAAGATCTTTCTTATAGTGTTTATTTGCTAAGATTTAAAAGATAGATAAATAATAATCCTTGCATTTTGATACTTTGATGGGGGGGGGAGGGTGCGGTGGGGGGAACTCACATGTGTTATGCTATTCAGGATATCTTGCTCCTCAGACACAGCTCACTTAAGCATAATTTAAAACACCTCAGGAAAGATGTTAAGATGGAGGGAATGCAGAGGAGATTTAGAAGAATGATCCCAAGGAAGAGGGGTTACAGTTTTGAGAGCTTGAAGAAGGTGGGTCCATTCTGATTGCAGCAGAGAAGATTGAGAGGGGACCCGATAGGGGTGTGCAAAATTATGAGGTTTACTAACAGGGTAAATAGGGAGAAGCTATTTCCACTGGAACTTAGTTATAAGATAGTCACAAGAGTGAAAGGAGAACTTAGAATTTTTTTNGCGTTGTTGGGATGAGTTGTTGGGATATGGAATGACCTGCCAAGTAGGGTGGTAGAGGAAGAATCCATGTGGGTTTCAAGAGAGAACATCACAACAGTTTTTACAGTGCAATTGCACAGCAGCTATTTCACTCCCAAATTGCCAGCAACAAACATCCTCCAAAGAAAACTATTGGATTTATAAGGGAAATTACCTCTTTAGCAAGCAGACTGGGGGAGATATTGGACCTCTTGTGAAGTACTAAAACCCAAATGGTATCCACAAAGCTGAACATGTTAAAAGATATCTCCAAATACAGTAGATAGAAACAAGAAGTTGCGGTTATATAGAGCCTTTACTCATGGTAGTGTATTGGAGCGCTTAACGGTGGCGGAGCCTGACTCAAGCTGGGGTTCGGGTGGGAAAAGCATGTTTTATGTGCAAAGAAATTAGTGAAAGTAGATTAGGAGGAAGAGAAGACTTTGTACATCAAATGCCTCCTTTTTAGGCCTTTTCTGTTCATCAGGTGAATATTTTTCATTTGAAAATATAGGAAGCAGGTGTTTGTTTCTGCATCATTGAAAAGACATAAATTGTGAAGCGTTTGGAAGATTTATAGTGCAATTAGATTAACGATGCTTGGATATTTCTTGTCACTCGAGTTGTACAAAAGGCCATTCTTCGTCTGGTTTCATTCTGTTACCTTTATGTCCTTGTCAGCTACAACAACCTTCCATCTGGTTAACAGATCAGGGGCTTTCTACCTCACTGCTGAAGACCTCCCCCACCTCCACATGTATGTTCCTGAAACTTACAAGGTCACCTTTCAGATGATTTGTAGACAGATTAATTGGGAAGCCACAAGCCCTAGTGTGCAAGGGACACAGTCCCAGTCTGGTTTGTCTTTGAGATATTGAGTGCTACTATTACTTGTCACTACTGTTGCTTCACTCCCGGTAGCTGCCAGCATTGTTAGTGCTGAGGCAGAAGCAGACCTACAAATAGCCCTGGACTTTGAAGGGCTGTGCATGCAAAGTGACTGATCAGCACTGTCTGTCTGTTAACAAAGTTGCAGAAAATAATAAGCCAGAATTGGTGATGAAATGTTAGCCCGTGACCTCACCATACTATGACTTTGTGCCCTAGACCTTGCAAAGAATGATTTGCATTTGCAAACCTCAGAATATCAGTTTTGGATCAAAGAGGATTTTGTTTCTTTACAGTGTCATAAAAGGACTCATAAGGTGCTGCATTCTGGCAAACCGCTTCACACTTCATTGCAAAAGTAATTTGACACCTGCCCACAGTCATTATGTTTCCTAGACACCTGCTTTATATCTTTTAGCCCACTTCACTCCAAACATTTGAAGGATTTGTACATAACCAAAAACATTTTCATTTTTATATTAATTTCAGAAAAAAGAACT